ATTTTTTAACCAAGATGAGAGCCCCCCCTCCTCCCAAAAAAAATCACACAGCAAGACTTCAATATATTTGAATTTTTGTTTGATACGCGCCAGAAAAAGATGAACAATATCTTAAGTTACCAAACACAAACAGTTATCAAACACTGTACCATTTGTCATACCTAAAGCAAGAAGGTATTAGTCGTGAATTCAGTCCATGTAAAACCCAGGATACATCAGCAGTATCTACAAAAGCACAATCTTCGTCAGGTTGTAACCTCCACAAATATGTATGTATGAAATGCAAGAATAATCACAAAACACGTGATTCAGTTATGCGTAAGTATCCACTTAGGAACATGAAATAAAAATTCCGAACGTTTCCGTGTATCAACACGTTACCAAGGAATTCAGGAAGAAGAAATGGATTTGGGATTAAACATCCCACTACACCTTAGTAGATAAAGATTCCATAAACAAAAAATAGATTAATGGAAGCGACATGAATTTGTTTATTGAGAATTATATAAAATATATATAAATGGTATATTTTCCCCTGTAAATTAATGTAAATATAATCTCCAATATTGTAAATCATTAAAGAAAAATAAGTATAACATTTAGGGGTTTAAAGTTCATGTTTTGTGATAATGAAACACTTGTTTACTGAGAATTATACTACTGTATATGTAATGTAGTATTGCCTTGTAAAATTTATGTATATATGATTTATATTGTATTTTATTAAATAAAGATAAAAAAATTTAAAGTTATCTAATTTATATAATCCTGGACTTACATTAGTAGTAGTCATCCATCAGACTCAGGAGACTTACATAAATATCAAATTCACTACTTTTTTATGAATGGAATTCAATATTATTTCTTTCATTTAGTCATTAGTCCAGTCAGCTTAATGATTATAATCTCTTAAGAGAATAAACAATTTATTGGACTCTTGACCTAAGTCTTATATTATATTTGTGTTCGTTTATTCTCTGGTAGTAGACTTTTTTTATCATCTTTATTTAAGAAAATACAATATAAATTACATATACATAAGCATAAATAACCAACCACTAGTCCATTACTCTTAACTAGTTCACTAAGATGCTCACCAGTTTGGTCAACATAAAATCTATACGTGGAATTTTATACACACATCCAATGCAACTACCTGATAAATTTTTAATGAGTTTTTATGATATCAATATTCCTAAATGCTACACTGATATTAAATGAAATTTCTAAAATATTAAAACAATTTAATATAAAAAAAACTTTCGTTTAATATCATTTTAAATAAAAAATATCAATGTAGCATTTAGGACTCAATATAAAAAACAACGAGAAAATCAGTAGGAGCCATGAGATGGATTCGAACTCACTCACTCCGCACTCCGAAGCAAACGCCCTAGACCACTATGCCACAATGGAAAAAAAGCAATGCATCGTGGGATTCCACTGAATCAGAATGGAATCTGAATCCCGGGGTCTACATTATAACCCACACCAGAGGCCACTGTGGGAGTGACATTATACTCCCACAGAGGGCTTTCAACACTATTACACCCCAAGAGGTCACCGTATGGGACTCTTAAAAACAAACTCATAAATCACACGATGTTCGCCCACCGTTGCTCAAATGTCAGACTTCATGACGTCACTATTGGGGAGTGACGGCTCGGGTGGGTCAGGTGAGTAGTTTAGGTTTTGATAATCATTGAGGCAATGGAGTGCTTGAATTCCCGACCCGGAGCTCTCCAAACGCCTGCCTTAACTGCTCGGTGACATCTCGGCCTAGGCGCTAGCCTAGGTTTTGACGCTTTTATTTATGCTAGTCCACTACTTTTTTGGTTTACGGAGGGGAATTTGAGACATTGGTCTGCATTCTTCTCACCTGAGCGTCAAAGGCGTACAGGTCGTTCTGTACCTTACAGGTCGTCTGCAACAAGCAAAACTGTGTGGGTCGGGCGTGTAATCCACATGTCAGTCAACTGATCGCCCACGGACTTAAAATACCAGCATGGAAGGGATATCTTTTTCTCTATGTTATTATTAATGAAGTCATTTTTCAAACCAAATATATACATGGGAGTTACGGGAATCATTTTAATACATATAGATGAAGGAGTTACTACCAATTGATAGATGAATTTTGTTCCGTTGGGTTTAAGGCTAATTAACCGTGGGAGGCCTCCACCAAGAGCTCCACCAGCAAGTATGCTTTAGTCATGATTTATGTGCAAGATTAAAGTAAACTCGCAGTGTATATACACCGAGAAGCTGGGTACCACCCTCTGTGTATACATCTCCTGTATGATGGGTGGGAGACGTGACTGCGCGATAGAGCCTAGCTTCACAGACACTCCCTCCCAAGAGAGCTATCGAGGGTGACATCAACAAATGTATATTTCAGATAGAGTTTTGTTTTTTACGAATATATTCTTGTCCAATTCGGGTAGAACTGTAACTTGTTTATATAAATAGTTTTCAATAAAACGTCCTGGTTTTATTTAGGGAAGCCTAACCCTGGCACGGCTCACTCGAGTCCTTCCTTTACCCATCACTATTTCCCTCCGCACGTATTTTGACCCCCTCCCCATCTGCGGCAACCCGCCCCTCTCCCCATGCATTGACTGTGCCCTTGCCTACACCCTCCACCAAATCATCTTTCAACTTAACCTGCCCTGTGCACCCTGTCATTTTATCTTCCATCTGAAGACGTACCGATTAATAAAAAAGTACTTAAGGAATTTCCCGTCTAATTTTTTCCATCGTGGTCGACAGTGCCGCATTATTCATCCGAATGTTAATTTCTTGGTGATTTACATACACACACAGCTAAGCTATAAAAATATAGCTGCCGAAAAAAAAACATTACTGAGTTCACTCTTGCAAACAGAGTGGTAGACGGTTGGAACAAGTTCAGTGAGAAGGTGGTGGAGGCCAAAACCGTCAGTAGTTTCAAAGCGTTATATGACAGATATCATACAGTAAGGCAGCGTTGGTGTCACTCGCAAGTCTACTGACATCACCCCTTTTATCTCCGAGCAAGCTAAATAGTCATAATGGCTTGGTGCTTTTCCCTGATAATTCCTTTCATATCTCCGAGCAGGGTGATAGTTGTTGGACCGTGAGTTGACTCCTGCGAGTTCAAAATCCAATTGGAAAAAATCCTCAGGAACAGGAACAATGTGGAGGGGGTAGAAGGGGGGGGGGAGGTAAGGACATTTGGCAAGCCACCGGCTTCCTGTCCCCGTCAAGATCTGTAGAGATGGTGGCCAGGAGGTAAATTCAAGTAAATAAAATTGTTGCCCCTCTATAAACATTCTTTGAGAACATGAAGGTTGACATCAAAGAAAACGTTATTTTAAACAGGTTGGGAGCCTTAAATAGGAAAACAAAATGTACATTACATTTCAATAATTATAATTCATTGTGTTGGAGAACATGCAGCCAGTTTATACATACAGTACATGTTAGGCTTGTATCGAGGCAACCTTCCCCTCCCCAGAATACAACCCCCACAAGCTGACTTAACTCCCGAATATACCTATTTACTGCTGAATGTGTACAGTAGCATTACACAGATACACAGCCTCGCTCCTGTGCCAGGTAAGGCCACTACGGGCTCACCATAGCCCGTGCTACTTGGAACTTTTGTTCTGAGTAGCTGAATCTAAAACAACAACAGGAACATTATCTGATAAGAAACGCGCGCCCAATCCTTTCTGTCCCGCCCAGGATTCGAACCCGGACTTCTCGAATTATTATCGAATAATTAATGTTTGCCCTCTACCTTCCTTCAGTGAGATGGCACAAGATTCTCAGCATTAATTTATGTACTTTAACGAAAACAAAATTAATTCCCAGGAAAAACATTACAAAGAGCTCTAAGACAAGCACGGGGTGCCTTTCACTTGCTGGGTTAAAACCAATACAATCACCTATCAGCCAAAGCTGTAAATACCGATGCAGATGGAAACAAATTCTCAAGATAATGAAGGCCACCAGATTCCTGTCCCCATACTCTGCCAACGACTGGGTATCAATATATTGCTAGGTGAACAGATGAATCAGGTATAAGGAAACCCCTTCCACTGCACTGGAATCGAACCCGAAGACAAATCGTGAGCCGACTGCGTTGCATTCAGATAACTTCAGTTACTTGCATAAGAGATGATTCTTGTAACAAGCTTTCGTTGATTATAACCTGTTGAGAACGCTTGTAATGTTAGTGAATGTTACCTCTTAGAATTACACTAAACATTCGGTAAATTCAGGTACATAAACAAAAATATTGAATTTGGAATTGTACCAACCATGTTAATAACGTACCCCAGGCATTCAGCTTCTCATTCGTTACAATTTGTTGCCTGGATTCATGTTTACCACCACCACCAGAAGCAGGAATCTATACTAGTATGATATGTCGTAAGGGAATCGTTTATCAGGAATGTTACTTTCCTCGTCTTTTTCACAAAGATAATTCTGAAGCAAGACATTATCGAAAAAAAAATACTTTTAATTTTTGGTCAGTTTCAATAAAACTTCTTTTGATAAAGTGTAATTGGTAAGATCTCCTACTACTGGTAGAAGTTTCAGTTCCGACATTAAGTTAAGACGACATAAAATAAGTCTGAACTGGACTTTGGTGCCCTGCACACCCCCCCCCCCTCCCCCTCCCCCACCCAACACGGGGGCCCAACAAGGGGGCCCAACACGGGGTACGAACAAGCCCATGGGGTATACATAGGTCACAAATGAACGGTTTGAATAGTATCCCAGGACCGTTACGGATAACAACCTTGCAGTCACAACTTCACCCGATGTCTAAGTTAGGTTGTTAGTTAACTAGACAAGCCAGTTGATTCAGGGAGAGTCGCACTGAAGCTTCCATTCTACCTCAGTCCCCCCCTACCAGAGGGGGTTGTTGTCCCCCCCCCCCTCAGGGTCCACAGCCGCTGGGTAGACTACATATTTATATTGTCCTAATGGATTTATTAAATCAAATTCAATTGTTTGCACAGCTTTATTAACAAACTGATAAGTTAATTATCAAAGTAAAGCACTAAACCCAATTAAACTAATACTTTACCTAAACCCTTTACCTGATGTAAGCAAGTTAGTTCATCTTATATTCTAGATTCTAGACAAGAACTAAGCATTCTGTGTAATAAAATAAGCCTTAACAACTGTTGGTTCTATTTCTGAATACTTTAATACTAAACTTAGTACATCACATACTAAGCAAATATACCTCCTGTCAAATTTATGAAAATCTACGTACATAAAACATGTCTAAACAGTCATCCAGAAGAAATTTGTTAACAAAATTAAAAATATGGACAAATCCTGTGATTTGTCATTAATTTTCTTACGTACACTACAAACGAGCGTTGCTTCTCCCCGATGCGCTTCGCTGAAAGAAGCAAGTCACTGACGTACGAGGCTCTGCAGATTCTTGCGTATGGCGGCTGCCGATGCTGTCATAAAGTTCTTGACTTGCCCTGCTATACTTCTGCTGCTCCAGTAGGCGGCCTTCTCGCCAGCTTGACCCAGCAGCGCGATCTCATCCAGTGAACAGCGCAGTAGGCCGTTTCTGCCAGTACTTTCTTCCTTGTGCACCTTCTCCAGCAAAAAAGAGAGCCCATCGTGGTGCTCTATGGCCAGCAGAGCAGCCAGAGCCTCGGACAGCGACTCTATACGCACATCACTCGACCCATGCAAGGCATCGGCGAAGACATTAACTATATTCGAACAGCAGGTGGAGGAATCCGATGATGGAACAAACCGAGACGATGATTGCACTTTCCTATATCTCTTTTCAACAATTTCCACTATTGTCTCTTCAGATGACAACTTCCGCTTCTGACCAAGACTAGCTGGCCCACCAGACATATCCATTACACCTCTTGAAGACGAGATGCAAGCGCCAGAAGTACGTGTCACTGGCTGGGTGGGTGAATCTCCGTTCCCTTTGTCAAGATATTTGTTTGTAGGAAAACAGGAGTGACTCTCTGAAGACAGACACGAGCCACTAGCAGATATACCGTGAGGCATTATGTAAGGCGTAGAGATGGTACTCTTAGGACAGCTCAGATTACTGGCATTAGCGTCCATAGCCTCAATCCCTAATTTGTGGCTAAAACCCCCCGGACTGTGAATAATGCTGCCTCTACAGTGATGAGTGCCGTCAATACTGTGAATAGTAGTGCCTGTACAGTGAATAGTGCTACTAGTACCGTGAAGTGTGCTTCCTGTACAGTGAGTAGTACCACCCATGCTGTGAATAGTGTCAACAATTCTGTGATTGGGGTAATACACATTGTGGTTAAGACCATCCATAGTGTTAGAACAGGTGTCACTATTCCGAGTAAGAATTGTGTTGCGGTGAGACCCCTGTGTATGGCGAGCACAGCCGCCTATATGACGCACAGCCTCATGAAAAATACGAGCGGGGCCGTCCGCGTGGCGAGTCGTATAATGAAGCGTGCTACACACAGAATATAGAATGTTATCCACACGAGAGCAGGTCTTATCCTGAACCGAGACACCAGCTTCAGCACCTGGGTAATGGGTAACCTGGGTAACACCAGCTTCAGCACCTGGGTAATGGGTAACCTGGGTAACACCAGCTTCACCCAAACACTGCACATTATATCCTGCTTCTTGAGCCAAAGGCTTGCTTGAAGCCCCAGTTATCTCTTGTGACTTGTAAATATGAGAAGAGTACTTTTCTTGAATGTTGTTGTAACTTTTGTCATCTATAGTGCTCAGTACGGAGGAAGGAATATTTTTCAGTACATCACTAAGTTGTGAGCCCTGAGAGGCATATTCCAGCGCTGTGATAATAGAATTCACAAGGTTCGACTTTTTCCTAGATCTTGCAGCACGGAATCTTGATTTTCGCTTTCTAGAACGACTGACTGTTCTTGCAGCAGCATCTTGTCCTGGAACACCGGGTTCAGAACCATTGGGACCATGAGTGTTTAGTGTCAACTTTGCCGCGGGAGCACTAGACTGTGGAATCTTTGGCACTGCATTTGTTTTTGGTTCACACAGCTGAGAAACGCTTGGCTTAACATTCGCCGCCAAAGCACGAGGATTCGTGGTGCTTACTGTTCCACAAGGGCCCAGCACGCCTCTGGACCAACCCTGACGTGTAGACACTGGTATACCGCCACCGTATGAAGCAACTCCAATAGAAGTACTTTTATTGGTATCTGCAGATAACAGAAATTAAACAAGTCAACGCGTGCTTCATCATCTGAATGAAGCAAACTCTTCTTCATTCTTCAAACTCTTTCAGAGCAAGTGCTCTTGCTCAAAATAGAATGCATTTATATATATTTCCATTTTTTTACCCATTTGTTTACTTAGGTTTTTATATTTTTACCCGTAAGTAGTTAGTGGTAGAGAGCCATATATAAAAGTCACACCCTCTTATACTTATATTTTTTAATAGCATTAGCCAGCTTTTCCTCCACTGCTCCCTCATGTTCTGTTGATGAAGCCTCTTCAAACCTCATGAAAATTAGAAAACGGGAAATAAGAAGCAAAATTATTATATTACTATGCAAAAACTATTGTCATGAACCAGCATTTGTTGGATGGATCTATGCCTGGCCACTAGTACCGCTAGCTAGATTCAGCTTTTAAACAAGCATTCACAAAATAATTTAATTCAGTAATTTAGATCCAGGACAGTTTCACTCCTCTTCAATATACTTTGGTCAGGTACTGAAGCCAGATAAATCTGTATCGACCTACCTACAGCAAGTGTTTAGCAGCCACATACAAACACTGATGCCTCGCCCGTTTCTGCCTCTACCAGGTAAGCCATTTTTTCACAAGAAGGAACCAAGACCACCGTCTGCGTCGTAGAATAGTCAGAGTCCTAGATATTCTGGGTACCAGTACGAGAAAAAAAAGACATAACAGGCTTGTCAAGATTTCATCGAGAGACAAGTGAATCAAAAAGGAACACTGGAGAAACGAGTATTATGATCCTCTTGAAAATCAGGACATTCCTCGAAGATGTCTGCGACTCGGTGGAACAATGCAATTCCGAAAATAAGTCGCAGGTCTTTGGTCCATTAAGTGCTCACGGGATCAGCATGTGTGGCCAATACACAGTCTAAGTCAGGAGTTTTCCACCTGTTACAATGGCAGGAGAAAGACCACAAGGAATCGGTCACATTTAATAGTACACAGTTATCAATATTATCCAACCATCTATCTTTCTAATGGTTCCGAAAAGAAAGTTCACTACGGGCTTACCATAGCTCGCGCTACTTGCAACTTTTCTTCCGAGTAGTTGAATCTAAAACAGCAAATAAGGTTGAAGAATGCGGTAAGAATTTCTTGGAAGAAATCTAAATAACGAAGTCTTTTTTGGGAGATTGGACCATCTGCAATTTTATTATGGAAACATCACTATGGGTGGGAACCCAGCAAAATTTGAGTCTTGTATTTCCTAAACATGAGAAGTAGCCAGTATTGGGTTTCAATCACGACAAGATGGGAAGCATTAAAAACTCCAGAAACCAGAAGAGCACTGTGAATTGACCATAACAAATAAACGTGGGCGGATAAAGACTAACTGATAGAACATACACAACTGTAACACATTTTGCCACGAAAATGTTTATCCATGCAGAAGGTACCATACATAGGTTGGAACAGGAAAAACAAAGGTGTAGCTAATGCCATCGCAGATTGACCCACCGGTGAACAGAGCAATAGCGCAGGAATGATATTGAAAAACCTCAAAGAAAAGGCGTTTTATAATTGTATGCGGATATAAGCCTTCACTGTGTGGGGTAAAGGCCCTTTATAATTTCAGAAATTTCAGAAGCAGGACGTTTCATGGGGGGCAAGGTAGGGGGAAAAAAAGTTGACTGGATACATCGCGGACGCGTACCTAGAAAATCCGCAAACAGGTCATCCTTGCACTAAAAGGAGAGGAAATAGGACTAACAATAGGGATAGCAGTCAAGGAATGAGAAGCTGGAATAGGAGTGTTGAAGGGACTATCAAAGGTAGTACCGATCGCAGTGATCTTGTTATGATGGGACAACAAATTTCACATAGCAGGTCAGGGTTGGACAAGAATGAAAGGCACTAGAACAGAGTCGCATCCCTGTGTAATGGAAAGTGACGAAGGTTTCAGGACGAAGCCAACTAATATGCAGGCCAGCCATAGTCTAGTTTAGACAGAACAAGGCAGTAGCACAATTATGGGTGTGTTCACCTATGTGCCCCCCATGAGGTATGTTGCATGGCTGAAGAAACGCTCTTAAGAGTATCCAAAATGGAAGTAAGCGATATGGGATTACCAAGGCAAGTGTATGTCAAAGATCATCCCTCATATGCTTAGCACTCACCCAATACATCAATCGAGTCTCGGTAATAAGGATGGATAGTGAACGACCTGCTTCCTAGTACAAATTATAACACAAGTCTTAGTTGCAGAGAACTTAAAGTCATGATTGGTATCCCAATATGACACATTATCTATTGCAAATTAGCGTCTATGCTGGCTGAGGGAGATATTGCCGCCAGGACAGCACACCGCCCACAGAGCGCTGAGAACATCCAAAAGAAAGAAAGAGATCATTAAGATTAACACGTCAAAGAGCGGTGCTTAAAACACTATCCTGGGGAACACTTTTATACCGTCGAAATGTGGCAAAGAAAGCTGTTCTAAGTCGTACCTTAAATGTTCGACAAAAAGAGGAAGCTCTGAAGGAATAGTGGTAGATTGCCCCAAAGACCAAAAGAATGCAGTTGGGCGACAATAGTGTCTTCGCGTAGTCCTAAGTCTTTTTCAGGTATATAAAAAGGACTACAACCGAGGCATTTGTAATAAAACATACCACAAATAAAACTCACAACATCTCGCAATGCCAGTAATGACGAAATGCTTGCACTAGCAAAATCAAGAGAGAGATGGGACAACGATAATGTTCTAAATAACACATGAAACTTATCTTTGAACCATTTGTTCGAAAAGATTACAGACGCAGCTTGTCATGGCAACAGGGTGAATTGTGTAACATTATTTATGTTGCATACAGGAAGATGGAGCATTTCTTACAGAATACTGCTCGAACCCGCTGCCATGGAATTACAAAGGGACAGGAGATCAGAGGGTTGAGCAGATCATTGTAGGGGAGCTGAGGCCGAGTGGACAGCCCAAGGGGGGGGGGGGCGATTGGACAGCCCAAGGGGGGGGGGCAGAGTGGACAGCCCAAGGGGGGGGGCAGAGTGGACAGCCCAAGGGGGGGCAGAGTGGACAGCCCAAGGGGGGGCAGAGTGGACAGCCCAAGGGGGGGCAGAGTGGACAGCCCAAGGGGGGGCAGAGTGGACAGCCCAAGGGGGGGCAGAGTGGACAGCCCAAGGGGGGGGGGCGAGACTAACGAGACTTGCACTGACTTCTGGCAGTATGTCGCCTGACCTCTCGGCGCCCATGTCTGGAAAGTCCCATTCTTTCTTCTGTTTAGTTTCTCTAGCTTACAGAATAAACTTACTGGTGTATTACTTTCTACGTTGTTTATTCTGTCTGATCGCTCTCACGAAATATTTGTTTCAATGAGCCATGTTTTCCTTATATTATGATCCACCATATTTCTTTTCCAGATCTCAACAATGCCCGCTAGATGCATAAACGAGCGATGGGATGGTGCCCAATCGTTCTACCTCCTACAATTAACCTTCGCAAATAACGATTCCTCTATCAAGTAATATCTCATTAAAATGATTTGATATTAAAATAAAACCAAAATGATTTCACACTCACAGTTTCCCGAAGTGTTTGTGTTCTGTTCCGGACGAGGGCTGGAGTTATATGCTCTTCTCATATGTTCAAAAATGTAATTCATGTGCACGGCCCACAGTTTGGTTTGTTCATAAGCCAAAATCATTGGTTTGGCGAAACTACACACATTAATCTGATTGGCCATGTCATTCCAAAACTCTGGTGTGAATGGGAGTGGCAAAGTGATATTCTGGTCCACAATCATGCTATTCAAATGCTTGCATGCACTCCAGTACGGCGCAGATGTAGCCTTGCCAAAAAGCTGTACAGGATATATCATGACATAGGTGGTAGTGTGGAGTCCCTTGAGGCCACGTTTGAGACTCTTCAGCTCCTGCATCGTCCTGCTCTCAACACTAGATGTGCCCTTGTCTTTCTTCATTAAGTTATATAGCCCCAAAACAACCGCGACAGCCAGAAGCTTCCCACGATTTTCCTTTTCAGAAAGAACGCATTTCAGGTAAGGCAGAGCAGCATGGCTTATCTGGCCCACAGTTGTCTCTCTACTGCTGCACACATGAATGAGGCTGGGAGGCAGTCCAGGCATGAGACTCCAAGCTTTGCTGAGATAAGGAAGCCTGTTGTCGGAGAGCACCACACGCACGACGTTATCTGTTGACACCAAGCACAGGAGTTAGGCTTTAAAATCAACAGTGTGGTGCTGTTGGCCATTAATAACAACTCCTAAATCAATCTTTTTAACCAGTAACCGGTTTTAAAATGTAAATATTTTTGTATTCTATACTATGAAATACGAGAGAACATTAAACAAATTTGCAAATATATAGTGCATGATGTTCAGAATCAAAATAAGCGTCTTAAGTAGTTCGAAATGTAACAATATTAAGGTAATATATTCTCTACAACTTTTTAAATAATTTCTCAGTCATGTACATAGAGTAAACACTTTCTTAATAATTCTCACACTTACCTTCAACTCCGTTGACGAGTATGGCTGACACGAGTTTGTTTAGCACTATTTGGGCAGATGTAACCGAAGCCTTGGGTGCCCCGCCCGAGGCTGGCTTGGGAGCCCCGCCCGAGGCTGGCTTGGGAGCCCCGCCCGAGGCTGGCTTGGGTGCCCCGCCCGAGGCTGGCTTGGGTGCCCCGCCCGAGGCTGGCTTGGGTGCCCCGCCCGAGGCTGGCTTGGGTGCCCCGCCCGAGGCTGGCTTGGGAGCCCCGCCCGAGGCTGGCTTGGGTGCCCCGCCCGAGGCTGGCTTGGGTGCCCCGCCCGAGGCTGGCTTGGGTGCCCCGCCCGAGGCTGGCTTGGGTGCCCCGCCCGAGGCTGGCTTGGCAGCCCCGACCGAGGCTGGCTTGGCAGCCCCGACCGAGGCTGGCTTGGGTGCCCCGCCCGAGGCTGGCTTGGGTGCCCCGCCCGAGGCTGGCTTGGGTGCCCCGCCCGAGGCTGGCTTGGGTGCCCCGCCCGAGGCTGGCTTGGGTGCCCCGCCCGAGGCTGGCTTGGGTGCCCCGCCCGAGGCTGGCTTGGGTGCCCCGCCCGAGGCTGGCTTGGGTGCCCCGCCCGAGGCTGGCTTGGGTGCCCCGCCCGAGGCTGGCTTGGCAGCCCCGACCGTGACTGGCTTGGCAGCCCCGCCCGAGGCTGGCTTGGCAGCCCCGCCCGAGGCTGGCTTGGCAGCCCCGACCGTGACTGGCTTGGCAGCCCCGACCGTGACTGGCTTGGCAGCCCCGACCGTGACTGGCTTGGCAGCCCCGACCGTGACTGGCTTGGCAGCCCCGACCGTGACTGGCTTGGCAGCCCCGACCGTGACTGGCTTGGCAGCCCCGACCGTGACTGGCTTGGCAGCCCCGACCGTGACTGGCTTGGCAGCCCCGACCGTGACTGGCTTGGCAGCCCCGACCGTGACTGGCTTGGCAGCCCCGACCGTGACTGGCTTGGCAGCCCCGACCGTGACTGGCTTGGCAGCCCCGACCGTGACTGGCTTGGCAGCCCCGACCGTGACTGGCTTGGCAGCCCCGACCGTGACTGGCTTGGCAGCCCCGACCGTGACTGGCTTGGCAGCCCCGACCGTGACTGGCTTGGCAGCCCCGACCGTGACTGGCTTGGCAGCCCCGACCGTGACTGGCTTGGCAGCCCCGACCGTGGCTGGCTTGGCAGCCCCGACCGTGGCTGGCTTGGCAGCCCCGACCGTGGCTGGCTTGGCAGCCCCGACCGTGGCTGGCTTGGCAGCCCCGACCGTGGCTGGCTTGGCAGCCCCGCCCGTGGCTGGCTTGGCAGCCCCGCCCGAGGCTGGCTTGGCAGCCCCGCCCGAGGCTGGCTTGGCAGCCCCGCCCGAGGCTGGCTTGGCAGCCCCGCCCGAGGCTGGCTTGGCAGCCCCGCCCGAGGCTGGCTTGGCAGCCCCGCCCGAGGCTGGCTTGGCAGCCCCGCCCGAGGCTGGCTTGGCAGCCCCGCCCGAGGCTGGCTTGGCAGCCCCGCCCGAGGCTGGCTTCAATAAGTAATAAGGATCTGGCGTCACGCCGTTATCGCGGGTCACGCCGGGATCGGGGGTCACGCCGGGATCGCGGGTCACGCCGGGATCGCGGGTCACGCCGGGATCGCGGGTCACGCCGGGATCGCGGGTCACGCCGGGATCGCGGGTCACGCCGGGATCGCGGGTCACGCCGGGATCGCGGGTCACGCCGGGATCGCGGGTCACGCCGGGATCGCGGGTCACGCCGGGATCGCGGGTCACGCCGGGATCGCGGGTCACGCCGGGATCGCGGGTCACGCCGGGATCGGGGGTCACGCCAGGATCGGGGGTCACGCCAGGATCGGGGGTCACGCCAGGATCGGGGGTCACGCCAGGATCGGGGGTCACGCCAGGATCGGGGGTCACGCCAGGATCGGGGGTCACGCCAGGATCGGGGGTCACGCCAGGATCGGGGGTCACGCCAGGATCGGGGGTCACGCCAGGATCGGGGGTCACGCCAGGACCAGCCAAAGCGTCCCTCATTGGATAAAACTCATTCACTATGACTTGATAACCGTCCATTACTGGGGGATTTCCATTGTTTGATGGTAGAGTGATTTCGTTCATCGGCTTATCCTCTTCATGAACCGACTGGACAACCTCCATTAGCTGAACAGAGGTTGTCTGGACATCTATCATAGTTTGAACATCCTCCACTGACTGAACAACTGTTGCCCGATCATCACCCTCCTCCTCCAGCCGCACGCGAACAAGACCGACGTCACCAATCATCAGTCTTGGGCGTATCCTCTTCCTGACCCTGAAAATGTGAAGGAAGAATTCCATTACCACCTGCTTCAAAAAGCCTACTCTTGGCTATATACTTTCATAAGGGTAATATTCTATGATCGGGAAATAAGCACACAACTACAATGACTTTCCCTTCACGCTACCAAGAAAGCTAGAACCACGACCAAAACAGCTGTTAATTCTGCTACTTTGAACTTTTTGTTCCGAGTAGCTGAATCTGAAACAACAGTTTCTTTCCCGCCCCCAAAAATTACCCAAAAACCCCTCCCTATGCAAGCGATGTGTCAATCGACTTGAGAATGGTCCAGGACGGGCCGAAACGTCGTCGTCCCTTCAACTTCTAGTGTGTGGTCTGGTCAACCCCTCCCTAGTTATCTCGAGGACAAATTATGTCGCTTTTCGCTCGTATGCGCTACAGCCAAAAATGACCGTAATTTGAAAATGAAAAATAATTTTAAATAAATTTTGGAATTTTGTTTTCCAAAACAGCAAGTTAAGGGTCTCGTTGTAGGTTTAGCAGGACAGAACTTCTAAGGTTTAAAAACGTCATGAAAACCGTTAATTGAAAGTTTCCTCTCCTAACCTAACAGCCTAAGCCAGAGGACCCAAAAAGAAAACGGGACAGTACGTCATTTTCGTGAGCCGATTTCACTTTGAATTACATCAAATTTTAACTTTAGTTCGCATACGAACGAAAAGCGATGTAATTTGTAAGAGGACAGGTTGCTATTTTGTATATGTATTCACGGTTTTGCAATGTGTATAAAACACATTGCAAAACCGTGTGGGAGGGGAAGGATCGGACGGGGGGGAGGGACGGGGGGAGGGAAGAGGGGACTGGGGGGCGGGTATATAGGGGTAGGCAGGGGGGGGGAAGAGGGGAAGGCAGGGGGGGGTGGAAGGCGGGAACGGGGAAGAGAAGGGACGGGAGGTGGTGGGGGACGAGGATGAGAAGGGACGGGAGGTGGGGGGAAGGGGAAAAGAAGGGACGGAAGAGAATGGACGGGAGGTGGGGGGGGGGGGCGACGGGGAAGAAAAGGGACGGGGAAGTTCACATCAACAGCAATTTCACCGTCACGACAGAAGAGTCAGCATAGGCTACCAATTATGCAATTATCGAAACAATCCGCCGAGAGAGGAAATACCAAACAGCAGTAGGCTACCAACGTTAAAAATGTTGCTGATGCCTCCCCCATCTTGACCACGGCTGGTGGCCACTTGCACCAGACGTGACCAAAATATTAAATTCTACGAGGCAGCGTTTGACAACAACTCGAGACCATTTTTACCAGACATGACCAAGATGCAGAATAGGCGAGAGACGGACATCGCCTGCACGCACAATACAAAATATATATAATATACTAAATCCTCACATTGTTGGAGCTAGGAAAACATTCACATTTTAGTACCATACCGACACTACCTAACTACACCACTACCACACCATCCCCCACTTTGTACCTGCGAGATACCATTTTGAACACAATATACAAGACACTAACCGAGGAATATAGACAAGGTGGACAAAGACTGCCTCTCTAAATTTATATCATATATCGCAACAGGTACAACAAGGTTAGTAGGCGGGACATATAAAGAACCTGATCTCACTTTCCCGTAGACACAGACAGGCCAGTTACATACAGGGGAACCATTCCGGGCTCACCGTAGCCCGTGCTACTTGGAACTTTTTGTTCCAAGTAGCAAATCTTAAACAACAATAAACAATCCTCACATAAACACCAGAGACATTACTCACAGACGGAAGCCATCCCCCATTCACACCCTCCGGCGACCACAGCTACACTGCCGGAGTCGCACTCGTGAAGGTTCGAGGCCCCAGGGACTCAGGCTTCGGCCACTACTAGCGAACAAAAATTTATTTTTATATTTTCATCCTGTATTTTAAAAGTACAACATGGCACTGTTTTAGTTTAGCTACATGTGTATATATGATTAAATGTGCTGAATAGTAGTTACAATTTAGTACTTTACGAACACATATTTAAGTCATAACATTTTAAGCAAGCACGCACTGTATACCTGCGAAAGTTGGAAAAGTTACAGCGCTCGTATCCTCATAAGGGTTCGAATCTCTTGCGTGAGAAGAGTTGAAGAAAACTGGCTCCCAGCGTGGGTATAGTGAAGGATAAACTGTATACCAGCTCGTCCTCTCCAGCGTTCACCCTCCATGACGCATCCGTTCCCAGGAGCGTCGTTGCTCCTCAGTCAATAACAATACACAGAAAGGTGTATCCAGTTTATAATTTGTGTATACACTGAGAGTTTACATTAATCCCGAATTATGTTCACGACTAAAGTATTCTTGGTGATTGGTCAGTAAACTATTCTGGTGGCCTTGATAGCCCTCCCACGGTTGATAGGCTATAAGCTCGACACCAAACCAACTACTAGTGACACCCAACGTAAGACAAAGTGAATATTGCGTAGTATAAAGCGTGATCTTGTCTGGCAAATTAACATTTACGTGACTAGTTCACCACACATGAAAATGGTTTAACTTCAAGACCATTGTGGACCATTTCCTGGATCCTAGGCTACCCCCACCACCCACAGGACATCTATAGAGTCAATCATGAATTAATGAATAACTCCTATCTGTGTGTATGCTCACCAAGCTTTGCTTACGGGAGTGAAGCTTTAGCTCTTGGGTCCCGGATGTATGTATATTTATGGTTAATTAACTCAGTCCAGATACAATTCTTCGACGATATTTTCGCGTGTCAAGGGTGAGAAGGTGGTGATAAATTTGCAGCTCAATACCACACTGCTCCAAGCTGTCACGCTGCTTGATATCCCGAGAGTGACGGTATGAATCTCAAAGTGAATCTCAGTCACTTTTAGTACGGTACTTGAGAGACCTAGTCAGTGTACACACAGTCATACTAATTCCCAAGGCAAATATTCTGTTTATAGGCCGGAGCGTCGACATGTATGTCTGGGGGGGTTTCAAACTGCGGCACCCGACACATTAGTGGGTCGCAAATGAGTAAAATGGGTCACGACAAACAGAAAAAATCTATAAAAAATAAGCAATTGATATGGACGATCTCCTTCGCACTCATTACTCATTGCAATTTATGAGATGATTGTACGCTTGTTGCTAGGCGATTGGTGCTGAATTGCTGCATCTTAATCGTTTATTTATTCTAAAGAATGATTGTAAGCAATTAGATTTGTCGTCATTTTGGATTAATGTTAAAAGAATGATTTCACTTTTAAATCAAATGGATATCTTGATACAATCACCTTTTACTACTACTAATTTGTGTGAACTAGGATTTTCCACATTGTTACGGTAATCTCCTGCTTATAACTCAATTAAAAACGAGAGATAGAAAGCAGCTCAACACTGCACCAGAGGACCACATATGAGTGTAACATTGTCTTCCTGTGTTCCAAGTTGCAATAAACTATTTACGAACAAACAAGTACATCCTCACTAAATAAAAACTAAAAAAATAGTATGTTTTTTTGCTGGAATTTCATGTAAAATGTTTTGTTTGTTTATATTCATCATAAAAATAAAAATGTGTAATTGAATTGAATAGGTTCCATCATTAAATATGTATTTATCATGTATCAAGAGTAAATAAAGGAACATAATTCAGTTTGTCTGATTTAATACACATAAACATACTGGGTCGCAATACAGAATGCAGTTTTTTATTGAGAGTTGTAGTAAAAAAATATAGTTTGAACAACGCTGATGTATTCAAAACTAAGGCCGTACTGGTCTCTGGTCACACAGCGCCGCTCCTGTGCCAGGTAAGTCCACAACGGGCTCACCATAGCCCGTGCTACTTGGAACTTGTTCCGAGTAGCTGAATCTATAACAACAACAATAACATGGTCTCTGGTACATATTGTTGTTTGAGGCCAACCGCTCAACAACACTACCCCGCGCTGCCAGCCGCACGACGTGCTCCCTGACCACCCTGGCGCCAGCAGTGTGCCTGCAACAGCAAGGTGGAGGTGTCAGTGTGCCTCCCAGCGTGGCCGAGTGAAGTACATCTGCGTTTGTGGGTAGATAGATCTAGTTCTTAGGCTACATTATTGTTGTTTGGTGTTCCATATCTCTCTTCTTCCCCCCTCTATCCCCCTCCATAATTTTTTATTCATTTTCCACCACAGACTTTGTCATGTGCAAACCAGAATATATATATTTTCTCCTGTCCTGCATAGACTAGGATAGAGATTTGTTCTACTACAAATAGTACTTAGTTATTAACCTCTCAACCACAAATGAATTTAATTCCATTTACAAGCTCAATATATTTTACATAAACGTGATTCGTGTTAGTGTCTTCCGCGGAAAGAACTAACTTGTCCATCTTTATCAGTACTAATTCAAAGACAACTATACAGTGAAGTAAGATTAATGTATTATATGCACACCAAAAGTGTTATAGAACCCTATGTACTTTGATGTGAAGAGTTACATACAGTGTATATAATATATATATATATATATATAATATGGAAGAGTCCATAGTTAATGAACGAGATAGTCATTCAGCATGACATGACGTGCTCTCCTGATAATTACCCTGCCCTTCTTTACCTTAATATACTGTTTCGGTATTTAAGGGGCTACCCTTATCCCTTTCCCTCTCCCTCCCTCTGTCTATGTACAATATTTAAGAACTATAGCTTATAATAAAGTGTGCTGTATTTTAGGGAAGCACTGAGGTAGACTCTGTGAGAGCATCCAATTCCGAAAGCGTTTAATCCCTGATACAATAGTTACCTCATAAATCGCTCAGAATACAGTAGACGTGAATCTTGCACGGATACAAGGAGGCAGGATTCTAGACATCTGTGAGTGCAAGAAAACATTTTAAGAGACGCCGAGGAACAAAGAACTGACATTCTCGACAAGTGTATGGGTTAAAATCTATACTGCTCGGATATATTTCTGAAGAAAAAGTTTGTGAAATTTGAGGGGTCAGGATACCTGTTGATGCTCCGCCGTGACCTCCGCTGGTCCGTGTGACCCCCGCTGGCCCGTGTGACCCCCGCTGGCCCGTGTGACCCCCGCTGGCAGAGATTGGCACGGGCTGGCACTGGTCAAGACCTGCAGACACCACACTGTAGCAGACGGCGTCGAGGGCGGAGGCCATGAGGAAAGTGAGTATGTTGGTGTCGTTGAAGACCTGCACCTCAAACAGATGGCAAGTCATATATTTTTGGGATTAATATGTTCTTTTGGTAGTTTGGAAAGTGATCGGTTTTAGCAGCTAGGTAAGACTGTCAATATAGGCCAAACAGTTCAATCAGCTGGTTCACTAAATACTCAACGCTTCATGGAATTAACATACGAACGGGCTAGCCTAGTCCCTGCAAAAATCTCTGATACCCCCCCCCCCCTCTCGTCCCCCCATCGTAGGAGTTAACTATTCCATCCTGGACCATAAGCCAAGAGACCACAACCTCCTCTTCCCCACCAGTCACGTTCAAACACGTTTATTGAGACAATAAAATACATCTCAAAGGGATAGAGTAGCTTAGGCTATTTCTACCCTCCAACTTCAAGTCTTAAGGGGCACACAAATCCAGTGAGTGCAAATCCACAAATCAGAGTAAAAAAAATCACATTTTACATTGCAGGTTAATATAGTAAACACAGGATGTGTGATACACTCTTGGGGCGAAGTGCTTGTAGCTCCCAAGTATTCTGTCTATCATATCATTATCACACATCCAAACAAATTGACCTGATGCACTACTTACCCCACCAGTCCATACACAAACCTGTACCAACATGATCAATATTATTTCGCACACCTCGGGCACCATATATATATAAAAAGCAGTAAATTTAATCTTAATTTCGTTAAGATAGGATAGGTTAGGGTTAGGCTACATTTAAGAGCAGTGACGATGAGGGGCACATACTTTTCTCAGCTCTTGGAACTTTTTTTTATAGCAGCCCAACTCAAACACCACTCTGCCCAAAAACCAAGGAGGGCTATGTAGAGAGAGAATAGAAACGATTGATTTATAGCTACAAGAATCATATACGCAGCAGAAGAGCCAGAGAGTGCAAAAGGCCATAAATGAAATACAGAGGAACCCAAAATACTTTTTATTCTATGCAAAAATCCAGAACAAAAACATCTAGCATTGGGCCCTTGTACAAGGGACGTGAAACTTTCACAGATGACATCAAATAAATTAGTAAAATATCAAGATCCAGTAAGATTCTGTTTTCATTTAACAGAATTGTACTGTTATATATAATTATCGATCTTCAGTGATCGATAATTGAAGATCGATAATTCAATATAATCCAAACAAATGCTTCACGAAATAACATTAATTAATGAAGAAAAGTTCCAGCTTCTGCGTTATGGTAAAAACGAAAATATAAAACTGATATCCATATATGTCAGATCCCCTTATAACCCCAAAAAAAGCAATATAAAAAATTTTGTTGTGATCCTAACGGAAGATCTTACTTTTAAAGAACACAATAAAATAACTGTCACAACATTGAGGATAGAACTGTATAACAAGAACCTTTCAAACAAAAAATTCCAGACCAGTAATGGATCTTTTTACGACACTAGTGTTCTCTAGAGTGGAATACTGTTGCACACTAACAGCTCCACTTAAAGCTGGCGGAATTGTTGGCTTGGAGAACGTGCAAAGGCCTTTTACTTGCCGAATCCACTCAATAAAACGTGTAAATTATTTGGACCGCTTAAAATGTTTTAAGTCTGTATTCTCTAGAGTGCAGGCGAGAGATGTATATAATAATATACGCCGAAAAATATTATTGTGAATAGTTCCAAATCTGCGCACGGAAGTAACTCCGACACGAGAACTTGAGGCATAACAGAAAGTGTAAGAGCCCAGTTGAAGAGCAAAGGTGCAGTAGGTATGCAAAAAAAATCATCAATAGCTCAAGACTTCAACACTCTTCCTCTAAACATAAGGGGCATTACTGGCCAACTTCTCACGGTGTTTAAGTGATAAATTAATAAACATCTCTAAAAGATACCTGATCAACCGGGCAGTGATTCATAAGTTAGACTACGAGCAGCTACGTCCACCATCCTGGTTGACTAACCACGAACCAAGAGGCTTGGTTCCGAGACCAGGTCGCAGGGACTTTGATCCTCGGAACCATCACAAGGTGACCGCAAGGTTAGGTAAGAACTAAAGAGGACTAAAGGGTGCTACAAGAAGACCTAATTGACAAACTTCAGGCGTTATTCAATCCAAGTAAGTGAAAAGTAATTAATGAAAATGGGTAAGGAAAAGAGGAGACTTGTATTTAACTATACCATAAAGGAAAGGGATTTACCAGGAACAACACGAGAAAAGGACCCGGGAGCAGACATAATTCCAACACTAACGCCAGAAGCTCACGTGACCAGAATAACATCAGCAGCATGTGGTTAGCAAACATAAGAACGCCATTTAAGTACCTAAACAAGGAAGCTTTCAAGTCCATACACTCTGCCAATGTGAGACCATTACTTGTGTATGCAGCACCAACATGGCACCTACACCTTGTGAAGCGTGAGAAACTTAAGAAAGATCAGAGGTTTGCAACTAAATTAGTACTAGAATTGAGAAGCCTCAGCTATGAGGACAGGTTCTGTCCTCATAGCTGAGGATAGCTAAGGTTGAGGGAACTCACCCTCACAACCTTAGAGAGAAGAAACAGGGGTGAAATGATCACGACATAAAAGATCCCGAGAGGAATAAATTAGTGCACAAAGAAAGCCTATTTAAATTAAAGAGAGATAGGACAAAGGAACATAAGTGGAAGCTGGACACGCAGTTGAATCAAAGAAGTATAAAAGTTCTCGTTCCCGTTATGGGTGTCAGCAAGTGGACCGCACTGAAGGAAGAGGCTGTTGAAGCAGATTCCATTCACAGCTTGAAGAACAAATATGAGGAAAACAATGTTGAGAGAGGTAATTAGCGCACAAGGTATAAACGGCTATTATGCGGGGCTAGATCTCACTCGCCCGTAGTCACTGACAGGTAAGCACTAATAGTAAGCAGTGGGCAGTGTACAATGGATGCAAGAGATGGGTCAGGTTTCTCTGAGGCCGCGCGCCTTCCCTACACACCCGTCCGTGGTTTAGAGTCTTGGGCGAGCGCTGACGACGACGCGCGCTCCGGCAACAGCTGGAGCTGGATGCGTGTGTTTCTACAGTACGTCTCAACCACGTGATGACTGGCAGTTAGGTGCCATGCCATTTTGTGGCTGCCTTTATGGAAATGTAAACATCATATGACTACAACAATGTCATTAGAAAGGGAAAGTAAGACTGGGGACATCACTACCTACACATGGGCGAGTATCATGAGTATCGTGCCATAAATGCTCAGTTGAATATCTCTTTCAAAGCGTAAGATAAAATTAAAAGTATGTATAAGAGTGTGTTTGTGCAAAGTGGACAGCCAGACGCATGGGGCTACTAGCCTTACAAAACTTTGCAGGGTGCATGCTCTGGCTGACAGGTAGTACATAGGGAGAGAGAGACCCGGGCTCTGCCAGGTACCCTTCCTAGTAAATTAATATGAGAATTTGCCTTGTTTAGCAACTGTAAAAAGCAGCGCGCGCGCAACACACACACACACACACACACACACACACACACACACACACACACACACACACACACACACAGGTTGTGGAAGCAAATACTGTTCATAATTTTAAAACTAGGTATGATAGGGAAATGGGACAGGAGTCATTGCTGTAAACAACCGATGCTCGAAAGGCGGGATCCAAGAGTCAATGCTCGATCCTGCAGACACAACTAGGTGAGTACAACTAGGTGAGTATACACACACACACACTAGGGGGCCTGACGGTTGAGTGGACAGCACTCGGCATTCGTAGTTCTAGGGTCCGGGGATCGTTCCTGGCGGAGAACGTCGCCGTTTTAGTCCTAGTTTTTTTATTATTATTATTTTCTACCACAGACGTGGCCACACATTTACAATGCTAACCATCATATATACATTTTCTTCTGTCCTCTATGGACAGAGTTAGAGATGTGTTAAACATATAGTTCAGGGGTTTATTGAACGTCTGGGACTAGGAATAAAAAGAATGAATTTTGGAGAGTTACTTTATCAATTACCCCCGACAGTGAAGAAGAACGTAAGAAATATTGAGAAGATTCGTGTTAGAATTATTAATCTTACCCTTTCGGTCATATTCAACAACATATGTTTACAAGAAAGACTGCTACCAATATATATATATATATATATATATATATATATATATATATATATATATATATATATATATATATATATATATATATATATTTTTTTTTTTTTTTTTTTGTGGTACTTCGCTAGTCTCCTTCACTTTCACATATCTTTTCTCTCACATAAGATACATTCCTTGAAATGTGGTTACAATAACACATGTATTTCTGTCTTTCTGTTGTCATATAAAACATTAGGCTCCACTAGCGTTATTAATTACACAACTTGTCATAGAGTTTTGTTAGGCTCGGCGCTCCAAGGGCAAAGAGACGTAATGAAATGTTAAGAAATACCAGTATACACTACCTAATATATTTACGCTTCAGGTTAGATTTTTCATACCGTAATTAAAATTCATAGGCTTAGCCTTCATATATTTGATTGCAATCAATTAATTTAATATGTAGGCCTAGGGATTATACAGTTTAACATTTTTTGTTAAAACTTCTTTTCAAAACATACTTACGCAATTACGATTATGATTGACTTTGTTGAAATGATTGAGGTTAATATTTACATACTAGGTATTTACATAAGCGTTCTATGATGTTATTTATCCTTAAAATATTTATTTAGTGCGAGTTACAGACACGCAAAGCACTAATTTGTAAGAAGTGCTAGCAGGTGGATTATCTCTTACGTTATCTCTTAAGACTAGCGTTAGTAAACAATTAGTTGAATTGCAGCATAACCGTCAAGAACGAGATAAGAAGGAAAGGTTTCTTAAGCATTTGTGGAACTACTTGAGGAATCCGGTCCAATGAACGATTATCGTATGTGCTCCGCCTTATTAGGCTGTAAGCCAATACTCAAATATCCGGTCTTGTTCATCCACGTGTTATCGACTTCGTATACATGCTAGTGATGCCAACCTTGGTTGTCATCCACCAACAGGTGGCACAGGTTCGTACCCCTTTCCTAAGATACCCACACCACCCGAAAACTTTCGGGTGGTGTGGGGATGCTACGGGAGAGGGGATGCTACAAGGGGGAATGCTACGAGAGAGGACTCACATGATGGGGAAGGTTGAGAGAGAGAGAAGGGGGAAGGGAGCTGGACACTTTCTCCAGGTTATCGCTGTAGTCTTGGGCAAGAGAAGCCACCACTTCCTCTTGACTTTCCATAAGACCTCTGCGCTCTCACACACCACTTTGCCTTTCACTCCCGGACCCATGCACAGACCTTCACCCTCAGCGGAAGCAGCTGTGGATTATCTCAACACGAGGAATCGCAGCGACAGTGATTTAATTCGAGCAATTGTTTATACGTAAATATTCGTTTTGACAGCAATTTGTTTTTGTTTTGTAAATAAATTAGCGAGGAGATGAGATTATGCTTGTCCATTCATTTTCCGGTGCGAGGACACAGAAGGTCTTCGTGGAGTTAAGTACACAACAGTTACTCGATGATTCTTAGATATTTGTCTGTTTCTTAGATATTTTGCGTTATAAGCAACGAATTCTTGGTGGTTATGGTTCGAGACATTGTTGACCAGACCACACACTAGAAAATGAAGGGACGACGACGTCGTCCCTTCATTTTCTAGTGTGGTCTGGTTAACATATTTCAGCCACCTTATTCTGACTCATCATCTGCGTTCGAGACATTGTGTTGTCGGGGTATTGCTGTCTCATCCCCGCCGCTGTTTCCTGAAGCAAATGGTTTGTTGGTGTGACTGACGACTGTCTGATGTAGTGTGATGTAGCGTGTTGGATACAGCCATAAGAGCAGAAGTATGGTTTGTTTCCCATCGACGACCGGGACTGCACAGGCGCAGAGGCAACTTGGGTATCGCTCGGGAGAAAGTTTGGCATCACATTCATGTGTAAGATACAGAACTGTAGGTGTTCGTGCTGTAGTGGGGTCCAACCACTACAGCACAATGGGGGGGAAGGGTCTCCAGCGCTTGAGCTCCACCATCTATAATGTAATGCATGCCCTAAAAATGTAGAATCAATTATGATAATAGTAAATGAATGTGAATAGAGAGAGAGAGAGAGAGAGAGAGAGAGAGAGAGAGAGAGAGAGAGAGAGAGAGAGAGAGAGAGAGAGAGAGAGAGAGAGAGAGGAGGGGGGTTACTAGGGTGTGTGGACGGAGGAAGGCATCGCGAGCTCTCTCTTTGCCACTCCGTAAAACAAAAAAAATGAAACGTTTTGTCTAACCAGAAACGGACGAACCCACGCAGCCCACCTAACCTATCGAGACCGATATACAGAAATCGTCGATAATACACTTTAATGTTTACTAACATGTCGCATTTTTGTAACAAATTGGTCATTTTTTTTTTTAAATACGACGTAATGGATGAGAGGAAGGTGTGTGTGTGTGTGTGTGTGTGTGTGTGTGTGTGTGTGTGTGTGTGTGTGTGTGTGTGTGTGTGTGTGTTGGGGGGGATGGTAGAGGGGGAAGACAACGGCCAGGGGAGGTAGCCAGCCAGGTGTGAGGCGGAAGTGGAGTATTGTCGCATGAGTTGAGGTTTTTATTTATGTCTGAAGTCCGTTAACTGTTGCCTCACAACTCCCGCCAGTCAGAGCATGTCCGAGCATAGCCGGGGGACTGTTACCCAATACTGGCCGGGAGATTGTTGGCACCCCTGTGGCCGGGAGAGTGTTGCAAAAGCATTACAAGAGGCCAATATCAACAATACCAGGGAACAATTTAAATTCGTGCACTATTTCCGGGTTAACTTTCAAGCGCATGCAGCACTCCTGGGGGGGGGGTCTTCCTGGCGTAGAACAAGCAAGTCTTTCCCCCCCCCCCCCAAGCGTGGCGAGTGATCTGGTTGATGCTCCCTGGATATTGGTTGATGCTTCCTGGATATGATCACCTCTGCTGGCAGGCGTTGTTGCTCGTGCTGGCGCGTCTAGTGTCGTCTTGAGTGTGTTCCGTGTGCTGCTCTCAGTACGCACATTAACCCTTAATTCCGCGCGTGGCAGTTTAAAAGAGCTCCACATTGTTGGTATTGTCGGTTTGACAGAGATCATGTTGCCTGTGTTCAGTGAGGATGGATGTAACCTTGCTATGCTGGCTTGAGTAGAGCTCCGGGTTCTTAAAGCTCACCTTTTTAGATATCAGTCTTATGGTATGACCACGCATTGCAGACCACATGGGTCCTTAATCGTATAGTGTCATGTTCTGTTTCCCTCTCAGAAGTTCTCACTCAAGTGATCAACTTTCACTTGTCCCGTTGTCCTGATCTCGCGTGCTATCAGATAGCCTGCCTCTGTTCACGTTGGCAATACCATATCTTGAATGCTGTAATCATGTCCTTTATTATTATTAACATCTTTATTGACAAAATTAATTACAATTTTGCCTAATCTGAGGATTTCGATTAAGTCTTATTAAAGTGAGGATAATGCTGGTATTCACTGTCACGCAGGACAGAGGGTCATACATAAGACAATAGGTCTAAACTGTAGGCGGAAGTACATATATATCATGGTTACAATCAATGTTTTAATGTATGGATATGTGAAAACAACTTTCTACTGTACACTGCCACACAAGGGCAGGGATGGGTTCATAACTGATGCAGCTTAGAAGTAATATAAATAAAAAAATATTCTTCATTCTTTAAAATGGACATGTCATCCCGGGGTGCGGGGCCGGGGTGGTGGTCACCACTGGTGGGTCTCGAGTGACGCCTGGATAAGATCACCCATAGTGGAAATATTACCTCTCATTTTTACTGTTTCAGGAGTGGACATGGGCGTGGGCGGCGGTGGTGTGGGCGTCCACTGGTCTCCTGGTGCCCCCGGTGACGACGGCCGCCTTCATCGACGTTGGCGTCCCTTACCTGAACGTGTCGTCGAGTGCTGGTAATGTCTTCCTGCCCCGACTCGCCCTCTTCTGTCTTTCCTTCCTCCTTAGTCTCTCTCTCTCTCTCTCATCGCGTTTTCAAGCCCTATAATTTTATTACGACTCCAGCTCACTCGCCCTTGTCACTGTTGATATCAACATTCACCATGCCACCTGTTATCAGGCTCCCTCACCTGTCCCTATCCTCCCGCCTCCCCTTCCTCCTACATCCCTTCCCTCACACATAACAGCCGGGTTACTCTTGCCCTCCATGAACAATAAGTCTCACCCTTCATATTTTTTTTTTACTGTGCGAGTATTTTGGAGCTTAATATTTGTTTACATGTCTGTGGCAGATTGCAATATATCAAGTTTTATGTGACGTGTGAGATGTGACGACCAGGACTGACAGATAAATATGGAACACACAATTGACAGATTGGGAGACAGTAAGTAACGGAAACTAACAGACAACGAGGAAAGGTTATGAGGTATATTTATGTGTGCGCGTATCTACAAATATATTTATACACACACAGTGGACCCCACTGTTGAAAGTGGGGGCCTGACGGCTGAGTGGACAGCGCTCGGGATTCGTAGTTCTAAGGTTCCGGGTTCGATCCCGGGGAAGGCGGAAACAAATGAGCAAAATTTCTTTCAACCTGATGCCCGGTTCACCTAGCCGTAAAATAGGTACCTGGGAGTTAGCCAGCTGCTTCGGGCTGCTTCCTGTGTGTGTGTGTGTGTGTGTGTGTGTGTGTGTGTGTGTGTGTGTGTGTGTGTGTGTGTGTGTGTGTGTGTGTGTGTGTGTGTGTGTGTGTAGCCGCAGGCTTAACCATTAGCCTGCGGCTACAATTACAGTCAAACGGCTACAAAAATTTGAAGAGCAAGGCGTGAGAAGGTGAGTTCGAGGCAAGCATGGAGAGCAGTGGACCCCCAGGATGGAGCCTGGGCCCGCAGGCCGACCAGGGCCACAAGGCCAAAGTTGTACATCTAGAAAAGGAAGACATCAGGTGAGTTGTACTAACACTAGCCCGCGGCCCATCCTCATCCCAGTGGGCAAGACGTGCTCCAGTATTGTTGAATCGACGTTATCGACGTTGATTCAACGTTGAATTAATGTCGCTTGTCCTCCTGTGGCCACTGGGATGCAACCTTTCCTGTGGCTGTGCTCGCCTAAACTGTGACCGGCCATATACCCACTTTCGTTAGGTTTTTCCTGTTGGACTTGTAATACCTCGAGTATTAGAAAATAAACACCAACAGGTGTAAATATAATTTTATTGTAGTTTAGGATATATTTAGGCCTGAGAAAAAACCTAATTAGGTTTTGACCTAATTAGTTGTTAGTATTTTTGTATTTACAGTAAGTGGGCGAAACAATTGGAGACGTTCGTTTCGAACACTGAGTACGAACGTAATCTGTTGCGAGGCAAATGTAAAGTGTTTTCATTCGTATACGGAGTTTAATGACTGTATTAACAAGCATTTGGTCAGTGTTATGATAATGGGCTGCTTGCCGGATGGGTCACGATTCTTCGTACAGAGGAAGGGTAGTTGGACCGTCCAAGCTTGATCACAGTTCCTGTGGATGTCTCGTGAATCTCTTGGGATTTGACGATGTTAAAGCTGCTAGAGGTACGAAATTACCATTTAAATCCAACCCATCATCAAGAAATTGGTCAAATGCTCACTAATCCAGCCAATAAACGACGTTTAGGAATTAAAAATACTTTACACACGACTCGTAACTTGTGCTTAAAGTTTTCTGGAACAGTGCTTCGCTCTCTTGTGTTCGAATCGCACCCCCAGCTCCCTCCCAGTCCTCCAGCTACCGTACTTCAAATACAAATTAACGGCCAAAAGAACCTAACGTATACACCCTAATCATTCACACAATTCTAAATGTATAATAAACTTGCATTTGAGAAAATACTATAACTAACTAAAATTTATGAATTTAATTTGGGCGCGGCTTGAAAAGCCTGGGTGGTGGACGGGCGGCTTAACTGCCAACAACTTCCATTAGGTTTTAGTGTTCTCTAAATGTGTCGAGCATGAACGGAAACTTGCAGTCTGCATCATCAACATTATACACCAACGCTAAAGATTTGTCAACCTCAGGATAATCCTCAAGAAGTATTTCCTTTTCATTGTCTTTTGCTACAGCGAAATTTAGATACGAGTGACTACTTGTATATACTGAGAGCAACTGACGTAAGGACACCGTAGACGTTCCTACTGGACCGGACCAATAGACGGACGAGAAGCTGAAAACCTACCGACTGACTGAATTAGTATTACCTGCTCTACCCTTAACAATGTGGCTGACCGTCCCGGAAGCATCGTGTGGTAGCTTGAAGAGAAGACGAAGTTAATATATAGTTTACATCATATATAAAATATATAATAATATTAGCAGGTGGTAATGTAAAATAGGGTAAGAGCAGGCGTAGCCTAGGCCGGTAACCACCCCTACTTACTGGTGACCACTCCCTCAGAGCGGCGCTGGTGGCCGGGCTCACGGGGGCTCTCCAACACCCGCCACCACCGGGGTAAGTACTCCTCTAGACACCTGCTGCCTGCCCCTGCTAACACCTACCAGCAGCAAACACCTGCTGCCCTGTCCTTGCTAACACCTACCTCAACGCCCACTTGACAACACCGACTCTGTAAATATTAGCTGGCACTAACCCATGGTAATGGACCTGTCTTGTTGTGGCCTTTTGGGTTGTGTGTTTGTGTTACTAACTGGTGGTGGCTGATTGTACACTTCATCGCTAACTATTGGATTTTGAGTGTGTTGCGAGGACATATATATGTCCAGACTAGCCTACATGTTGATGGTGCGAGTGTAACTGGCTCCCGCGATGGCGGGTAACTGGCTGGCGGCGGCGGTCACGGCTCGCCTCTCCTCTTTTGCTTCTCCCATTTCATTTCTTTATTATGCACCCCATACCCATGTGGTGGGCGGTGGTGGGAAGGGGTTACAGAGGCACGTAACGGGTTCAAACACTGTTTCCCATAGTCGGTTTAGCTAGTCCTGTGGCATCATAGTAACGTCTGACCGGTGACCTGATGCTTTTGCATCCTGGTGGCTGGTAAAAGAATGCTTCCGAGGACGTTATGTATCCGCTTCCGCCTCGGAAGATATTTAAATGGCGGGAACGTCAGCCTTACAAGTCTCATTCACCCGTCTGGAGCACTGTCCCACCAGTCGCCCTGATGTCTGGAGAAGCTTCCTCCTCTTATAGTATTCTTGATGGAAGGTATTCGTCAGGTCTGGTCTGCCCCCCACACCCCTCCACAGTGTTCCAACCCCCGCCAGTTTAGAGGCAATATGCAAAATGGGATAATTAAATTTCCCCCTTTTGTTATGCTGTTGCGCGTCTCTCTCGCCCACTTGGGAATGAATGGTAATTTGTTGAAATGACACTTTAAGGCGGGTTAACGCCTGTATCCAGACGCGTGACGGACGCCTGATGATGACGTCCTAGTGACGTCACACGTCGACCCCCCCACTATATATAAAACTAATTTTCTCTTATTTCGTTAGGTTAGGTTAGGATAGGTTAGGATCGTCATCCTAGAACCATGGGGACCTTACCGTTAGTTATAATGGATATATTGTGATGTTTTCACTCGTCTACAAGTTTGACTTGTGTGTGGACTTGATCTACAAGCTGTGAGATGCTGTTAGACTTGGTCCACACAATGCCTGTGTGGTGACACACTACAGCGACCACATGCTGCTCTATGACACACATGTCTACTGACATCTGTGTCATGACATACAGATGTTTACTGACATCTGTGTCATAGATGTCAGTACTGTGTCATCTGTGACACAGATCTGTGTCAGCACATACTGACACAGATGCCTACTTAGAGCAGTGTTGTGGGTGCAGCAGTTAACAATACACCACATTACGTGCATGAAAAATATGATCGGCTTCAGGGGATTATATTTATATATGAAGCAAGACTGCGGTGTGCGTATTAGAGGCAACGACCCTTCAATGGCGGGGATTAACATTAACCACGATGCTTTACTAACAATTGGGTTGTTGACAGTGAGTGAGTAAAGCTATATATAGGGCCATAATTACCTCCTGCCATTTGAAGTTAAAGCTTCAGCTTGGGCAGCAACTAACCTGCAGTGTGAGAGGTTCCCTAAGTGCAGTGTTGCCAGGTCATTGCTAAACACGTTACTCCGGATGTGAATAGATTTGTGGATGAATGCCTCCCCAAAATACCTTCATATAGTGCATCAATATGCATGAAGAACTATACACACACGCAAATCAGTTGGGAGGCGGGACCAAAGAGCCAGAGCTCAACCCCCGCAAACACAACTAGGCGAGTACAGGTTCGTATACGCGCGCGTACATGTGTGGACGTCTGTAAATAAGTTTGATCTCGTGTAAATATTCTTTGAGCCATCCTACATGATCCTCATCAGTCCTTTGACCTTTTGCGCGTTCAAACGCGCACACCACAGCCCCCCCCCCCCACACACACACACACACACACACACACACACACACACACACATACCACACACACACACCACAGCCACATACACACACCACAGCCACATACACACACCACAGCCACACACACACACATATCACAGCCACACATACACACACCACAGCCACACACACACCACAGCCACACGGTGACAATATCTGACCCTTAACAACTGGACAATTCCTGAGGCGGTACTCCACGACCACTCACGGCTCGCGAGGTTGATACTCTGACTCCTTCACTCCCAAACACAGATATGAAGATCAAGTGGAGATTCAACTTTGGGCGAGACCCCATCGAGTTGGCAGGTCTTCCCGAGGGCGATATCCTCCCGCCCCCAGACAGGAGTGACGCGCTGGACCAGGTGAGTGAGAGGGTAGAATTGCCTAAGCTACGCTGCCGTTTTCGAATCTATATTATCTTAATAATAGTGTTTTATTATCCAAGTATTTATTATTATCTTACTCTCGAGTAATTAATAAACTTGAACTAAATATCATTCACCTAGCATGGAGATTTAAGAACCTCACTTTCTGGACAACGTTAAGAGCGGCCGCAAGCCTCGCCCAGTGAATGCAGCAGTCTGCATTTTGCTTTTCATTTGCTGTTCCGTATTTAGCAAACATCAATATGAATTCATGATGGATTTCATGCCAACAATAGTAAGGACCAGTCAGCAATATTGAGGAGATGAATGTATGTTTGTCATGAAAGTTCAAACAGTTGGTTAAACCTTGAAATAGCTTCATGTCTAGTGGGAGTTATTGATTATGATCTCAGTCAGTAGGTTGGCCTCTTGAATGGTACTATCGCTGTATACATGGATACTATTCGGATTTTTATTATATTATATAATATATATATAATATATATAATATATATATATATATATATATATATATATATATATATATATATATATATATATATATATAAAATAATTGCGTGTGTGTATATACAACTAAAGTCTGTTCTCGTAAATGATGTTCATTACCAGAAATGTGTCATTGGCATTTATTTTTTCTTTAATAAACTCGAATATGGTCACCACCACCCATCCTTGTATTGGCCCTCCTGGTCACCTCCCTCATACACTGAGCCCATCCTGGGTATACTGACCTTCATACACTGAGCCCACCCTGGGTATACTGACCTTCATACACTGAGCCCACCCTGGGTATACTGACCTTCATACACTGAGCCCACCCTGGGTATACTGACCTTCATACACTGAGCCCACCCTGGGTATACTGACCTTCATACACTGAGCCCACCCTGGGTATACTAACTAGGCTACCATGCCTGTGTTTACAGAAGGAGGCGCAGGAGAAGAACGCGGTGATAGACCGGGTGCGACTATGGCCGGGCGGTGTGGTGTACTACGAGTTCTCCATAGAGTTCAGTAAGTGCCTGTAAGTTGTACAGTACTGTAGTTATTAACAGCGGGACACACCATATAATGTTCTCTGGCTAGTGTCAAATGAGGTCTTCGCAAGATTTATGTGTGTGTGTGAATTTGACACCCTCCCTTACCAAACATCCACTGAACCAAAGGGGAAAAAAACATTGATTTTTGTGACCTGCTGGTGTGGAGGTATATTAAACAGACGTAAAATTTACTTAATGCCAGGATCACCCGGAACATGTGGTGGTATTAACAATGTGTTGTGTGTGTTCAGTGTTGCTGCCCCTGGAGCGGCGGCTCATCCGTCAGGTGATGGAGGACATCGCCAGCCACTCCTGCATCCACTTCCGCGAGAGGACCTCAGAGCCTGATTTCATCAAGATTATCTTCGATAGGCACAGGTGAGTGTCCATTTCCTCGCTAGTGAAAGTGATAATTATTTTAAATAACCATGTTAAGAGGGAAAATATTACCGTCATGGCTGCTGACCAAGAATATGAGAAGCAAGTTTTTTTGACAATGACATTGTGGCTCATCGCCTCCCTTTTACGTTATAAGACTTATTGTCTTGCTTCGTCACAAAATTAAAGCCTTTGGAGAAAATCTAGTTTTTTGTAATTTACGTTCTGCATTGAATGTCATTGTCACATACGTTTGGTCATTATTTACGTAATTATAAGTGGTTTATTTGGGTAAATTTTGGTAACTTGGTCAGGTGATTTGTAGTACAGAGGAACATGACGTGCGACCTTCATGTGCTTATGTTGTGCGTGTACACCATCATGTGTGTGCACATGGTGCATGTAAGTGCACTCTCCTAATACTGAAAGCTTAAACATTAAGCATGATGTGTGCAAGTGTGATCAACATTAAGTATTTTCCATGCAAATTTAAACAAATGGCACGCCAATAAAAGCCCGCCAGTTGGCAGCCCTTGTGTTGACCCGCGCTAGTGTGTCTATTGGCTTAATTGTGCTTGCAGGAGTTGAGCTTCAGCTCTTTGGCCCCATTTCTCATCCGTCAATCGAGTGGTGTACAAATTCCTGCGTTATTAGGCTGTCTCTCTCTCTCTCTCTCTCTCTCTCTCTCTGTCTCTCTGTCTCTCTTTTTTTTTTATTGCCAGTGTCGTGTTTGTGGTGAAAGGTCGACCACTTTCACTACAGCACTGTATACTTGCACGACCAAGAGAACAAACCAGTTGGCGCAGTACTGTATTCAAGAACGACTAGAGTTCGAAGCTGCATCAACGTCTTCAACACTGTTACTATTGCTTCAACGCTGATAATGTTACCTCAACGCTGATAATGTTACCTCAACGTCGAACCAACGGCACTCTTAGAAACTGTGCCTAATGGGGACCTTTGCCTCGTAAGTTATGACCTCTCTTCTCATCTGTCTACCCATTCGTCTTTCTATTGATAATTACTTACCCATTCTTCTACACTTTTTGTCTCGTTATTTTTTCAGTTTGTCATCCACGGCCCCTCACTGTAACACGAGTTTAGGTTCCTCTCTCTTTACTTCCTTCTTTCTACTCCCTCTACCCGTATTCTTACTTTTATTTCTAAACCAAGGGACTCCAAAACTTTTAACAAAGCCAACTCCACGCCACGTGGTCCTAAGACGATTGACCGACTTAGGATTCTACACCCAGTATGACGTGACCTAAGCTCTGAACAAAACCCTAGAGTCACCTCTGCTGCCACCACCAGACCAGTAATACAAGAGCAATGATCGAGGTCTGGATCGATCACGCTAATTAATCAACCTAGGGGCTTGATCCCCAATATAAACGATGACCTTGAGTGTGGAATAAATTACACGGTAATGATAACTCCGATTCGATGTTAGAATCGGCGCCCAATGCAACTCTGCCTCGTGTGGACCACGTGACCAGGACAAGTATACACATAACCAAATGGAAACAATAAAAATGCAAATTATTAACTTAATTTATTAAAAGAAAACTAAAACAAAAATCTAAATCTGTTCACTCCCTATCACTTTAACACTCCCTACTTGACCTGAGTGGCAAATGAGACTATTTCTATACTTGACAATAGCAACTATACCTTGGGCGACCAGCTAGATGTCTTGGCTGGTCTTGGGGAGAGGTAAGATGTTTGACCTCTCCCAGCTGCTTCCGTGACCACACTAATCTCTTCCTTGTCTGGTCTCCCCCAGACAGAACATTGTATCCTTCCGCCTAGTCAAAGTTCTACCAAGTTACTAGCAAGGTTTAAGTTATAACAATTAACCTCTGTTTGTACTGAATTGATCCAGACTGGTTGAATTATTTTACTTTAATTAGATTACACAAACATCTAACGGCAAAGCTGTTCCCGATCACAAAAATGGTTATTAAAACTTTGAGAAATATTAGACATGTCAACCCTGCTGACCTATGACCGCCGGTCACTCCGCCTTAAAAGTTAGATCTGATTCGTGACGTCACTGATGGTGACTTAAACTCAATAATTAGAATACTCTTGATATTGTATCCAGTACTATTATACAATACAATTTTAATGCAAAATGAATAAAGGCTAATTTCTCTAAATTACTGAATACTATAGGATGATTCATTATACGCAGCTATGAACAAAGCGTTGGTTATTTCCACCGCGAATTCCCCTGGGGGTCAGGTCACCATGCGGCTCAGCTTCCTATTCTCTTTTGTCGATAAACCACTCTGGATAATTCTTACAACAGCCTAGTTTGTTACATCACTAATTTTTCCTTTCCCTGTGTCAAGTCTTAAGTGGCAGCCTTCCCTCGGCCGGTGAGGCTGTTGGCTCCGTTCTACTGCATTGACCTTTGATGGGTTTACCTTGGTCAGAAATCATGGTCATTTTTTGTCGTGTCAACCTATTACTCTTAAAACTTGTTTTTAATATAAAAGAGAAACCTGCTGTGCTTTGGGTCAAGCACTAGCTGGTGATGATGCTGTGGCAATTATAAGCTGGTAGTGATTCACATTTCAATACAAATTAGAAATTGAATCTCGCTGCAAAATATTAACGTACCGAGATTATGCTTCTACTAAAATATTAATGTTACATAACACGACCAGGTAACAGGCGTGTCAACGAGAGTAATGTCTTTAGCTTTAGACTAAGGTTAAGCCCCCATGGTGTGTCCTGCAGTATGTATGCAGGTGCCCCCTCCCCCTCTCGTGGTCTTCACAAGGGAGGTGATTGTCATTTGTGTAAATAGTTATTAGGTAATGGCTATATAGCTTTTAAAATGGTGTTATTACACTAAGCCTTTAGAGGAGAAAGTGGGACGGAGGTGTGTGTGTGTGTGTGTAGTTGAGTAGGAGAAAGTTGGAAGTCCTGGGTACATCACTCTGCCAGCCTGGCCAGTACGACTGTGTAAAGCTTTCTGATCGTCTTGGGTACACCATTCTGCCAGCACCCTGTACGACTGTGTAAACATGTTTCTCTATGTACACTGCAATATTAAGAGAAATTTATCTAACTTCAGTAACATTACCGCAGTTCTCTCTTCAGTGCAAGCGATCAATTGCGTCCCTTATTTAGCGTCGACGCTTTCCAGAGAAAATAATAGTGTACAGGTAGTGGTGAAGGAAGCCAGCGTCCGGCAGTACACGGACGTGGTGGTGTAGTGAGGTCCAGCTGTGTCATAACAGTGCTCTGGAGTGATTGAATTTTACTAAGCGTACACGCAAGGGGGGTTTCAAGCGTAAAATTGTGCGATATTTCAAAGTCTGTAATAACCATTAATTATTTAATATTGACATAAATGAAACGGGTGTACCCTTGACGAGACCACGAATCGTTGATGATTTGTATAAATTCATGACTTGATATACTATGGAACTTGTTTATTATATGCCTAGAGTAAACTTCATCTCTCAATAATACTCAGGGCGCCAGACGAAAGACAGTTATCAAAAGGAGGTAGATGCATTAACTCAAGTGTACCTGGTGTGTACCGTACCTGGTGTGCACCGTACCTGGTACCTGGTGTGCACCGTACCTGGTACCTGGTGTGTACCGTACCTGGTGTGCACCGTACCTGGTACCTGGTGTGTTGATATCAAGTTACAAACATGAAATTGAAGTAATAACGCACACGGATAGTTCTCTTAAATTTATTGATTTTAAGTATAAATATCATGATTCACCCACGTAATTGAATAGTTTAGGGAAGGGACACATGAGCTACATACTCTTTCTATAAAGTATATGCCTTTAAGCGAACCCAACTCTCGGGTGGCAAATCCTTACTCTATTAGAGTGTCACACAATGAATATTTTACATAATTAATTTAAAGAAAATAAGAATTGAGGAAACTACGGGTGGTTTTTTTTGCTCGCTTCACGGAAGCTCCTATTTATATCCACCCAAACTCTCGTATAAATGTTCAGCCTACGCTCGAAACACTCCAGCGACCCCACGTCCATGTTACCCGGCACCCGTACCACAAACCAACAAAAGTATCCTGTTTCCAAACTAGTACATTATAGCAAGGTGTTTCCTAAATCCAAATTTATATATATCGTTTTGTGTTATATTTTGCGTCGATATATTTAATACCTTATTGGTATGCCCTTGATTATGCTTTCATCCACTTGTAAGACCCAATCCATCTTGTGGTTACCCATCCCAGAGTGCCGTTGAGTCAACGTCTCTCTTAGATATTGTCCCGACTCGTCGTTACCAACTCGTTATATAGCGTCCTGGATACACCTGTGCATGAGCGGTTATCATTTTATTCTGTACATAATTCTGAATGTAATACGAACATATCAGATATCTTGGCCACTTATCCCGTTTGCTTACTGTAAGCAGTGCATGATTATGGCTGCCGTTTCCACGCCCGCCCGCCCGCCCGCCCGCTGGATGGGAGGATGAAGGGCAAATTAAAATTGTATGCAACTAGTTCATTATAAGCATAAGTTGCCTCGCTTTATAAAGATAATTAGAGTTCAGTACTTGAACCCATTGTGTAACACAAACATTTCTGCTACGCGCCTTACAGGATACATATGGGGCCCATACAGTAACTAAAAAAATAACAAACTCGTGATGTTAGTTTGATACTGTCAATTGTCTGTTGATGTATATGTTAGACAATGTAATTAGCTCATCAAGGCTATAACTTGCTTAGCTAGAAGAATTTTGGGGTTCCTGAGCCAATTATGTACCTCTGTAATCTAATCCATAACCTCTCGCAGGATGGGTATTTTGTGTATAATAATTGAACTCAAAATATTTATAATTATCCGTTGTCGGGTTAGCAGTGGGTGTCATACACCAACAAAGATGCTTTACACTGCCCAGCTGCGTTAGAAGCTTCCATTATAATTAAACTTACAACACTTGTGAAAATAAAGTAGTTAATATTAAATAGCGTTCTTTAGGAGTCGTGCGGAACCCACTGACAATATTAAAAAAAAAATGGCAAAAAGTATATGTTCGTACTATTACTGAGGACACCTGTATATTAATATTATAGAGCTAACCGAAAATAAAGCCCCCCCCCTAAAAAAAAAGAGAGGGTTGAATTCAGGAGGAATGGCGGTGGTGGTGGTGGTGTGTGTGTGTGGTGGTGGTGTGTGTGTGTGTGTGTGTGTGTGTGTGTGTGTGTGTGTGTGTGTGTGTGTGTGTGGGGGGGGGGGGGGGGTCAACGGTGTTGGAGGGTCCCTGTGGCGTGGCTCAGTAGTGGCTGGGGGATATGATCCACGTCTCGCTTCGGTAACACTCTGGCTTTCTCTCCCACCCATCCTTCCGTCTCCCTCATCTTTCCACCCACGTATACCTTTTCTCTCTCCCGTCCACCTAGGGCTTCCTTCTAGGGCAGTGGTTCCCAAACTCTTTACGGTTATTCCCACTTTTTCATAGCGCGTCCTTATTAATTTTTTTTTTGGCACCGAAGCATCAAAAGAAAAACCTTACACCAGCACACACCACCCAGCAGCATAACACCACGTGACATGCAAGCAACACAGAACAAATACAATACAGTTGACACACCAAAGCTGAACATACGTGAACACAATAAAAACAGTGGACAATTTTCATAGTGCAAACCGTAAATGAGAATCCATGGAACAAGCAAAATTCATTAGAAAAACAATAATAAACTGCACAGCCCAGACGAGGCGGCGCCAAGTTACATACATTAAAAACCACACAATGGCGAAAAATTAAACATTTAGAAGCAAAGGTACAAAGTTAAAAAAAAATTACAATACACACACAACCCACAGAACACCCGGCACACACAGTACAGAAACACGCGATCGTTCGACCGGAACACACAGGAACCGTGAAATAAACGGCAACCACAACCCAGACACACATGAAAAACACCGGAACACGCAGGACCCGACAAAAAAAACACACACACACACCAGAAGCGCGCGCGCGCACACACACACACACACACACACACAGAACAAACACCATGAGAAACACAACACAGAAGATAACAGTCTAACACACACGGAACAAAGTATGAACAAAGCACAAAAACAATGTACACAAAGGTCGAAACTAGGCAAACAAAACAACCACATAGCAGACAAAACAATAAGTTATAAACGTTCCGGGAGCACGTAATGCAAGCACAAAACTACGCATATTTATCGGGAAACTCCCTCTTCGGAAACCGCAAACAGTATGCCTCCCAAACGAGCTTTACATCATCAAACACCGGTCTACCAGGCGATGCACAAGGCCGAGGCATCGGCTCCGGCTCCCCATAAACAAAACACTGCACCCTCGGTACCCAATTAGTATAGGGGCACCACGGCGCCGGATACACTCGGCTATCCACAGTAAGTTCCAAAGTCTGCGACGCATCGAGCGGGACTCCATTGGCCGATACCACAGGGAGGGGTGCAGGACGAGGGGTTCGAGCACCAGGAGACGGACAAGGGTAGCCACAGAGGTCCGTATTGATAGTCACACGGTTCTTCACTCCAGGGGGAACCACAGGGAACGCATATTTGCCAGGGCCCCTACCACCGGGCACAGGATCAGAGGGCTCCCAGCGCACAGGTTTCGTGAGGACCACCACAAGGTCACGCACGACCACTAGGGGCAACCTCCCAAGGAGGGGAGGCACTAGCAGCAGGCGTCGTAGGCGCCACAGGAGGCCGCACAGGCCCTTCCATCACATCATCCTCCACAACTTCACACTCTGCAGCCCACCCACGAGCGGGCGACACACTCCTAGTCCTCCGGGAACGCTTGGACAGAGGCCGCTGATCATCCGAACTGTCGCCCGCAGCAGGAGGCATCCCAGTAGAGCCCACGGCCGGCCGCAAGTCACCGGGCAACACACGATCCGTAAAAACATCAGCCTCACCCACAGGGGGTACAGGCCCACACCCTTCAGGCAACACAGGAGCCGGAGACGGGGCTGGCGGAGGCGGGTCCGCACCATCCACCACCCCGACACCCACACCACCAACCGCACTAACTGGAGCGGCACACAACTGATACATCCTCACGCTCGGGCAAGGGAGGAAAATCCGCTTCATGAAACACATTTACCCGATTATACATCCGAGTGTCGCAGGCAGCAGCCAAATGTCCAACGTGGCCACATTTAAAACGTCCGAGTCTGCCCACGGTAGGAGAAGCAGACCGTAACGCCAGCAAGCGCGAGAGAAGAAGGCACATTCCCATGAAGAACCATCTTAGCCGTTCTGTAACCATTACCGAGCCCCTTGACGTCCCCGGTTGTGTATCTACTGGCACGAATAGTCTACACGCCCATACCTGGCAAGAGCTCGACGGAGAAGATCCTCAGACATTTCAAATGGCGCATTCTTAATAGACACGTATGTGTACTCCACACTCAAATTCGTCACAGTTACAGAGCCAAGACCGTTGCTCAGCCCCACCACCTTGTCCTCATACTGGCCGAGAAACCTCCGGAACAAGCCACTCTCGGCGAACTTCACAACTACTCTCGTCACGAACAACCTGTAGACCGACGAGATCTTCCCCCTTCACACCCATAACCGCAAACAGTGTTGCTGACGACGCCAATCACATACCCGACAGGTAAATGTCAGCCCAGCAGAGTCCTTCCCCCTTAGTGGCGGCACCTAAGTCCCCATACTGAGACTGAAAAACAGTCACCCTGCAGTGGCAAACAACCATCCGTCAGGGCAACCAACAATCACCCAATGTAAACACCAGCAGGGAGACCAGGGGAACGTCCGACCCGGCTGGTGGTTGCCACCACACTCTCCGTCCTTATTAATGGTCCCCTTACGCTCGGTAATGGTTCCCTCTGGTATCACCAACGTAGCCGCTACGAAGGCGCTAAGAAGAAAAACATTCGTAAGCTGCTTCGTGAATTTGGCCCCTGTACACTGCCTTAACTTCTGGCCCCTACTTATTGCAAAAAGGCCCCCAAGGGGGCCATGGCCTCCAAACTGTGGTCTAAACCGCTCCCATTACCAACAGGGAAGGTGTGGTTAAGCAGCTTGCCTACATCACCCAATCAAAATAGCACTCTGAGGATATTGTCTTCGTTTTAGAGACGCCAGTCGGAATATGCTGATTTCATGAGTGTAATTATTGACAACATAATGACTGATGGTAATAATAATAATGTTGAATATAGTTCAGAACTACAGTATAGTAATATATGCATAGTATATGTACATGCTGGTTGGTCAATAAGCTATTGTGATGACCAATAATCCTCCCGCGGTTGATAAGCCTCAAACCCCTTTAGGGTGCAGTTCTTAACCATAGGTCACCACTGTGCTAAATTATTATACAATTTTTGTTTTCTCAAGTATTTTAAGATCCTTCTTTGCAAATGTGTCTAAAGACAAGCTACAGCAGGTTCAGAGACAAACAAAACGCTTGCACTGGAAAAACAGACGTGAAATGAATATTCATATTCGTATTTGTTGTTACATAGGCCTACTGTATTGTATTTTCTGCAGCCTATACTTGCTGTTTAGTGTACCTCATGAGATTCACTGTGCCCTTGTTTTGATTCACTGCACTATGGATTCACTTTGTATCGTATTACATTACACATCATGTGGTTCACGGTTCCTCCAGTGGTAAAAACAATTAAACATAAATTATACTAGATCTAGCACGCAATATAAACAGTGGATATCTCTTTCTACAGATGCTATAGTCACATTGGTCGTGTGGGTGGCGAGCAGTTGGTGTCACTGGGGATATTCTGTGTCAACTGGTGGAACTTGGGCACTGTCTACCACGAGCTCTTCCACACCCTGGGCTTCTATCATGAACACACCCGCCCCGACCGAGACAACTACGTCGAAGTCCTGTGGGATAACATCGCTAAGGGCCAGGTCGATAACTTCCTCAAGCGATCCTACAATTCTGTTGATCTTACCGATATGCCATATGATTTAGGTTAGTAGAATGATAGTGGTATTCTAACTGCAGTGGACGGTGAGGGGGTATTAATTAGGTGCAGGAATGGAAGGTCTAATGTATAAATATTAATTATAGCATGATGGAATCTGGAATATGAATATTGTGTACTCTGTTCACATTTCATCTCGGAGCAGAGGATCATATAGGTACATATTGGATATTTATAAAAATATAATGATCTGTTAGAACCAGCAACTGATATAGACTTGTATCTTCTCTGGCAGACTCGGTGATGCATTACAGCCCCTTTGCCTTTGGCAAGTGGTCCTTCCTCACCCCCACCATTAGATCTCGACGCAGAGGCTACTATTTCATGAGGGCTGGAGAACCTTCCAAGGTTAGGAAATACGATCATGGTTCAAAATCATCTGAGAAAGGCCTACTTTTGTTATCTTGAGATGATTTCGGGGCTTAGCTTCCCCGTGGCCCAGACCTCCTTTTTGCTGCACAGCCCCAGGAAGTAGTCCGTAGCAGCTGTCTAACTCCTAGGCACCTATTTACTGCTAGGTAACAGGGGCATCTGGGTGAAAGAACTCCCCACTTGTTTCGCCTCCACCGGGGATCGAACCCGGAACATCAGGACTACGAATCCGAAGCATTGTCCACTCAGCTGTCAGGCCCCTTTTCCCATTTTCATTTTGTGATAGGCAGAAGGAAAATTGGACAGAGAGAAGCAGAAAGTTCAGAGTCGGAAAGGGAGAAATGGGAGGAGGATTAGAAAGGAGAGGTTGATTGGGAAAGAGCAAAGTGGGGAAACCAGGCAAGAGAGAGGGGGGGGGTTGTACCAACCATGCAACATGCTATTGAACTAAGCTCTCATTGGGGCCAGGCTTGGGGAGTAGAACTCTCAGAACACTCTCCAGGTAAGTGAAAAGCATTTCCAATTTGGAGGGTGGTAAATTCAAATATTCTCCAGTAAGTTCTTGCTTTTTTTTTAAGTTGTAAGAAAGGAATCACATGTGTATATCTGATAAACATATTACATGTATTCTGGTAATGTTTTATAATCTTGACCTGTTCTGTATTTCAGGTTGATTACATGAAGCTGAATCGACTGTACAGGTGCAATCGAATCGGTGAGTAAATACTAGATGAGGAAGTAGGCCATATGAGAAATAGGTCCAAATTCAAATGCAAGCGAGGCAGATCTTTTTGTAACATCTCTTCAAAATTGTGCCGTGTTGCTGGAGCAGCAGACTTTGGGTCCTCTCCAAAGTATTAGTACCTGTGGCATCTATAGAATAAAGCCATTTCCACCATACACAAAACATCTGAGTAAAATAAATAAGATAATTCAAATGGTCAATGTTAAAACAATACAATATAATTTCTTGTAAGAAATTTAGTCTTGCACAACTACCAGATAAGGGTTAAGCAAATGCATGTCGCCAGTATAATGTTAAGCAGAGTATATACAAGCTGGAGCAGTGTTGTTTCTTGTACAGGAGGTGAAGCCGGACGACTGCCCAGTCTCTGGAAGTCACCCGTCCTTGGGCAAAAGTCTATTTCATCCAGTGGTCAACCCCCAAAGATGCAATCATCAATTTTAACATGATGTTCATTCAAAACAGGAATTTTCTCAAATGTAAATTAATATAGTATAATTAATTAATATAATAATTAATATAAAATTAAATAAAAATTAATATAATTAATTATGCTTAATATTAGCATTATAAGGCCCCCCCCCCGTCCTCTTACACTGTGTCCTCAAATCATCACAGTTATGGAAACAAACTGATAAACATAAGAAGCTGCAATATTTCCAAGAAGATACCAGATACAGTATTAAGAAATGAAAGGATAAACAGGGGAAGGGAGGAGTAACTCTACTGATACAACAACACTGAAGCATTGAGGAGATAGAGGTTAATTCTGGAGATAATTACAAAGATAAATTTTTTGAGATTTTAGAGGTAATCAACCATCAAAATTTTTATACTAGATATGATAACAATGAAGACCATGAAGATAGTGATATGTGTTATTTATAACCCTCCATTAACTACAGGAAGGTCAAGAAAAAGAGTATGATAAATGCAGTGAAACATGCTTGAAGATGATAGAAAAGACAGCCACAGTAGCAAGGAGAGCCAGAGCAAAGATCCTAATACTTGGGGATTTAATCACTGGGAAATAGACTGATTAATAAAGGATCCTCACAGGGAAGATGAAAAATGGTGAGCAAAGTTTGTGGACACACAGACTAACACTTCCTGTGGCATCATATCAGGGAGCCAAGAAGAAATAGGTGATCCATCAGCTCTCCTAGACCTGGTGTTTACCTAAAAGGAAGATGATGTAGAGAGCTTAAAATATGAGGTGCCACTAGGAGCCAGTGACCATTGTGTTAGTGTGTTTGATTATATTGTAGAACTGAAAGAGTTTGAAATGGATAAAGAACACTAGAGAATACAGAAGAGGGGACTACAGGAGGGTTTAAGGCAAATGTAATGACAATATTCAAGAAGGGGGACAGACATGAAGCACTAAACTATAGACCAGTGTCATTAACATGTATTCCATGCAAGATGTTGGAAAAAAAGCAGCCAGAAAAGTATTGTAGAACATTTGGAAAGAGTAAATTTTATTATGGAGGCATACCATTGCTTCAGAGAAAATCTTGTTAAACAATGATGATTCTATGACAGGATCACCAAAATATGACAGAAGAAACCATGGGTACACTGCATCGTTTTAAACTGCCAGAAAGCTTTTCATACAGTTCTTCACAAAAGGCTAACACACATGATGGAGAGACAAGTGGGGATAACTGAAAAAATACTTGACTGGGTATGGGAGTACTAGTACTTATTGGACAAAAAAACAGTCATATTCAGAAAGAATAAGTGAGGTTGGAGAGGAATGGAAGGTAGTGTTTCACAGGGCTCTTCCCTAGGAAAGGAAATATTTCACACATTTCCATTTCAATTTCCGTGAATCCGTTTCCTATTTCAACCTCTGAATATTATGTTTACCTGCAATTTGTTATTTATGAATTTATAGAATAGGCCTGGTTCTGTTTTACATTTGTCTGCAATCCCTTTTTTTAAATTTTTGTTTCTCTCCTCACTGCCGTGTAGTTGTTTCTCGCATCTTTGTATTGCTGGTATGTTTGGGGGTTTGGCCTCTTCCAATATTGATTTCATTTTTATGTCTCTTGGTCTCTGGCCCCTCTTGCAATTTCTGTTGAACCAATCCTGTATCCTAGTTCTGCATCTCTAGTTTGGTATAAATTTTGTTGTGCCTTTATCATATATTTCACAAAACTTGACATACATCTCATTTACTTCATGTCCTAACAGCAAGTCTTTCCAGTCAAATTCCTTAAAGAAATGTCAGAGTTCCCCATAATGACCTCTCCTGAAATCAGGTTTTTCAACTGCTTCAACCTCATTTTCTTCCAGATTATAATGCATTGTATACTTTATTCCCAAAAAGACATGGTCACTTTTACCACAAGGGAGGAAGGTATTGAATGTCAAATCTCTTTTCCTCTTTCCTGGTAAATATCAAATCCAGCATGGAGGGAACATCCCCTTCCCTCATTCTCGTAGCTTGTTTAACACTTTGAAACATGAATGTTTTCAGGATGAGGTTTACAAATCTACAAGTCCAAAAACCCTCAGTTCTAGCTTCATATGCCTCCCAGTCTATGGATTTCAAGTTGAAGTCGCCGACTACCAACAATCGTGATCTATCTTTATCAGCTCTTGCTATAATCTCTCATTATTGTTATAAGACCATCACGTTTATTATTCAGCTCCTCCTTTGACCATGTGTTGCATGGCGGTGGACTATATGCATTTATGATCATTAGTTTATCATCCTGATTGCAAATCTCTAGTGATATTATATCAACTTTTCGTGGATTGGCAATCATTATTTCATTTACCATTAGGTGTTCTTTCACCAGCACAGCAATGCCACCACCTTTCCTAATTTTTCTGTCCTGTCTCCAAACTGAGTAGCCCCTTGGGAAGGTGACCTCATTTAAAATATCTTCAAGTTTTGTCTCTGTGAGTGTAACAGTGTCTGGTATCTGCAGCTGTATTACATCATTTAAGTCCAGTATCTTTAATCTCACTCATTCTATGTTGGTGTATGCACTTTTCAAAAACATGTTTCCCCTCTCCTTATTCTTCACTACCCCTTCACTTAGTGGCACCGGTGGCTGTGTGGATAGCACGCTGGACACGTGATCCTGTGGCCCAGGTCCGATTCCCGGCGCCAGCGAGAAACGATGGGCAGAGTTTCTTTCACCCTGATGTCCCTGTTACCTAGCAGTAAATAGGTACCTGGGAGTTAGCTGTCACGGGCTGCTTCCTGGGGGTGGAGGCCTGGTCGAGGACCGGGACGCAGGGACACTAAAGCCCTGAAATCATCTCAAGATAACCCTTTTCTCTAGTGATTTTGTTGGTTTGCCTTTTTGTACCATTTTACTGGTCTGCCTACCCTTATCACTGTGTAGAAAAATGAATTGATTTCTTCTTCATTCCTGCTTTCATTTAGACGTTTTGTCTTGACGAGGTTCAGTTTCAGCTTCTTTCTGTCTTCTTTTGAAAGGTCTCGTCTTAACAACCATACTTTCCCTTCCTCAAATTTGTAATTTTCTAGCATTCCTTAGTACTGCTTCCATCTGTTTGGCACTGTTTTGGGTGATCCTCAACGGTCGATCTTTCCCTTTTACATACTTTCCAATCCTCCTATAGTCGCAGACATTCTCTATGGTAGTAAGACCTTCCATGAGGCAATTTTTATCTACTACTTTATCTTTGTACAATTTTGTACAAAGTTTTTTGTATAATTTTATCTACTACTTTCTCATCTTCTACAGCTCTTTCTGACCTTGATGTTATCTCCTTTATTTTGCAACCAAAAATTATTAGGGACTTCGATCAACTGTGTTTTGCAAAAAGATGCAATTTTTGTGGGCTGGACCTAGAAACTGTCAGGACTCCGGTGGTCGTCCCTACAACCTGGCTATGACTCTTCCTAAGTGTAATTATACTTAATTATTCATAAGTGTAATTATGTAAGTGTAGTTACAGGTTGAGTTCTCAGAGTTCCCCTTAAATGGATTAACAGTCTCTTGACTAATTTCCTTACCTCAGTTTTTGTTATCTGTCATCTATAATCAGCCTAACTTTCATCTTTCATAAAGCAGTACTGTATCTTACTGTTATTTACCTTCAGTGTTCCATCTTGCATGCTCTACCAAATATTAAATGTATTTATATTGGTTATGTGCACTCTGATCACTGGAGATAATTTATATTGTAATTATAATGTGTTCTCAGGTCGGTATGTGTACTCCCGGCTGAGCAACACTGGAGATGCTCCATACCACGAATCCTTTCGCCGATCTGACTCTGGCCCCTACACGTTTGCACACAACCACATCCCAACTTCCATACCATTACCCGAAAAAATTCTAAAGCAGAAGATGCCTGTCAAGTTAGAGCTACCAAGAACAATCATTCCAAAGGATCCCCAACACAAGTCAATCATTAGGAAGCCTGTGGTACATCAGTTTGGTACCAGCAATACCATGGTGTCACAGTTTGGTACCAGCAATACCATGGTGCCACAGTTTGGTACCAGCAATACCATGGTGCCACAGTTTGGTACCAGCAATACCATGGTGCCACAGTTTGCTACCAGCAAGCCCGTGGTGCCACAGACAAGTAAACAAAAATCACAGAAATGGATACGCACACAATCTCCCTTCGATATTAAAACAAAGGTGCTAAGAAGAGCAAAATTATTATTTTGAAAGAATATACAACAAAATAAACAGATCTTGATCCCAAATTATTCCAGATATACAGGATTTACCCTGCTTCTTAGACATTCAAGAAGCTATAGAGCATTAACTTTCTCAGATGTGAGATCATAGAGGAATGGAAAACAAGTGATCATGGAAAAACCCTTTAGTCTAAATCTTCTCCAAGTAAACACTGAGAGGCATACCTATAATGTTCCAGAGGCCAGTACATCATCTCTCACAGTGTTTGAATGTGACTTAAAGAAGTCATAAAATTAGTTTATCATGGAATTAAGTTCACACTCATAGTAGAAGAAACAATTTGACAAGGGTTTTCTCCAAATGATGGTCATGAAGCAGTGATGCTCAAGTTGTAGCTCGGTGTCCATCGAGTGATGGCTGCAAACCAGTGAAGCTCAAAGTTGTAGCTCGGAGCTTATTGCACTCCTACATGAGCTATAAACTCTCTTCTCAATTAATCCTTGAAGTGTGAAAGAGTTTTACTTTGTGTTGAAATATGCAAATGATAAAATGTGAATAACATACTGTATTCAAAAGCACTGAATCTTGTAATATTAAGTTGTCCAGAGTTTGTTGGCCAATGTCACGCTGTTTAACCATGTTAAGCAGTTACTCGTGCGACCTTGTAAATAGTCTCTTGACCTCAAAAACAAGCAGTCTTACATCCATATTCAACAATGGAGATAGAACTCCTAGACCACAGCCAGAGCGCATGAGGGCAATGTGTGAAACCTTGACTGGGATTCAGTGGAAGCCTCGGGACCCCTAGAGGATTCAATTGAATCCCAGGTTGCATTGCTTTTAGCATGTTGTGGTGAAGTGGTCCAAGGTGTGTGCTTGGCAGTACCTGGTGTGCAGGTTGGAATCCTGCTCATGGCTCTACTGATTTTCTAAATGCAGTACATAATTCCTAAATAAAACTGAGTATATTACTCATACAAGTTATGTGTGGTTTGAATATATTTACCAGGTGTTTTAAGAACTTTTTATTTTACAGGTTATTATGTCTTGTTTAACCTTTCATGGTACAATTCTCTCAGATCTGGGTCAGCACAATGTGCAATTAAATTTTTTATACAATACAGTATAAAAAAGTTTATTTCTTGCAGGTGTTACATATATTTTCATTATCTGGAGGAGCTCCTGGAGGCTTCCTGAAGCTATCACTCTGAGATTGTACCATGCAAATGTGTTACATGAGAGACAGGAGTTCTAATTAGCCTACTGGGGAACAGAGGAAAAACCTGCCCCATTCATAGAGGTGCAGAGATCAAGTGGCAATTTGCCACCACACCAGGAAGATATCTAGAAAGTCAATAAAGCTTTACAGACAACTGAAGGGATAACAAAAGACCTAAGCCTCAAAACTGCTGAAGAACTCTGCAAATGATTAAGAGGAGAAACATTCAAAATTAGTGCAAGATTCATAGAAGTATTTATAGTAGCCCCTGTTCACCTAGCAGTAAATAGTTACCTGGGAGTTAGACAGCTGCTGCGGGCTGCTTCCTGAGGGTTGTAACAAAAAGGAGGCCTGGTCGAGGACAGTACCTGCACGCAGCCATCTTCCTTACTCGGTTTAATTACAGTACTGTTTAGCTGGGTGTTCCAGGTCATTCAGACGTGACAAGCCCTTCTGCTTCAAGGTAAGTGCTGGCCATTCTTGGCCTTGTTCCTGCTGGAGCCATTTGCTTTATACTGCTCTATATTTTAGTTTTTGCTTCATGTGTGTTTTTTATTCAGTTTGTTGTATTGATTTGGCTTTGTTCTCCTCTGGGCTGCACACATTCTCTGTGTCTTTCGAGGGTACCCTCTAGCACCGCCACTGCACTGACAAGAGATCTTTCATGTGTTGGAGACTTTGCCCTTGAAAGCCTAGGGCACTTTGGTGGAGAGCCTCACTTAGGGATATTTACTTATCTTTGAGTCCCATGTTTGGACCTTTGGTTAGGGGGGTGTTCTGTTGGTTGTGCTGGGGCACACTGGGACTCGTGTGTTTATACGACACCAGACAGGTGTCCTGTTGGTACTGAGCAGCCTCAGTACCAATGTGTTCTGCTTGGCTAGTTGCCTTCAGGCCCCTGGTAATCCCCTCATAGGACTTTGCCTTGGTTGGTTCGGCCCATCAAATCATGTGTGAATTTGAAGGGTGCTCATTATCTATGCTACCAGACAATGTCATTCTTTCAGCTTTTACCATGTTGTCTCTTGGCCATAGGTATCCCCAACCCAAGTCCTGTGTGATTACTTTTGGGCCTCCAATTTGAATGAATCAGCATCCATTGTAGAAGCTTTTCAGGCAGCTGCTGCTTTTAGAGCTAGATTTGATAGGGTTAATCATTCATGGCATTGTGATTGGTTGGATGCCCCAAAACTTAGCCTCTATGGTGTTTAGGGACCCAGAATTGGAGGTGTTGGTGAACTCCACCTGTACCAAGTCTGTGCCGCCTGTTCCTTCACCTGATGGTGTGGTTTGCCCTGCTTCTGATCACCCCTACCTTGTTCCAGCTCCAAAGCATCTAAGGTTTGGAGTAGGGGCAGGGTTTAGCGTATGTGTGTGTAGGTTTGTGACAGTGGAGGCAGTTGACCCTATAGGGCTCCATTTCCCGATTGTGGGGCTCTTGCAGTGGATGCCTTTGAACTGGATAGTAGAGGTGCATTTACCTTTTATTTTTTTTCTCCAGTTCAGGTTGTTGCTCCAGGTTGTCTATTCTGGAGTTATTTTCGGGGAGGGTGATCTTTCTGGCTCCTTGGTGATAAGCCCAGCTGTTGTTTTTGGCACTTCTAGCCTGGTGTCTGAACCTGGGTATTTTTCTGTGGCTCCTCTTTCAGCAAATCGGCCCGATGACGTACAGGGCGTTTCAGAAAAATTATATAATTTTGTAATCTAATAACTTGACCAATTCTCGTTCAAATGAAATCAAATTTTAACAGCATGTGTAGAAACAACTCAAAATTCTACGTTTTTTTGTATTTTTCTTTTCAGGTATAGAAATGCCATACACTGGAAAAGAAAACGTATTTTGTGTGTTCGAGTATGCTCTAACACAGTCAAAGAAGACTGTGCAGCATGCATTTGAGAGAGAATTCACAAAAAATGCACCAACTGCAATGCAGAGTTGGATATGGCACAACAATTTCAAAGTAGTAGGCTGTCTGTGCAGCCTTCCAGAAAGTCCATAAGAAGAGCAAGTCTGGAAACCCAGATTCCTCCAATGACAGTTTAGCATGTCGCAAAGAGATGCTTGCTAATGACGAATGTGCAAGCTGATGTGATGAATGTAATGGCTAATGTGTTTTATGAAAGGAAGGAAGGTTAGCACTCCCCTTGATAAGGCCGGACAACACACATACTGTCAAGGCACTGTTGACACCCGATACCATTTTCAGGAGGCCTGGCGAGGGATCGAGCCACGGGGAAGTTGAGCCCCGAAATAAACGCAAGATAATGACACCCTACAAACTGCAGCTCGTTCAGGCCTTAAAGACAGATGACGAGCACAAGCAATTCTGTGTTGATATTTATTAGAATCTTGAGGAGTTTGAACAACGTCTGCCATTCGTATGAACTGTGACCTCATCACTGAAAGACAGTCAACAAGCATAATGTCTGTATATGGTGAGAAGAAAATGCTGTGAGCACTGTGAACAACTGTGTTCCAAGCCACAGTTGATCAGACAAGGGATTCGCCAAAAGTGTGCCATGTCACAGGTAGTGCACATATTGATAACATGTGAAATCATTCATGAAATCCATATACCTTAGAATTTCTCATTTTAATTTTGTTGTATCTTATTTTGTTCAACATTAAGCCTGGTTAGTTTCATTTGCCTAGACTATGTACTTACTCATATATTTACATCGCAGACGATATAAATAATTTTGAAATGCCTGGTCTGACCTCTGCTCTGGGTCTGGAGTTTTTTATATGCGTCAGTAGCCATTTGTCTGGCAAGCGGGTGGCTGGCTTGTTGGTGTCCCACCTGTCTTTCCACATGGTGGCAGTATGTGATTGCCTGGCACTCATTTTGCCACTATCTGTCTTCTTTGTTGTCATTACTTCAGTTTTGGTCAATGCTATCCTATTCTTTTTGTCTTGATAGTTTCTAGATCACTATCTTGTGCCTAATACTGTTGCCTCTTACCGCTCAGTGTTGGTGGAGCCATATTGTTATTTTGAGTTCGATGTCGACTCTTCCTTAATGCTCAGGCACCTCAGTTACTCGGGTCTCTTGACTGGGTATTGGTATTCCTCTCCTCTGTTCCAGGAATTTCAGGTAGTATAAATGATATCTGTATATATTTCCCAAGAATTCCACATACAATATTACTAATGACATCCAACAGATATCAGACAAGTTCCAATCAACCAATTTATGAGCAGCCTGGGTCCATAACAGAAGTTGGGTGGATGAGAATATGAGGCCGCTAAAATCGCAACGCTGCCATTCACACACACCACAGGGATCTCGCGGCAGAGTGGACAGCGCTCGGGAGCATAGTCCTAAGGGCCCGGGTTCGATTCCAGGCCGAAACAAATGGGCAGAGTTTCTTTCACCCTCATATTCCTATTCACCTATCAGTAAATAGGTACCTGGGAGTTACAGCTGCTACGGGCTACGGGGATGTATGTATATGTGTGTGTGTGTTAGTTATAATTATATGTAGTAGATATAATAGAGGAAAACTAGATTGGTTAGAAAGGCAGGGTCCAAGAGCTAATAGCTCGATTCTGCAGACACAAATAGTAAATACACCAGATTGCTGTCAGCAACTATGAACTTATCGCAACTCGCCATCATTCTAGACGTCACCATCTCCTCCAACAGCAGCATCTTACGACTCTGTTTGTCACACCATCATACAATTCAAACTAATCTATATCAAATACACATCTAAAAATACCATTTTGTTTGAATCACCATAGTAACAAGCATTATGGGACCCTTCCCAGAAAAAGAAACAATATCATCACAAAGTTCAAAATGATAGTGAATATAAACTTTTTTTTTACCTGGTGAGGGACAACAAAATCAGGGCACATAGGTAAAAGATGGAAACACAAATGACCCATCAAAATATAAGGAAATACTTATTAGTGATTAAAAAAGGTAGAAGAGTAGAAGAAAGAATGACTACAAGAACATCAGAAGCCTGTAATGAATAACAAGTGGAAAGTTGCAGTTAATGTTTTGTATTGAAATTCAATGTGCTTGTGTGTGAAATTAAAGTTTGAAAGATAGTGATTGTGACTGCACGTGACATGAGACAATGGGAAAAACCAACTTTGAATGTAATGAAATATCCTTTCTGGGCGAGCCCCTGGTGGCTCCCTGAAGCTATGTTGTCGATATACAGTAGATTCCCAATACAGTGCTTAGTCACACCTATCATAGGCATCCTGTTGGCCTGCAAGAGCCAAAACCTGGCTCAGTTAAAGAGGCACAGTAAGCAGGGGATTGTTATGATTACCCTCGCGGAGTAAGCAACCAGAAGATGAGACATTACAGACAACAGTACTCGCCTAGTTGTGCTTGCAGGAGTTGAGTTTTGGTCCTGCCTCTCATCTGGTGAACAGATTTCTGAGCTTACTGGGCTCTTATATCTACATTTGAAGCTGTATGGAGTCTGCTGGTACCACATCACTGCCAAATGCATTTCATCTGTTAACTACCCTGACACTCAAAACACTAAAGAACAACTAAAAACTAAAGATTCCTTAAAAAACTGGTGACAAAATACTCCCTTCAGGATGCATGCACAAAGTATGCATACCTAAGCCATTAAGACCCTATTAGCTCTCTCAAACCTTTCAGCATGAATACCAGCCCACAACATATTGGTTAAAAACAGTGGCCAAAGCTGCAAATTTAGAAACATCATGATCCTGAAGGTTGACTGGAGGCTAGCTAGTTTTATGACACCGCAGACGACCTGGAACAAACGTGCATTGGAACATGGAACTAAGATAACCGGTTCGATTAAGAGTGCATCCCATTAAAGTAGAACTGGTGGTGTGCAAGTAGCAACAAACTGCTGCTATCAGACGTAATGAATGATTCACTCCGTGCCGGACAAACTAAGCATCAATTGCTAAAGGTCCTCTCTGGAAGCCAGCAGTATCATTCATCGATAGAAAGAGGAGATGGTTGAAGGCAAAGAAACAACCCATCATGGCCAAAAGAACAACCAAACCCTCTGAGGGAGAGCATGAAGTTTGTGATCCTGACAACTGGAGACAAAAGTTAACAGAAAAAAGTGTTGAATTCAAGGGAAACACCAATTTCTGTGCAAGCCCTGGTGGCTTCCCGAAGCTACTGTCACAGAGCTTACCATCTACTAGGTCGCATCAACTGTAGAGTTCTATAGGCCTAATGGGAACCAGCACCAGAACCTGGCCCACTCACAAAGGCACTAAGTAATGGCATTTATTTATTTATGTTACCACAGGAGAATTAACTTCAAAGTCAGCAAGACAAAACAGACCACTGCTGGTTTAGAAACCACAGCCTCAAGACATGCCAAAAGAACTCCAACTTTGTAAAGAATTCAAATCTCACCAAACTAGTGCAAGCTTGTTCACATCACCTTCCCGGAACCCGACAGACTACTGTCGGGTTCTAAGATTTCAACTTGGATTCAACAGAGCAGATGTTGTTGTTAAACACATTAGGCAAAATCTTTCTGAAGCAACCATATGAGTCAAATACTCATACTCCACCTAAGTAAAACAGAAACAAGCAACACTTAGTGAGCAAGCCAGAGGCTTAGGGCCTGTGCAGGAATTTACCTGAAAAAAACAGTTCCCCACTCGTTTGGGGAAGGGGATGGTAAGAGGCAGCGTGTGGCAGGCTGACTACACTACCTTCAACTCTATCACAGATGTAGTCAACTCCTCAATGACCTGAAGGGAGGGAAGCAGCAATGGTGGTCCACTTTGTAGAGAAGGGAAAGAACTGGGACAGACTTTCAGCAAAGAACTGGCCAGAGACCGGGCCGTGGGGATGTTGAGCCCCAAAATCATCGCAAGGTAAGACATTGGGCACTTTGTGAACATGAGCAGCATTGAGAATTAAACAAGAGCTACATATATACCTAAAGGCAGTTATACTGACCTGGCAACTTCTCTCATCGTGTGTGTAAATAAGACTATTATATTGTAAGTTTTCTTTTACTACAGTAAAGTACTGTAGTTAAGCTTCAGGAGCATGGGGTATGTTCAAATGGCAGATTTGCTGCTTTTTTGTGGCCATTTTAAATACATAGGATACATAAATGATAAATATCTATTTGTTCAAAGCTGAGAGCAAGGAGAGTCAAATAAGAAATTGGTTAGTATAACAGAAGTCCTCAATTAAAAAATGTGCATGCACAGTCATGAAGTGGGGGGGGAGGATGGCATCGTGAAGTTGTAGTGCTGACCCCCCTGCAAGTAGTACGATTGAGATCGTGGTGTTAAGATAATAGATGAAAATGTCATGATAGAAGGGAGATTATCTCGAGATGATTTCGGGGCTTTTTAGTGTCTTCGACCAGGCCTCCACCCCCAGGAAGCAGCCCGTGACAACTGACTAACACCCAGGTACCTATTTTACTGCTAGGTAACAGGGGCATAGGGTGAAAGAAACTCTGCCCATTGTTTCTCGCTGGTGCCCGAGATCGAACCCGGGACCACAGGAACACAAGTCCAGTGTGCTGTCCGCTCGGCTCCCAATAAGTCAATAAATTGCTAGGGAGGAGTTTAATAAGATTACATAAATATATATAAATGGATATAGTTGACTGGCAAAAACACTGGTATTTGTATGAATTAAAAAAAAAAAAATCAAAAGGTACCATGTTTGGAAGAATATTTAGTACTTTTTATTTTGCAGTAAACTTCTGTTTCATTAAGTGCCTTTAAGTTAGGTCATGCGAGGCCAAAATGTAGCTTATCTAGAGTTGCTTCCTCCTGCTTATTATGGTGGTAAAAGGAAGACCATAGGGATACACTACAGTTAATAGTATGTAGATTGTTAATGGCAACACCTGACCAGTAATTGTGCCAAAGATCGCAAAATTAATGCTTAGGTACAAAATGGAATGCTGTGAAGATGGGAAGACAAACAAAAAAGAATGGAATTTAGTATGAATGATTGATTGGTTGATGTATTTATTTTTATTGAGCAGATACTTCTCGCCCCATGACTGTGGAGAATGGGTAATAACTGAGACTACATTGATTTGTTTCTACAGCATCTACTGTCACATGGGAAAATAAAAAAAGAAAAGAAAAAGGTTTCAGTAGAATGTAAAAAGATTTATTGTTTTCAATGTCTATTACAAACACTTTCTGTGATTGACATGAGGGATAGAAAAGAAATATTTCTCTAAATACACGGAAGTCACCAACTTAGGTGTGCTGTATTTTGACCTACTTGTACTACAAAAAATAATTTGAGTGATGATTAAAGTAGACATTCTGGACAGTATCCTCTTTTCCTGTGGCACAATACTTATATTGGCATAGTTAACAGCATTCAATGCTTAAAAAATATTGAATTACATTTAAATAAGAAAATTTAAATTGTCCAAAATTAAATGACCATCATTAAGATAAAAAAAATGTGACTGCCTATGGTGGAGCAAAACATTTCACATTATAACTCAAGTAGCAAAGACTAATGAAAGCATTTGTCCATGAATAATAATGATCCAAATTTAGAAATGTATTGAAATTTCCCTGGTTCATACATCTCAGCTGCCACACCACTAGAATGTTCACAACCTTGGAGATTGCCTCTCTGCACTCTCTTGGCAGTGGCAGTAGTGCTCTGGGGACCAGTTTTAATGTGTTTGTGTAATGCCCCATCCTTTATTAAAGGATAAACATATTTGTCTGGCAAATCGGGTAGCACGCACACCCATGCTGGACTGACTTCTTAAAGCTAAATAGTGTCATCTAGGCCGCGGCAGTTTTTTGAGACGTGCAGTTCGGGAGGAGATGAGGGTCTGGGATGGCCTGTAACTATACCAGGAATTGAGGGAAGGCATTTCCTTGTCAAGTGTCTTGTTAAATCATCCTGACGACTCGTGTTTACGTACCAGTTAATGTGTGTATACATGTTTTGAGTGTAATGTGTAATTGTAGTAGTGAAGGTTGAAAAATGTCATGTACATTTTAAAATACCTGTATTTATAAAATACTTTACATTTTATGTATAATTTTTTCACCTTGACTTGATCCTGGTGAATATAAATATGGCAATCAAATACCTTTTATAATTAATATCCCTGATAATATATGCTATATATATGATTTTATATATATTTATATATATACACAGTATATATATACATATACATAACATGTATACATATATACTCTATATATCTGGTAATAAATAACCAATTTTGGGAAGAGCCCCTATTTTGTGTGTAGGGAGAACGAGATTTGGCTAAAAAGGAGCCCACAATTAACCACTAATGCCCCCATCTCCCCTGAATTTCGTCTTATACAAGGAAACATCATCTTTAACAAAAACGTAAATCAGATCATCTGTACAATTATAAATTATAATTATCATTCACTTGTACAACTGGCTCTCTTCACGAGTCCAATCTCTCGGTCCCGGCAACAAAACATAGAAGTGGTTGTTGCTAAATTTAGTAGCAAGTTTGTGCTGTGGACACCTTGCAGCACTTTGGATGGTGAGTGGGCAGTCCTTGTGTGGGGCAGATTCTTGTCACTGGGATGCTTCAATGCTGCAACTTGCATTTACTTTTTAATACTACATTGTACTGACAGGCATTCATGAGGCACATCAATTGATTTTATGCATCACTAGCTTAGTATTATTGTTGCCATCAGTCTTACAACACTTGTACACTTAGCTTGAAGAAGATGCATTGTAGATGTCTTGACAACTTGGGATTCTTGCAACTCCACCACAAGCCACAGTATGAGGTTGCATATGCTTCACTTCTAAAATCCCCACCCCCCCTCCCTTCCCACAACACTCCCTGCCTCCTTGCTGCAACTTGCGGTCCACACCACCATCCCTGCTACATTCTTGTACTTCGAGGTGACGTCCACACAACTTTACCCTCAGAGTAAAGTCTAAGTCACAGCTCACACAGTGAGGGAGTCTGACTCCACTGACATTAACAGCTTCTCACCCCCCCATCAATCTGAGGATTATCTCTGATCAGATGATAGGGGCAAGATTAACACCACGCGTTAGGACCCTCCACTCTCTTCTAGTTCACACTTGTACTTGTTATAGGGTGCAAAAGGGGGTCGGGAAGGGTCATCAATACGCACTATTCTTGTACAATTAGGTCGCAACCCATCCGTGTGTCCTAAAAACCAGTCTGTGGCAGCACGCTGATCTGCCTCAGAAACATGTCTTGTGCACCAATCCCCATGCCATGATAACAAACCACTACGCATTCTTCGACTCACATGCTCATGACTCTGTAAAATAAATACCTTCATTAATAATGCAAATAAACAGCATTTATGTACAAATATTTAGTAAATTTCTGCATGGCTGTTTAAATTTACTGTTTCAAATACAGTATACACGAGTGCCAATATTGGCAGAGGTGAATAAACATTTCCTTTCATATAATTATTCAATATATTCCACAATCAATCTACCACAGAAATTTAGTTAATATTACAGTCTGAGAATGAAGTCTCAGTGAAGATTTTAATTAATGTAAAAAGTCCTACCTGTTTGGCCCGCTTGAGTGCTTGTTTCTTGTACATATATGAATCACTATTGACTACAAACACCATCTTAAATGAAGACAGATTAAATTTGCATTGAGTGTTGTCACCAATATCCATATCTGGACACACTGGTGGCTTGATATCCTCTATACATCCACCCCTGAAAAAATATTGGTTAAAAATTTAATTCCAGTGTATTAAAAAATCAGTATTTAATACCATTGTGTATAACATTTCTTCAATACACCTAGATATCAATCTCCCCCCCTCCCAAAATATCATTGAGGTCTTAATCCGACTACAGTATAACTGTAATGCAAATTTCATAGCATTATTTACATAGTCAATCAGAATGCAGTAGGTACACTACTCACTTTTCAACCTCCTGATTTGTTTGTCTGGATGCAGTTAACTTTCTCCAAGAACGAAGGTTGCGTGGCAAGAATACTGGCTTTCTGGACAGCTGGGCCTGCATAGCAGGTGACATCTGAAAACAGTAATGTTGGTTTTACTGGTGGACACGATCCAGGTGACAAATAATAAATCCAGTTTCCAGACAATATATTACTAATACAATAGTTACGAGGCATCAACTGAATAGTACTGAAATTGTGAAGTCTGACTGCAAAAAAGAATAGGGGATCATGATTAGTAAGAATTTATAGCCATAAAATCAATGCATGAATGTTTTAAATTTATAGACAACTACTGTTCTTTGCACTTTCCCAGTCCTTTAGTCCAGTTCGTCCATTTGAGGTGCCCATGAATTTTCCTTTAGAAATTCCTTGCCTAATTATATTTTGGCTGACCTGCACTTTCTCTTAATTCCTGTCCATATCTATCTTTACTTACATCTTAAAATTCATCTCCTCTTCATTTTCTTTAATTAGAGTCTTTATTTGTCCTTTCTGCCTCCTTACCTTATGTCAAGATGACAACTTCCTACAAAATGCTTTGTAATTTTTTTTTTTTTTTTTACTTTTTAGATCTTCAATTTCTTTATTTAATGAAACAAGTTTTTCAAATCTTTAGCAGACCCTCAACTTTCACTAATCTCCCCCTAAAACCAGCATTTTTAATTCCCTCTGAGTGGTTACCAGGAAGTGCTGGAGCTGAACTCTATGGAACACTTGTCTATTTCAGATGCCCGTTTCAATCTCGGAGCAGGAAACTAAGCACATCCCACAAAGTCTAATCAAATGGGAGGTATGATTGTGGATGGTTTATCTAGGTTTTCAATAAATCTCTTATCCCCATACTCCCTTTGCCTTCATGAACAAACCAGATTCTGATCCTAGTTTTGGAAGGCAGTAAAAGTTCAGCGGTCTGGTAGAATTAGGAAGCCTCTGTGGTACCAGAGCCATAGGTACCAAGGAGCTACTGAAAGGGTCAGCCCATAAAAAGCCTTTGCCAAGTGTCACAGATGACAACAAAGAAATGAGTAAAATACTGAGGTTTCAGTACAATTCTGTTTTCAGTGAACCCCTGACCACATTGAAGTTTGATGATCCAAATGAATTCTTTGTGAATGACACCAACATCAAACCATACATCAAGTGTCACCCTATCCCCACCGGATTTTAAAGTAACCATAGACAGCATGCCCATGTACTCTGCATCAGGCCGACTTGTGGAATTTTATATTCATCAAGAAGTGAAAAACACCACTATCACAGGCCCTAAACATCTTTTGGAGATGGAACCTAGATACTGGCATCATCCCTCACATACTTACAACAGTGGAAATTGTGCCACTTCACAAAGGAGGTAGTAAAGCAGATGCAAAATATATGGACTAATAGCTCTAACCTCACACATCATAAAAGTCTTTCAGTGTTAAGAAGCAAGATTACAAGTCACATGGAATAACATTTACATAACACTGGATAACACGGGTTCAGAACAGGGTGCTCCTGCCTTTTATAGTTGCTAGATCACTATGACATGGCCTTAGGTGCCACGGAAGACAAGCAAAACGCTGATGTAATATATACAGACTTTGCAAGAGCTTTCTACAAATGTGACCATGGTGTTATTGCGCACAAAATGCATGTAAAAGGAATTACTGGCAAAGTAGGGAGATGGATCTTCAACTTCCTAATACGCAGAGTGTAATAGTCAACACAGTAAAATCTGAATCATCTACTGTGAAAAGCTCAGTCCCCCAAGGACTGAGCTTTTCACAGCAGATGATTCGGATTCCGATACTGGTCCTTGAGGAGACAAAGTCCCCCAAAATACCTGCTCCGGTACTTTTTCTCATCCTAATATCAGACAGACAAGTATACAAACTACAGCACCGTATCATCATTCGCAGATGACACTAGAATGTGTGTGAGTAGACAATGTAGAGGACATGGAAAACCTCCAATCAGATGTAAATTCTGAAGACCTGATTCTGGAGACTTTGCAGTTCCTGTGATGCCTGGAGGGGTCTGGAAGGTCTCAGTGTCCACTCCAAGATGGACTAAGGTATTTTCTATTGCCTCCCTAGCACTAACAAAACTTAGCAGGGAAATTTAGGAAAGAGCTCAGCAGTAATGGTGCAGAATGCCACCCTGAGCTGACTATCATGAATCTCTCAATGAAACTCTCATTGAGCTTGTCTTGGGGAGCATCATTATAGCTCATTAGTCATTAATTAAGCTTATTCCTAAAAAACACAATTCTGCACAAAAAATAAATATCTTTCTCCTCAATATTCACAATATAAGATTTAAAAACACAAAGTGCAAAGGCATATTGGGCTCACCTGAGGTGCGACGGAAGAGACGTACTTCTCTACATATTCACTCCATCTTTCAACTTCAGTGACAGCAGGTGGAATGGTTGAATGGGAAGAGGAAGGAACTGTACCACTATGACTAATTCCGGTTCCCACACTTCCTCCACTATCTTCTCCTTCCTCAATCTCTGTGTCTATCAATTCTACACTCATTCTACAGTTCCTTTTATACTGAAAGAAACAATGAATTTTTTAAATTAACATACTTGTGTGTATATATATAAAAACAAATCAACTTTTAAAAGAGCCTAACAATTAAAACCAAAGTGACAAATAGTTACTACCTTCCAACAAATAATTTTTTTTTGTCAAACTCTTTTTTTTTTAAGATATTAACCCATTTCTGAACTCTTCAAAACTATAACAAGAGCTAAGAGAACAGAAATATGTTTCTCATATACTATAGATTTTCACCATTAATCCGTTTCTCCTTGTATATCCCTCGAGGTATCAGTCCAAAAAAAGAAGACATCTAATGAAGTGAAATTAAGTAATAAACATCTAAAAATTGATATCACTCATCCATTCATTGTATCATTTACATTAGAGGTAGAGGCAACAAGGATTACCCCTTGTTGCACAAAGGGTAAACAAACTCGACCCACACTTCGCGTCATCCACAGCAGCAGCTCATCACTTGATAGCCCCAGGTGGACACTATACTGTACTTCAAGAAATTCTATACACAGGATTAAAAAAAAAAAAAATTCACATCCTTTAATACATTTCATTTCCAAACTTTATATTCACCTAGTTGTGCTTGCGGGGGTTGAGCTCTGCTCTTTTGGCCCACCTGTCAATCAATCAACTGATCAAATCCCCCCCCCCTCAGTGAAAGGGTGAGAGAAACTGCCCATTTGTTTCTGCCATCGTCGGGGATCGAACCCAGAACCTAAGATTACGAGTGCCGTGCGGAGTCCACTCAGCCACAGGGCCCCCTATTTTTGTTGTTCACGCGCTCCCAGTTTCTTCACACACCACGTCTGCCCCATTTTTCCTCATCTTAATTTCCTCCTCCGAACACCTAAATTTATTAGGACAGAGCAGCACCAGTCTACATTCATTCATTCATTAGTTCATCATGCCTAATCCAGCATGATACACTCAACACAATCATACAATTTTACTTTTACCCTTTGCACCTCTCTTGACATTTTTATTCCAAATACAATCTATTGTCCTAATACCACTCACTCGTGCAGTCCTTTTGCTATATTTAATCCAATCTCGCTTCTTCTAATCACGAATTTTATGGTATGGGCAATTTGCCTGCCTTGACTTGCCCTACTCACAATAGTGATTGCACAAGGTCTCCTTTATTAACCATATACCACATTTTAACCATATACTTAAACTGATAGACCACTTCAGCATTTCACCACACACAATTTCCTTATTTGTTCGTAACTGACTATTAGTGCATGCTCATATTTTTAACAGTCTTTTCTGACACACATCAATAACATTTTCAACTAGTCGATTAAAATCTCTCTCACTCTACTAAAAGAAATATCATTTGCATGCATCAATTCTGACACACTTCAATAACTCATATAAGATCCTATAACTCATAACCTCTCTTTACATTCTTACCTGTATTTCAGTCATTACCTATCTAACCACTTGGACTGGATGTGGTTAGAGCGACGCTCTCACTTCATGCAGGTCGGTGTTCAATCCCCAACCATCCAAGTGGATGGCCATCACTCCTTCTTCCCTGGCCCATCCCAAATCTTTATCCTGATCCCTTCCCAGTGCTATAGACATAATGGCTTTGTGATTTACCCCTGATAATTCCCTCTCCCCTCAGTCATTACCCCATCTATGTACATATTCACTAGTGTGACATCACTGGTGTACCCATACATCAATATATCAAGCTAGTCACCCGTTACACAATTAACTCAAACATATGCAGTATTTCTTACATATACACTTCTCACAGCATTTAACAGTAATCTGCTAACTCAATAAACTCGATATTCTACCAAGCCAGTCTCGAATTGCCATATGCTTTCTCAAGTCCAAAAACCATTAATAACCTAAATATCTTTCTCATGCTTTTTCCATAAGCTAACTCAAACCAAATGCTGATATCCTAATATTTCTATCAAGACAACCAAGTTTAATTCTGTTCTTAGTCTTGCACCAAAAAACTAGCACAGTGTGTAATAAAAGGCCTCTTTCTGGGTGGGCCTGGTCAAAGCCCAGCACAAGGACAGATTCCTGGGGACCAATAACATGTAGGGAGACACGAGCCCTAGCAGTACCTGTATGTAAAAACATACCAAGAGACTAGAAGCCAAAACCCAGCCACCAAACAAAAGGTACAGTGGATCAAAGATTAGCCTCACTGTAGAAACATCCATAAAGGAAGTGAAACAAAACAGACAACTGCAAGGTTCACAAATAATAAGGAAATGAAGCAGCAAAGAACTCTACAAATGATCCACACAGTCAAACACCCCACCCCACTGGGAGCTGCTGGCTCCCCATGTCAACAATACTCAGTTTGAGTATAAGAAAACAAACCTATACCTTTGGTAGTGGAGGCAGGGGAACGGAATCACCAAAGCCCACCCAGAAAGCGGTGTATCATAACATTCAACACCGGTTTTCTGGATGAGCAAATGTGGCTCCCTGTAACTAACTACAAAGAGGAATTTGGGACTTACCAGAGAGAAGAGCAAAGACCATACATCCCAATGAGGGGAATCTCACCCAGACCAAAAACCTGATGGGGAACACCAGGTAATGAGCTGCCACGACCCTGGTAGATCCCCCAAACCCCTGAACCCTGACATCAGCCCCAGACAAATTAGAAAACAGAGCAGGCAGAGAAACTTTCGAACATCATGGGACCGAGGACAGACTGCAAGCTGCCCAGATGTAACAATACCCCGAGCAACCCAAGATAAACAAGCCCTAGAACAAGACCAAGGAGACACAGTTGCATCAACAGGATCAACAAACTATGCATCCACCATAGCAGCTCAGGTGGTGCACAGGTAGTGATAACCTGTGATAGTGATAACCATAAATTATGCATCCCTGGCTGAATGAACTATGAATCAATAACCAGAGGCCCCTTCCAGAAGACAACTGTCTTATTCTTTGTTTAAATCCAGAAGAGAGCTACATGCAGAATTCAGCCCCTAAGAGGAACTGAATGAAGTGACCCCAGATGCTGAAAAACTGGGGAGCAATCGGCATGAAGACAGAATGGACCCAGGAGGAAGATGAATCCTCCACAGAGCCTGCCACACTGCTGCAAACTCTTGCACCATATTTTGTGCCTATAGGAGGAGGCTCACCCAATATTCCTGGGAGGCCTGGTTAACAATGGTCACAAAACCCCAATCTAGGGGTTAGGCAATCATACATATTTAGCGACAGAGAAGGAATAAACCATGGGACCTAAACCTGAAAAGCCACAAGAGGAAACTCATAAATCAAAGTCAATGAATGAAGTGCAAGTAACTTATACCTGACATTCCTGGTAATTGCACAAAGGGGGTACCAGAACAATACTCCAAACCAAACTTTGCCCAAGGAAAACACCCTGCAGGCAAGGTGTAGGCACCAGCACAACTGCTCAACCAATCATCGAGTAATATGGGGTCGTTCCAACACCAGAGAACTGGTATTGACAGAGGAAAGGAAGCCAACCAGGAAACCCAAGCCAGGTCTAGCCAAGTCCAAACCTGAGATAGAACAAAAGGGACTTCTTTCGATCCACCAAGAACCTGAACCCAACAAGCTAAGAACTAGATCCGAGACCTGCAGATGTGTGGACTGGCTGGAAGCCCAAGCCAGCCAGTCACAGAAGTAGGCCAAAACATGAAACCTGTGAAAGATGTAGCCAAGTCACAGTCACCCACACTAACCTGGGAAAAATCAGAGGAGCCAGTATCTGGACAATAGGGAGTACCCAAAAGGAGGAAGCTTGACTCCACACAATGAACCAGTCCAAAATCTCAGATGAACCGAGACATGCTTGTAAGCATCCAGGAATCTACCTGTTTAATCCTGAGAGGTCGAGAATCTAACATAGTTGTGCTAAGTCCATAGTTAGGTCTTGGAACAACCTGGACACTCATATAAGTAAGGGGTAACTCGACCAAGCCAGAAACCAAACAAGTTGCCAAGACTGAACAGAGTTGCATGGAAGACACTTGCCCCAAAACTCCAGACATTAGGAGGGACTGAAGACCAACTCCACTGAAGGATGAGTGTGACAAAAGAGGCCTACACATTGGGGGTCCGGCTGGCAAAAAACTATCATGAAATATGTAATAAAATGTAATGAAATGACACTTTCTGGATGAGCCCCGGTGGCTCTCTGAAGCGTATTTTCCTGAGATGGCTCTCTCAACTACTAGGTCACATCAGCCATAGAGTTCTGTTTGGCCTACCAGAAATTGTGTTCCCCTTATAGTGGTGCAGAAAGCAGGTGACACTCCTGACACCTCACCAGGAAAGCATCGTGAAGGTCAGTAAACTAATACAGACCACTGCTTGGTTCAAAAGAACCAAAGCTTTGAAGCTGCCAAACGAACTCCCCAAACAATGTCAACAAACGACTGAATCTCTTGAAACTAGCATGAGCTCGTTAGCACTCACCCTCCCCGCTAGTAAGGTGAGGAGGCTGGAGCTCCAGGTATCTCCCAACCTTCCAAGTCAGTTCTGGAGCTGATGTGAAGACCACAAACACCAACTCACGAACCTGGAAGGAAGAGGGAATCAGGGAGCCACTGCGGCTCATCCAGCTTGTGCCTATGGCACCTCTATTCTTCACTGGCAATATTCTTCATTTCCTTCCATATCGTTCACTCCAGCAGTTTTTTTTAATGAGCAAATTTGGGACCCAGCCCAACTGTATTTGATACTTATCTTGTCCCCTTTCTAGAGAGTATATTTGAGAGTTTTATCTCGGTCATTAAGGTCTACGAATGCCGTGTATGTTCTCTGTATTCCCACTATATCAGCAATCTCTCCTGCTCTTAAGGGGGAAGTGAGTATCAAGCAGGACTGAAGGCGTGACAGCATTGAATGAGCATTGTGATGGGATCCCTGGATTTGAAGATTCTTGTAAACCACACTAACATTTTTACTAGGTGTCGCTGTATTTGCTTTGCTTGGTTATACGTTAAATCATCAGACACTATGATTCCCAGATACTTTAAATGCTGCTTTTCTACTATGGGTTGATTTGATTGTGTCTTGAATCCTGTATTTTGTTTAGGGTAATAATGTGAAAATTTAGTTTTGAGGCTGGGAGCGTGAGAAATAAGCTAGATGTGGTTAAATATTTTTGCAGACAAGTTCACTTGTTAGTAGTCATATAACGTATAATTATTATTATAGGATGAAATGAAAATTTCACCAAGTGATGTTTCAATGAATCCCTCACTGCAATGAATTGGGGTTGGTCCCCTACAGCTCAATGAATCAAGGTTGTACTGTATTTGACACGAGAATAAGGAAAAGCAGTGGTGCGAGGACTGTCCCCCCGAGGTACAGAACTTTTCACTGTGCTTGAACTATTTTATGTAATTGACACACTGCATTCTGTTTGAGAGAAATTTAAAATAAATTGCCTTACTTTACCTGTTATTCCTATTGACCTCATTTTGTGGGCCATTACTCCATGGTCACATTTATCAAATGCCTTTACAAAGTCTGTGTAACAAGTGTTTACAAAGTCCACATATGCATTCTGTTTTTCTTGTAATGCATCAGTGACTCATGGGGGGTTGAGTAGCCGTGACAGGCATTATCTTCCTGCGCTAAATACATGTTGGTCTGGGTTGTGGAGGTCCTTGGTCTTCATAAAATTTGAGATTTGATTCCTGATCATTCTCTCCAAGACTTATTATGTGGGACATTAGTGTGAATGGTATATGACAGTATATGTTTCGCTCCCTCCCTTGTGTAGGGAAGCTATATCTGCCGACTTAAGTACTTCTGGTATTTCCCAGTATCCAAGTTTTTTCTCGATACTACACTTGAGTGCTTATGCTACTGGCACTTTCCATTTCTATATAAATATTGAATTCCAGAAGCCTGGACTGGGCAGAATGCATGGGCCTGTTGTCAATCTATCTCAAAATCTGGGGAGTTCATGTTGATATGTTATATCTTCAGAGTTTGTATATCATGAATGAAAAAGCTGTCTGGATTTTCCACTTTCATGCTGTTTATTGGGGTGCTAAACACTCGTGCTGTTTTTTTAGGATTCACTAATTTCTTTGTCATCTTGTGTATGAATGTTCGCTTGTAAGTATAGGTCTAATACTGATAGGGCTTTTTGCTTTAGTTTTCATATATGTGAAGAAGTATTTTTTGATTTTCCTTTATCTCTTGTATGGCTTTCTATTCCAATTGCATTTCTTCAATCTGATATGATCGCTAAAATCTCTCCTCTCCCAGTTTAAATTAGTCTTTCTTTGTAGCAATAGTCATGTCTGCTTAAGCATTTCCATTAATTTGTCCTTCTGTGGTGCCATCTGCTGTCTCTTTCTAAGCTGGTTCATTTTCTGGATTTCTGTTAAGGAACGCATTTCAGACGGATTTTATATGCTTCAGCAGTCGGGTGTTCTATTCTTTAGCGAGATTTATATTTCTTTACTTTAAAATACTATAACAACAGTTTTGCAAATGAATGTTGGCAAGTTCCATGTTTATTTTTCCAGTCTACACTATTAAAATTTCATTTATTGAATAAACCCTGTAACTTAATAATTTTTTTAGAGCATGAGTAGTGATGTTAGTTTGCACTTCAATGAACTTATGATCTGAGAATGTGGTAACCGAGACTGCAATGTCCCCGATTATTCCTGATTATTTATTCAATGTTTGTTAAGTTCATATCTAGAATATTTTTGATTCAAGTTGGTTCTTATTTGCTGGTTGGGTGAAATTTTGCCACAGGATCAAAGTAGTTCTCTGAGCCGTGGTTGATTATTTACAGATTTTCTGGTATTATTAATGGTTGCAATTTACCATCTTTGACTGGGTAGGCTGAGGTCTCTGAGGAAGATAATATCTGGAATTGGGTTTGCCAGATTATCAAGAATATTCTCGAATCTGTTATCTGTTCCGTGAATTCTTCAACCATGGCACCCTCCAGATCTTCCAAGTGTTACGTAACAGAGCATAAACTTGAGTACTGTGTATAGTGATTCTTAAGTGTGTACAGTATGATAACAGCAAAAATGCTTATGTAATATACTGCAAATAAACCATTTTAGTGTGCACATTAGTGACAAACATATTTGTGTGTACTAACAATCCACGTGTTCTGTGATACAAAGAACTAAAATGACACCTCAGACCATAATAAAAAAAACTGACATTGAAATTGTGTGTCATTACAAACCACTAAGTATTTCTATTGCGTGTAATAATCTCATAACCGGTTATCAGTTCAGCCGAGACCCGAATTTTTTGCAGGAAAAAGTCATAACAGTACGCATTGAATATATAATATTTTTTTCCAAGTGCAATGTTGTACTGGGATATCATTAATATTTTTTGTCACAATGTGTAAAATATTGATTCACAGATATATTCTGGTCACTAATGTGAGCTAAATGTTATATTCTTTGAGCAATAAAACATACTGATTTTGCTATTAGACTATATATACACACACACACAAATCTAACTATGTACATTTTTGAGCACCAGAATGAACCACCCGACTCACTGTAATGCCTGAAATATAATATGCCTATCACTAACCCTAGGCAACAATGTGACTATTATCAGAATCCTACGTCATTAAATCCTAAATATGAATCATGTTTATTTTCTTAAGGCACATAAGGTTGTGTCATGAAGTATAGATGAACCAAACCATGGCAAGTGCTGTGGCTGTCTGAGTCATGCTATGGACATCATAAAAACAGCATTGTGTTCACTGATACAGTATCTGAAAATTATACAGTTTCTATCATGTTCAGGATCTTCTATGATACTATCACACAAGCTGAACAGTGGTGCTATTAGCTCATGCTGCATGTGTCACCCTTAGTTGCTCACTCAGTACTGAGGCCTTCACACCAAGGAACCAAACGATGTCCACAATTTTTTTTCCAAAATGGAATTTGTTTATGATGGCCTAAGAAAGCCAGAGTGAACTCTGTGTACCCTTTTGAGTTTAAAATCTTACCGGTATGTTAAATCATTCCTAGATGAATGACACAGGTTGGTCAGATATGCTGCAGTCATCCCTGTATGACTCGTGCAGTGGAAGAGTTAAAATAATTACGGTAAATTCTTCTCTCAATTAAAAAAAACTTCAAAAAGACACATGCTTACGGTATAAATTTTGAAACAATTTTCATCTTGGAGAAGGCGTTCAGATTTTTTCTGGTAACTTTGTTCAGCAGCCAATCGTCTGTGTGATGATGCTATGGGACCGCCTGCACCACCTTTCTTGGCCTCAGACAGGTACATAGACGTGCATTGGGCAGGGGGCTCATCACACACCAGATGTTGCAATTGTCTCACTGCTCCCGTCACTACCTGTGTTAGTGGGAAATAACTTATAACCATCGGCAAGCAATACCAAACAAGACTTTTGACTTCTATAATTCTTTTGACTCTGTTATTCTAGCAATTCCAGTAATCACTCAGCCCTCCAACAGCCATCCCCAGACTTGGCCCTCCCACACCCACCTCAGAACCCACTTGTGTTACTTATTACACAAGTAACGGCTTGGAATGTTTTCTAAAACTAATTACAATGAACACTGTAGATTGCTCCCCTTGTGAATACCGTACAGTATTATCATCATTCTTTGCAAATTACTGGCTGGAAAGTATGAAAAGTTATGTTTATTTTTTTTATTGAAACATGTGTGAGGAATTTTGAAATGTTTTAAATTTATATATTTAGCCCTGTTATGCATAATTTATTATAAAAACATATTCTGTATGGCATCTATACTTTAGCAAATTCATTTGTGAACATTTTGACAAAATTTAGTTACAACTGAAACCTAAGGAGATGTTTATAAACCAAAAAGAAACACAGAAAATTCACTGTTTCAGAGATATAATTTTACCTTATCCATCGTAAAACCGGTATATGCATGGATCCCAAACATTTCCCGTAAAGTATCTTCATATGCTGTGGATTCCAAATTGCCATCTAAAACATTTTTCACCATATCTAACATGGCAGGGTAATAGTCTTCAATAGCTATCTCATCTGAAAACAGAAATGGTATTGTAAGTTTAATGCTTACTAAATACTTTGCCCCTTTCATCAACATAATAGCTATTTTTGGCCATTACAGTATGTGATGTTTATATTTGGCTTAAATATATGAATGTATAATTTTCTCCATCTTGGGCACAAATGTGACAATGATGGATAATAGAATAATGAAATCAAAATACAGAAGGAAGAACATGAGGTTCAAGTGATTGGTGTGTAGCCGACATTATGGAAATTAAGTGAGGAATTCATACAAGAAAGATTCTATAATGGCATACGAAAAATAGAACAGACAAGTTTATATATGGCTACCTAAGCACTATTTGGTTATGGTCAAAAGGAGGAACAACGAATCAAGAAACATACAATCTTGAAGCCTTGTTTCCTGAAAGGCATATGATGGTCAAATTCTTGATGGGATGAGTAATATACATGGAATATATACATTGTACATGTACCATTATTGTTTCACATCATTACCTGTTTCAAATGTTCATGGATAAGAATGCAGTGTGAGGTACTCACTCAAAATGGATGGCATCACTGTACAGATGTGGATTCACGATAAAGATAACAAAATTATTGTTTTTTATTCAACAAGCATATTTAGAACTTTAATTTAAGTAATAGTTGACTTTACAGAATAGTCTACTATACAGAAAAACCACTCGATATTGCAATGGTCTACAATATTTCCTAGTTGTCCAGTGTGTCCACATCCCCCAATAAAAATAAAGCACAATGTAATGAAACATCATGACATATTTCATTACATTCAATGCTTCATTTTTGATGGAATGTTGATGGCCTTGTTCATCACCATTCCGTCAAAATCAAATGAAAGCAAGAGAAACTGTTCGAGAACATTCAACACATAAGGGAGCCAGTTGGCCGAGCGGACAGCATGCTGGACTTGTGATCCTGTGGTCCCGGGTTCGATCCCGGGCACCGGCGAGAAATAATGGGCAGAGTTTCTTTCACCCTATGCCCCTGTTACTTAGCAGTAAAATAGGTACCTGGGTGTTAGTCAGCTGTCACGGGCTGCTTCCTGGGGGTGAAGGCCTGGTCGAGGACCGGGCCGCGGGGACACTAAAGCCCCAAAATCATCTCAAGATAACCACCCTAATGTGAACTGCACTGAGAAGTTATTCCAAAGAGTCCAGTCCACATGAACACATTTAAATGACCCACCCAGTTTAGGCAATGGGCCACTAGGGGTGCAATCCACATCTCTACAAACTCTACTACAATAACCTGCATGAACTGAAGATAAAAAGAGTTCCCCAATCCAGGTTGGTATGGTGAGAACAGGGAAAAGGCCAAGGATGGAAGCACAGCCAGCACTGGGCTAACCAAAGGAGAGAAAAGAAGACTGACCAGATATGCCATACCAGACCAAGCCAATTCAGAACCCAGGAAGTCACCAACTGGGTTCTGTTCTTTGACTTGTCCTGTTTCTGACTTATGTAAATGATCTTCCAAAGGGTATAGGCTCATTCATCGCTCTCTATGCTGACAATGCTAAAATTATGAGAATAATTAAGATAGAGGATGAGAGGGGAGGAATGGAAAGGAATGAGCCCATCGAAGAAACCGAGACACCACATGAAAGTTCAGATGATTCCCTATAACAATGTCACTGGGGTGTACCACAAAGGGGCTAATAAGAATAAAGCGTGACAATCACCAGATGAATGATGAAACTGTTCCCACACACAGGTGGAGACAGGCTCGCTGGAGCAATATATGGCAATAGGACGACTCGGTAATCAGCCAGGAACTGTTAAAAAGACATTTTCAAAATTTACACACACACAAGTCAGCTATACAGACTCTTACTAGATCACAAGACCATGAAAGCTAACAACACTAAAGAAAAGGTAAAAAAAGGCAACCATGCCAGGAGCGCAAGGGAAGCACCTCTGCAGAACAAATCCAGAATCCTAACCATAAACACCTGCTGGTGATAAGTGCAGGCAACCATGGAAAAGAACACATGACACACACACACATTCAAAGAAAATACAAAGCTCAACATGCACCAAGAGCAGACAGGCACAAAAGCAGCATGTTAGATAACACACAAGCAACTTCTATAATTCTCCTTGACAGGCCTCACAGCAGAGAACAGGTTCCATGCACTTCATGGAAGCAAGGCGATTAAAGAGGTGTCAACTTGTAGAAGAGAACCCCAAACCCCTCAGAGTAAGTATCGCTGATAAGATAGGAGAAATGAAGGCAACTACCAAGGAAGGAAACTATGGTGCTCAGAGTAAAACAATTCAGCCAGGGCATGTGTAATGCAGGCGACAGAAAAAAAAAATTTGGGAGGTCGAAAAAAAAAAAAAAAGGAACACCCCCAACCTATCAAGACCTAAGGACAGCCAATACCACTTGGTTAAATGGAGAACTCGAGGATGGGTCCTGTTTGAGCAGTGGTTTCCAACCTTTTTGGGAACAGCCATATTTTCCAATAATCAAGACACAATTTGGTTAAAACCCACTAGTTGGTATCACTGGTATATAACCAGCTCACTGGTTAATCCCCATATACCCACGATTGTGATTGTAAGGTCTATCAGCACTTTTCAATTTACAATTTGCATTGCGTACACACAAAATGGCTAAGGAAGTGAGTTTGCAATAAAAGTCCAGATGATGCATTTCAGCATCACCTAAAAGTGGCAGTGTCCTCTGCCTTAGTCCTCTCAACTTCTACCCTCAAACCCACTTCAAAATACTTGCCTTCATTCATTCAACATACATTATACCACGGTACAAATACAAAGCATTTTCCACATGCATTAGAATACATCCAAGATGCTTACTTTTAGGCTTGAGCCTTAGCGCTACTGCTGTTGCTTCTTTTCTGTCCTTTTTATCTTTGGCTTCCTCTGCCGCTATCCGCACAGCATGCTCGTACATGGTAGTGAGACGGCAGCACAAGATTTGGTGTAACCGAAGAAAAAGGTACCAATTGTTGTTGCACATAAACAATCTGTATTCATCATCCTGAAATAATAAAATTACACTAAAATCAGTCAATTTTGTTTTACTTTAAGAAGTAACTGAGGATTACAATCAAAATTAAATAAACAGATAAAAAAATAAAATTACATCCCCCCCCTACACACACACACACAAAAAGGTTCTCACCGGTTGGACGTTTCCATTTCCAACAGACCCTGGCTCTTCTTTCACTTCTACCTTGTCTTCGTCAACTTCACTCTTTATACTAATTTTTTCATCTTCAGTCGCATCACCATTTAGAGCTATTTTATTTTTAATATCATCTTTGGTTTTATTATTATTATTGTTATTGTTATTATTATTCCCACTAGTTTCTCTCACACTTTTAGTATCACAATCTTTTTCTTGGTCAAGACCTCGATTTCTCGTTTTTCTCTTATTAGAATTATTGTTCGTTGTGGCACACGGAGTAGACGAGGGTTGCTTGCATTCACGTCCTCTCAGGTCCCGTCGACCACCACTCTCACACTTTCCTTCACTTTTACCATCCTCCTCCTCCTCATCTTCATCTGTGAAAGAATGGAGCAAACTCTTATTATAAAATACAGTTACATAAAATGTAGAGATAATGTAATAAAGAGTATAACATGTTTTAATCAACATATTGGAGACTGTAGAATGGTTACCTTCCATATCTTTCTCATCATCAGACATGTCTTGTCTTGTGTGAAAGAGAAGGTCAGGAATAAAATGTCTGACAATCTGCTTGATTTTGACCTTGTCATCTTTATGGTAAGTTGTTTGTCTCTTCACATGGTGGATTATCAAATTTGCTGCATCATCAATGATAGATTTATCAGGATAATGGAGCACCATATGAGGGCCTGTAATAACGTCTCCGCTCTCCTCAGCTTGCTCGTGACGCTACAAAAAACCAAGAGAAAAATAATAATTAAAAAAATATTACAACATTTACTTGTGGTACACGTTTTCAAGTATCTCAACTGTTTTAACTTATGGTGGAAATTTATCCATAAAATGTATGGAAGAAAGCATTCAAATATTACACAATTATACCTAATGGTCTTTCCAATGTTACCATAATGTAACCTTGAAAAAAGCACTTGTATTTAATCAACTACATTTTTTTTATTATTTGTTTTTAAACTGATGCTTTATTAACAGTGCATGTGTTTTAAGGGAAAATGTTAAATATATGCTACATTTGAAAACTTCAAGCTAGAGTAAAGATGACTTGGGCACCTTAAGTGGATCATGACTATCTAAAATCTCAAAGCCCCAAATGAGGCCCAAGAAAGAGAATGACAAACCAGAGAAATGTCTGAAGATCACTGACAGCAACAATAATTAGTGGAACAAGAGTAAAGAACTTTGTCCTTGGTGATTTTAGTCACAGAAAACGACTACATAATGAAGCATCCCAATAGAGGGGATTGCACAAGGATAGAAAAATTGCAGCCTGTCCTCATAAACAAAGGCCAAACCCCGTTTATGAATGAAAAACAGTGTACACACGACTCATGACGTTCGAACACTTCTCGAACAAGTGCTTTGCTGACGCCTTTTGTTTGAACCACAGCGCTGTAAATGCTTCACCCATGTACTAAAAATACAAATAATCACCAACAGACCCTAAACACCTAACCTAACCATTGATGAATGCATCTTTGGGGTCGACCACTGGATGGAACTGACTTGATCTAAGGATGGGTTGAAAAATTGATGGACACTACAGGTACAACCCGTTCTCGCAAATTTAATAAGTCAATATTGACTTATTAGTTGCGTGCATAGGTGACATACTAAACATAATAGTTTCCCTTGAAAAGCTTCATAGAAAACACCGACCTTACCTAACCTACTTAGTATGTTAAAATAAGCATCTTATAGCTTCGTAATTACAATTGTTACTTAACCTATTATAGGTATAGGTTAGGTAATAATTGTAATTACGAAGCAATAAGATGCTTATCTTAACATACTAAGTAGGTTAGGTAAGGTCGGTGTTTTCTATGAAGCTTTTCAAGGGAAACTATTATGTTAAGTATGTCACCTATGCACATATTTAATAAGTCAATATTGACTTATTACATTTGCGAGAACGGGTTGCCAGGCAAGTACCTCCCTACCTAAAGCAACAAAATGAAGCCAACAAAGCTTCCATAGGTGAATGAACTGGTAGAACTAGAGAGAGAGAGATAAGAAGGGCAAGATTAACCAATGGTTCAACAGCACAATACAAGGAAGCCAAGTACAGAAGTATGAGAGCACAATAAATTAGGAATTACCCCATCACAATTTTCAGGTGATAATTCTAATGAAATATGGAATGTCTGCTAGGCAAACTCAAGAAACAAATATAAAAGAACAAGGAAGCAGATGGCAAAGTACAAAACTTTGACATTTTTCTGAAGTCAGTGCAAAGTTTGGCTTCTAAACTGGCAGTGACACACAGAAAGTGACATAGAAAGGGACACGGAGTATAATTCCATCTTCACTTGACAGATTGTGAATGTCAATCTTACCTCATCAAATAAAGTTTCGATGTCATTCAGTAAACTTTTTGATCTTATCGTTTTAACATCAGTTTGCTTAAATGTAATACCCTGATGGTCCAAGGATTTCAGGTAGTATTTTTCATTCTGCTCTCTCCATATTTTGTTAAAACCTTTCTGTGCTTCCCGCCATTCCTCATCCTGGAAAAGCAGAAAATTGTAAATAAGTCAGCATAAAATGGGAATCACTTAAAGGACCTAAAACCAAAGAAATCTAAAGGAAATCTAAAGGAAACCTATAGGAAATTTTCCTTGTACTGATCTTTGAATACAAAAGATATATGACAAGGTCACACCTTTAATGGCTACGCATCACCATGACGCCACATGTTAGAAGGCTCGAGAACAGATACATCGAGGCCCATGAAAACATAAGGATACTGAAGATACATTAACATTGCCTTGTGGATAAACTGAATTAAACAAATCATTATTTCCTATGCCCATTTGTATTAATACTTTATTTGTATGCACATCACACTGCCCTTGAAAAGGAAATCAAGATGGGTAATTTCCTGGTTTTCTTATTTCTTATTAAATATTTTAGGCAATACCTTTGCATAGAAAGACTCTGCTTGAATGGAATCCTTGGTGCATAGGAAAGAATTGGCTAACTGACAAATTCTTTGTGGTCTGAAATAAGTAGTGTGTTTTATCAGTTTTCTTAGTAGTAGTGTGTGTTTTGCTAAATAAGAACTGAATACTGGCTTTATTGTTAATAAAAATGTCAGGAAATTTGCATTCAAAAAATAAAATATAAAAAATACTGGGCATGGAAAGGCAGACGAGAATGATTCATTTAAATGTTAAGAGAATCATGGCACTAGGTTAAACAAATAGTAAGTAGGGAATGTGGCATGGAAAAAACAAGAGTAATAATAGTGAATGATCTGTAAAGTCAGGTCCTACTGGTAATACCTAAAATATGAGAAGTTGAAGCACACATTTCCCTCAATAAAACTCGCCCAAAGAATACTGAAAAATATATATTACTCAAAACAAGTTTAAGAATTTTCCTAAATGGGAACACCTTTCGAAAAGGTTGTGGGTTAAGTTCAAAGGCTGGAGCACTGGAAAAAATGCAAATGGGTGAAAGTTCGGTAATGTCAAGATCAATCTATCAAATGACAAGTTGAAATTAAAATTTTGTTCAGTAAAATTTGCCCAGAGCAAGAGAATTAATTTCCTCAAGTTATGAAAAAACAGGTTTCTCCTATTTTGTCCTAAAATTATCATAATTTCTTCCTCTATTTTAGTTCCAGTACTGTATACCTAAAATGCATTGTTAATACTGTATATGCACAAGAAGTGTGTTCTGTTTTGTAACACCAGGAAAGAAAAGAATGCAACAGAATGCTTGGAGGAGCAGATTCCACGATAACACAGGTCACCTCTGTTCCCAATTGGTTGGTTCTAGCAAGGTGCCACCATACTCAATTCTTTACATGTTATGCTACTGAGCAGCAACAGCCCAATCCCAGCTAAGAACTAGGGCTGCTGCTAATATTCAGTTAATTTAATGCATAATAATATGTACTTAAACCGTAGTCATTCACACATATATAGAATATGTTAAGCAATGATTTACATTAGCCTGAATTTCAATGCAACTTATTCGAAAATTAAGGAGCAACTTGGCAAAGGTAAGCAAATTGTGCAAAAGTCTGTCTTGTTCAAGCAATGGGTTAAGTTAGTCCCATCTCACTTGGAAAATATGTCCTTTTAAGAGATAAAATGCTGCAAGATAAAATAGCCAATAAAATTAGAAACTCAAGTTTTGGAATTAACAGCATTCTCTCTCTTGTTTACTTACACAATTGCATTATGTTATCTTCATCTATGTAGGCTTGCAGGATGCAAGCAGCAACAGCCTGGCTGATTAGGCAGTCACAAGGGAAGCTTGGCTTCAGGCTGGGCTGCGAGAGTAGAAAGACTCTCGAAACCGGGCACCATAAACCACAGGTAATGTACATAGTTGACACCTTGTTCTCTATGGGAACCACCCTTCTTTGAAAGGAAGGCCTCATGTTGAACTTTCTCCAGACACTAACTGCATTAAAGTGTTATATATATACAGTACATATATATACACTTGAAAGGGCACTTAAAATATACACCAAAGAATTCCACATGCAGATGGTTATAATATGAACAATTTCATCATGCTATAATACATTGCAATTAATTTAAAAACATTCTTTATTGAAAGAGCAAAGTGGAGATGGAGAAAATGTAGCAGAATACTAGGTGCTGATACAATATGGAGAGAGAGAGAGAGTGCGCCTCTATGTGCTTTCTATTTACATTTAAAATGCATTACTTAATGGAACTGTCTGGCTATACATATTTACACGCACTAATTAAGCACCGTCATGAAGACTTATACAGTACCAATAAAAAAAATCCCAACACCACTAACTGAGGCAGTGAAAAAGAAAGCATACTTCACCTATATTCATTCCTATCACACACCATACCTAAACCGAGTGTCTGCTTTACAGAGTCCCGTCTCTTACCCTCTCCCTTAATATGAGTCTTACTATGCTAAGTTTTCTTCTTATGTGTTTGCTAAAGGCAGTCCTTATTTTCCAAATAATTATAGTTTTCAAAATTAGTGCTCATTGCTTTAGTGTAAAACTTGTTGACAAATGCTTTTGGTGCTCGAACAGGTGTGCAATTTTTAAAGGCATAATTAAATAATGGTGGAAGACAACATATGGCCACACCCCTTCAAGCACAGGAGTTCCCAGAGATACGATATAGACAGACAGATACTGAAAGAACATACAGAAAATCCTCCCTATATCATGTCCCAGTCTTGGTAAACTCAGACCAGGAAGAAGCCCTAAAGAAATCAGGGGTACACCTGGAAACCTGAATTTTTCTTTTAATTTGTGCAAAGCCACTTTATTACACGAAATATGTTTATGCAAAATCTTTATTAAACCCACAAATTTAAATTTTCAAACCAAACTGAGACTACAGACAACCACATGCTTTAAGAACTCCTTGGGGCTGAAACTGGTAAAGTTTTTGTATTGATGAAACTTGCACCCCCTTTTCCATGAGCAGCCAGCCTGCCACTGGCTGCTTCGTCTCCTCACGCTTCAGTTTGTACCACTACCACACCGCATTATCAACATACATTTTTGCTTTACTTATAACCTTTCTATTACATATTGACTTATCACTTTTACTTCTAGAGAAATATTAAACAATCATAGGGGCGCCCGACAGCTGGATGGACAGCGCTTCGGATTCGTAGTCCTGAGGTTCCGTGTTCGATTCCCGGTGGAGGGGGAGACAAATGAGTAAAATGTTTCTTTCTTCACCCTGATGCCCCTGTTACCTAGCAGTAAATAGGCACTTGGGAGTTAGACAGCTGCTACAAACTGCTTCCTGGGAGGTGTGTAACAAAAAGGAGGCCTAGTCGAGGACAGGGCCGTGGGGACGCTAAGCTCCCAAATCATCGAGATAACCTAAGTTAGCCTTAAGAAGATAAAAATCGGTTCTCTTACTAATGCTGTATCCCACTTGTTGTAGCTTCCACACAATGGGTGCATTTGGAGCTGAAATGGTGCATGGGTATTCCAAGATTGTAACAAAACTGTATATCCAACAAAGTCAAGGAATGAACACTCCAGTCTTGTGACAAATGGGAACAGGGGGCCATGAACGGGCCAGACACGGTCAGTGGGCAAACTAGGACTATCTCCCAACCATGCACCCCCACCACCCTGGGCCTCGTGGCCTGACGGACACTTGCTCGATACACCACCTGAACAATTAAATGCGAATCCTGTGCCAACTGAACCATTTTATACGAACCTTGCACTACCCGAACTTGTGTATCTGACCCAACCCAAATCAGGAAATCATTTTTGGATAAATGGCATTCGTAAAGCACGTGGCTGTCTGTATATATATGCTCTGATCATTATCAATCAAGGAAGGTATTTTTAGTCTTTATCCCAGGCCTCTTGTAACACAACCAATAATGCAGTACACAGGTATTGTGATTATCTTTACACTCACACACAAATGCTCCCTTAATACCTACAGTACATAAATATGGACATACAAAGAGGAAGAGGTGTGCATATGTGTTATGGCAAAGTAAAGAAAAAGGAAATGATGGAAGAGGCTGTGGAAGAGGTAGCAGAAGTGCTTGCCTAACAATGACTATTTTTCACTCTTCCCTCCTAGCAGTTTTGCAGCCAAATGCATTTTATTTTAAATTTCCGGCCACTTAAGGTCTTTGTTGTAGCTGTCCTGAATGTTGTGGAGTAAGATGACATTATTTCTTCTTCAGTGTATTCCACTTGCCTATCCATACAGGAAACGAGTATTTTCATAGTTGAACTAATTTGCATTTTCAGCTTTTACCTATACTGTCTTGTCCAACATTCTCTCAACTTAATGACTATCCCTATCTGATTTGTCTATTCCATACAGTACTTTGCATTTAGTGGTTATAGCATCCTCTTTTCCTTCTCTATATTATCGAGATATATTTTCCTTGCTTGCCCTTGTTGTTTAGCAATCTCAATTATAGCACTAGTCTTTTAGTAAACCTTGGCACTTTACCTCACTGCGAGGTAAAAAATTATAAAACTAACACACACAAACAACGTGTTGTTCCAATGGCATTGTCATTCTGAAGTATCTTTTCTGTATCTCTCATGACTCTTGTGCCGTGTGTTCTTCTCTTTCAGATATATCCATTACTTTTCTACATTGCCTATTGAACCACAAATATTTCCAGCACTTCAGGTCAATTTTGTTCCTGATAAATAAGGACTCTTCAGTGCCTTTACATTATTTCTTTTCCACGTCAGTCTTTTGTTGCTCAAGGTCTTAGTATTATGAGAATAGCTCTTTCCACTGAAACTGCAACCTCAATATTATGAGCTTCGCCTTTTCTATGGCCTTCACGCAATTTTCGATTATTTTGTCGGCCTTCAGTGCATGTCTTTTGTTTGGCAAGGGGGGGGGTTATATATTAATCACAATTACAATCCTTTTGTTCTCCACTGTTGCCATTTTTATTATGTCTGGTAGTTTGTCTACGTCTATTAAATACTCAAAAAATTCCTCAAGGCACACCACTTTCCTCCTTTCTGATTTGTCTTATCACACTGATGCTTATTTGGAATCTTATAGGGAACGAAATTCCAGTTGAACTCAGAGTAAAGAGAAGGGGTGGTTTATACTGTTTAAAGTCATACCTGCACGCCCACTATTGACAGAACATAGCTATCTAACCTGTTATGCTTGTGTTCTGCATTTCTTGTCCAGCCAGATCTTAAATACAATATTCTTTGTCACCCTCTTTTCTTCCCTTGACATATCCTGGTTTTAATACACATCACGGTTACCTTATCTTTCACATACTATTTACTCGATTATGTTCTTTCGTTTCCACCACCTTGCTTCAAATGTTATCCAGAGACAAGTCTTATCCATGACCCATAGACTATGTGCCCTGTTACTAAGGTGTTTGTCTAGGGGTGATCTAGGATGCTGGTTTGATTCCATCACTTTTCTCAAATTTTTTTTTTAAGGTTTATCAACTTTTCTATGCTTTTCTAATGGATTAATTTGTGCAATCATATGGGGGTTCAGCGTCACAAGACGCTTTCAGCTTCCTTCCTCAAGATGTTTCCAGATATTTCTAATGTGGGTTTGATTACCCTTCAGGCTTCCAGGGTTTAAGCTTTTATGGCAGTTCCAAGGGGCATTGATAAGTGGAAGACAGCCCCTTCAAGTTTTACTCTAACTAGATGAAGTAGACTGTTAAACATGGCTACTTTCTTGTGGATATGTGACATATCTAACATTTACAAGGTGGATTTCTTTGCTTCCACAGATTCACTTGCTACCAGTGTAGGTAGCACTGCTGCTCATCCAACATTCTTAGCACCAGTTACAAGTAACCTGGTGTGACCTTCAACCACACTGCCAGTTCATGTCAGTTCCTCTCTAGGCTCGCCTTAAAATGGAAATGTACAGTATAATGATTACTTCCTATTATGCATTTTACTATGAGCCTGTTTTGTTGGTTCCAAACTTGACTCCAAAAAAGTCCACACTTTATTTTGCCAATTAGATTGTACTTTCACATTCTGCCAATTAGATTGTACTTTCACATTCATCCTTATCAGGGTCGACAAAAAGTGAGATTTAGCTTTTTACAATCGGTACATTTTTAAATCTCATGAAGTCGTATATTGTCATATTTTCTCTTGATTGCGTCCATGATTACTTTCTAACAGTACAATACAGCTGTTAACCAACTGTATACACACCTAGTAATTCTAATGTTTCTCCAACAAATTTCCATTTTCAACTGCTAACAACTTGCACCAGCCTCATTTTCTTCTAACTGAATGAGGCTGATTTTGCCCAATGTCTATTCACCATTGCAAATCCCATAGCCACTCACTATGACGTTGAACTTTGGGCATCATGACCGGTCTTTTGAGGACTTCTTATTTCTCATGTTTTTGCACACGCTGTGACCATGTTCTCTTTCAAAGTTTTGACATCTTCCCTTTTATTGGGGAGTCACACTCCAGTGTGTCCATCCTCAAACTTGTTCTTCCCTCAGGAGAGGTCCTCACTTGCCAGAATGATTAAACCTTAAGATACATCATGCACTCTGTCCCATTGTGGCATAAAGTTGTCACCTCTGGACTTCAAGAGTCATGTTATGTATCATTCCCCTGATCTTCAAACCAATCTCTCTCAGCTGGTATGCAAAGTGGTCCAGTTGGATGTGTTGCAGGTGTAATCACCTAGTTGTACAGTTTGCCTTCACCAGATAACTTTTTAGCACATTCTATCACCAGATAACTTTTTAGCACATTCTATCAACTTATTATTCTAGCATTGAAAAAAAATCTTTGTGGCTCATTTAAGTACACAAGTTTCTAGATGTGTGCCCTTGTTCATGTACCATTAGGACAAATAGTAACCAATGTAACTTGCTGGGATTTTTATATTTATGTTGTGATAATGTCTCTACAGATTCTTTTCTCAACTTTAAATTTTCAGCTCTGGCAATAATATGGTGGCATTCCTCTGGACCTTCCCCAGCTTTGTTTTGCATTTAACGAGTTAAGGGTCCACAAATCCCAAAATAGGTCAGACATACGAGGTATATATATAAGGTCCTGAATAACCTCCCCTGTTCATATTTCTGGAAGGGGTTTTAATGCTGGCAAACCATTCTTGAGCAGAGGAAGACCTTCATTTAGTGTAGGTTAATGGTGACTTCTTAGCTGATCTTGCTTTACTCAGAACATATCCTGTTATATTTACTCAATGTCTGATATTTTAAAGCACAGGTTATTAAAACCAATAAGAGATTGTCAAAGTACTGGACAGAAAAAAAGAATGGAGTTCCATAGCTGCCTCAAAAGGCATGAAATAAACCTATATGGTAGAGTGATACTAGAAAATAGGATCTCATGCTATGTGGAATACCTATTGAAAAATGCTGCAAATTGGAGAATCCATTCATACAATGTTTATACAAAATAGCTTTTTATAAGCAAAATATAATGAGAGGAATCTGAAATCAGCAATCAACAATATCTGAAAGAGAAATAAAAGCCAGTAGTTAAATGTTAGTAGCAATTGTAACTAGGTGGTGGCAAAATTAACAACTGCATGATGCAAGTTTCAACAAATATAGAACATTCACATAAAATATCAAATCTTACCTTTGCTTTTAACCTTCTTAAAACCAAAGGCACTGCAACCACAGGATTCTTCTTTAATCCATCAATAATATCTGGAGCTTTATCACCATATATTCGACGAATGGCCCTTTGGTGTATTGTGGGTGAGTTTCCTCCAAGAGAGTCATCTAATCTAAATCTAGCTGCTTCTTCTGGGCTCATCCTCTGGAGCTTCTTGTGTACACCTTCTAATACACGCATCGTTGCCAAATTAGTCTCCAGCACCACATCCAGCTGGTGAACAATAAAAATTATATATTTAGTAAATAAGCAAATAGATGTATCTTAAAATCAAACAAAGCACATACATAAAGTGGGATATCTTTCAAGGTATTGTGATGTTTATCTAGAACAAAGCAGTGTCATGAGGAACCCTGACACCAGATTATATTACCAAACACCACAGAAGATTACTCCAGTACCCACTGATCTGATACTGGATTAACCCCTGGGCAGCGCTTGGGGTTATAGTCTGCAACACCACGAGGCGCATTTAAGATTGTTAAAATGTGTTCCCCTGATCATGGGAAAAATAGTAATAAAGAATTTGACATATTTTAGCCACAATGGGGTGAGGACATCTGGCAAAATTGAGGCATTGACAGATTACGCGTCCCACAGTAGTCTTCTCCGCCTGAGCTCACAGGCAGGAGCTGCCACAAAGATATTATTACCTAATCATTTCAATGTCTCCAATTGATTTTTTTTTTGCAGTAATATTATTTAATTGTGTATAGTGTGATATATTTATATAATAAAACTAGCAGTACCCGGCCAGTACCCAGCTCAGCAACGCATGTGCGTTGCTGAGCCACAGCAACCTTCCCTGTCCCCCGTCCTCCACCCTCACCCGTCTCCTTGGCCTCCCAACCATTCCCCACTCCACCGTCCCCTCGTCCTCCCCACCATTCCCCACTCCTCCATCCCCTCTTCTTTCCTACCATGCCCCACTCCCCTGTTCCTTTGTCCTCCCCACCATTCTCCATTCCCCCATCCCCATTATCTCAAACTCCCCCGTCCATCCCCACTATTACCCCCTCCCTTGTCCCCTCGTCCTCCCCACCATCTCTCACTTCCGTCCCCATCATTCCCCATTCCCTCGTCTGATGCTTTCCCAAATGGTCTGATGTTCTATCAGAAAATTTGGAACATCAAGTGATCTGATGTTCCCATCACTGAAATATAAGAAAAACAGTTCAAAAATGAAATGAAAATATGAAAAAATAAAAAAATAAACTATACTCACGAAATGAACGGTATGGTAAACAACACAGTTCAATTCCAACGCAATTCACACAAAATAATTAAATAAAAATCTACGAAAATTCAATTTATCAATGCAATCAGAAACACTGAAATGGAATTGCAACATATTTAGCATGTGTGTTGCTCTTACATACAACAGATGGCGTTGTTAAAAAAAAAAAAAAAAAGTTTTTTCCTGTCACAGGCGAGTGGAATGCATGTAGCAGGCATACCTCAGAATAAGAGTTTAATCCGTTCCTGGAGACGCCTCGCCTTCCGAAAACTCGCATTCCGAAGTTAATTTCCCCATAAGAAATAAAGGGAAATGAATTAATCCGTTCCTGACTACCCCAAAAACCCCACATCAAACTAAATTTTTATACCTAATTTACCTAATTCATCTAAATAAACCTACAAAACTGTGTTCCAGTTATTACTTACCTTGCTGTCGAGTGCTGTAGGCGTATGGAAGATGGTTAGGAGGGGGGAGGAGGAGAGGAGTTACTGTTTGGAAGGGGAGTCCCCTTCCATAATCACATCACATAACCCCATGCCTTGTAACACTATGAATACCACTTCTCTTTCTAAATTTTTCAAACCAGCCCCTGCTTGCCTTAAACTCTTTCTTATCTGCATCACTCGTTGCAGGGGTCTTCTTTAGAAGGTCTTCGTGCAATACCCTGGCTTTCTCACAGATGATGGCCTCCGAAACACTATCACCCCTTAATTCCTTGTCGTGTATCCAAATTAATAACAACTTTTCCACTTCAAGTATTTGTGGTCTTTGTTTCATCATTGTTCTTACTCCTTTTGCCACTTTAGCACCCATAATCTCATTTTTCTTCTTAAGTATAGTGCATATTGTTGATGTGGCTTTGTTGTACTGCCTACAAAGTTCAACAACACGTGTACCATTCTCACGCTTCCGAATGATCTCTCGTTTCTCCTCTATTGTCATCCTCACATGGGCTTTCTTGTCTTGATCCTTACCACAGGCTTTCTTGGGACCCATGGTGAGATATATAATAACAAATTGTATAGTCAAATGACCAAAAATCCAACAAAACACTGAAAATCCGGGTGAAGAATTGATGTGGGATAGTCACTGGGCGCGAGACAATGGTAAACTGAGGGGCGGAGGGGCGACGATCGCCGTACCACCACGCGCTAGGTCGGCCTGAACGCGTATCAACAAACTCGCGTTCCGAGGTAACCCTCGCCTTCCGAGACACATTTTCCGAGGAAATCCTGCTCGTATTCCGAAAAACTCGTATGCAGGGACACTCGTATTCCGAGGTACCACTGTATATAGTGGATATATAAAAAGACGTGCCTATTCGAATGCAACGTTGTGGCAAAATTTCAAAGTAATTTTAAAGAGGTTTTGAAGATTTCCCTCACATGAAAAACACAGTTTTTCAGAAAAAGCATGTTCTTTTACTGTCACAGACGTGACATCTATATAGTATGCATATAAAAACCTGCTCGGATGCGAAAGGAACGTTGTGTGAAAATTTCAAAGCAATCGATGAAGAACTTTTGGAGATTAGCGGTTATGCACAAATGAACATTTCCATTTTTATTTATATAGATGTGTGTACCATCGCTATACTCAAGAGTATGGTGTGCATATTAGTAATTCCACTATTATGTTCATGAAACAATAAACAAACAGTTTTACTGTTATTACACTATATACACACATTATATATAAGCAACTGCACATTTTGTTCACTATAGAGAACTACTTAGTTGGTATGAAGAGTCCGAACAATAAGAGTGGGCTGCCACACCCAGCCAGCAGACGCTACCTCCCTCCCTCCTTCCTTCCTTCCTTTAACCCCTCACTCGCCAACATTGCTGCTCCCACCATACAGTTTTTTCTGTTAATACACTATATACACACATTATATACAAGCATCTACATGTTTTGTTCATCATAACTGTACAACCAAGCTGGTATGGTGTCTGGACAACATAGTGGCCACAAAAAACTGCATGACAAGGACACAGCAACTAGCAGACAACGTCACCACCCTTCACCAAAATGGCTCCTCCCAACATACTCCTTTTGCTGTTATGACACTATATATACACACACACAAACATTACATGCAAGTATCTACATTTGTGTTCACCATAGCAAACCACTAAGCTGGTATGGCGAGTCAAAACAACAAGAGTGGCCACCACACACCAGCCAGCGGACACCACCTCCCTGCCTTCTCACCAAGATTCCGCCTCCCACCATACTATGCACATTGCTAATTACCACAATCCTGCTATTATCAGAATCCTGGTCACTAAATCCTATAAATTAATATTTTTCCACAAGTTTATTTAGTAAAGGAACATGAGAAATCTATTCAGGATTCTTAGATGGACCAAACAATGGTGGTGTGCTGAGGCTAGCCCTGTGAACATCTTGAGCAGCATTGTGTTCACCGATATCTGAACATTGTATATAGCCTTTATCACAGTCAGGCTCCTGTAATACTATCATGGCTAAATAATAGCACTTACATATATATTTTTACTTTTTTTATGCAATGCTGTGGTCACAAGCGGAACATCAGTGCTATTAGCTCATGGTGCACGCGCCTGCCTTGGCTGTTCATTCAGTACCGAGGCTCTTGCACCAGGGAATGTTGCCCACGATTTTTTTTTTAATGGTGTCTGTTTTCTCGAACCCTGAGGAAGCCGATATGAACCCCGTGTAGCCATGGGACTTTTAAATCTTACGCGATACTCCCAACCATTCATAGCTGTGGTGCACCATCTTGCAATAGTTACTCACCCCAGCAATATATGTATTGTTCCCTTCAAGGGTTAACATGTAGATAAATGTTACAAAGGAAGATGGTTCTAATAATATATATATTTATACTGGCAAAATCCTTTAGAAATTGATGATTTCCTTAAGTTAAACATTGTATTCCCATTCATAGCTCGACGGGTACTTTATTTATGTATGCAAAAAGTGGCAAAAGGCTGCGAAATATGTTGGTGATTAAGTGATATATTCTTGCACAGATACTAGCACGCATAGTATTTTGAGCAGGTATCTACAGACCTGTGGTATCACCTTTAAAGATGAACCTCTTTTATCCGATTGTTTTCTCCTAAATGTTATTAGATATATTTAGAATTGCACTAACAAAAAGTACATGGCAAAGCCCAAAGCCCATTAAACAAAATTTAGGATTCTGATGAGACAGGTTCACTATCAATAAGGGAATAAAATTCTATGCATGCATTCAAGTGGAAATCTTGCCCAAAGATTCAGTGGCACTGTCCATTATTCTCATCATTAAAATGGGGATTGCTCACCAAGTCATTTTATTTTATAAGAAAATATTCCATCGGAAATGGAAGCATGCAAAAGCTAGTAAGATTAAGGAGGGGAAGAAAACATTGTACTAGTTACTGGTATTATTAATTATGCTCTTGGTAGTAGAGATTGGGAGGATAATGAGGTGAAGGTAAGGGACATGAACATTCAAAATGTTCTTCAAATTTATCATGCTCCTTTAAGTAATAATTACAAAGACAATGAACAGGATGGTCAAGTACAGTACCTCAAATCGTTCATCTTCACACCGATATATATATTCTTCATACTGTGTTTTACGGGAGGTGACAAAAGTGGAGTCCTCTGACCAAGATGGAAAGGAAACCCAAGTATCATTTAGAACTTCTCTACAGAGACTTGTTCGACCAGAGCACTTGGGTTGTGGGTAGGATTTGGGTAGAGCACAGTAAGATGCTCCTAGTCTCTTACACGTTGTATAATCTGCAAGTTTTAAGAATAAGGATTAGGAGGAAAAATTAATATTTTAAGTTGTTAAAGTTATAAGATGCTAACTTTATTGTATTAGTCACAGGTTAGTACATTAATGGTAAGTTTCCCCATTATATGCAGTAAGTTTTATTCAAAACCATTTAGCATATAATACCATAACAGGAAAATTAAAATGTTTAAATATATGTAACTAATTTAATCTGATTGATAAAAATACACTTTCAACACCATTTCTAAGCGATTTAAATTCTGGATGCGTACAAGATTTTCCTGATGCAGTCATATATAACATCACTAGAGAACAATGTGTCTGACAGGCCAATGCAATTGTTCATCTTGTTTCTGTTATAATACACACAACTTCATTTTCATTTGAGATAATTTAATGGGCTAGGTACATAAAAAAAATTGAATTTTTTTATGCAGTATTAGTTATGGGCCTATAAGGCGTATTAAGAACTGATTATGCATGCCTTCGCATTGCATTGGTTTGCTGATAACACAGATTGCTATTTTGACATAAGTTGTTTAATTTTGATGACAGTTAATTGGTAACATTTAAGATCCCAGCTGAGCTGAGCGAGAAGAATAACTAAATATTTCCTGAAGTGTTAGGAATAAAATAACTAAATTTCACAGCTTCATCTTATTCTTGATAAGCCTTGTTTAGATTATGCAGTTTGATTTTCCTCACCATCTATAGCACGGATATAAATTCACTTGAACGAGGTCAGAGAAGGATTACAAGTTATTGGTAACATAATAGATGCAAGACCACTTGATAGTTTCAACCTTGGGTTACAAATCTACAAGAGTTTGGGTGAATATAAACGGCAGCTGCCTTGTATGGGCTAATTCAATTATATATTCATGCAATTGCAATCATAGCTGAAAATTACTTACCTATTTCCATAGCCAAATCACCGCTTATTCTCTCTTGCTTTGCGACAGACGAAGGGATTATATCAGAGTTGCCCAATGCTCCTTCACGATACCCCACAAATTCCTGCAAGAAAATGTTGTAATTGTGTATAGATGAAAATCCTGTTTTATCGTGCAGTTACTTCCTTTTACCTTACATACCTTTCTATTTATGCAAAGCTTTCTTAAGTTCTCAGAGATGAATAAGTTATTCAATTTTGAACCAAGCAAGTGTGCAATATAAGCAGAATTACAGTGTATATACAAAGCTACTTTCCACCAAGTTCATAGTTTAAATGGAGAGGATTTATGAAGTCCAAAAACAACACAAGATCAATGAGCTATGAATCCCTGACACCAAATTCGATTTATATTTTGAAAAAGGCATCGCAGGGCAATAACCAACACCACGGAACAATCAGGATTAATGGAAATATTTCTTGGGAACCCTTTACTACATTAAGATTTAATATTACTGACATTATAGCAGTTGCCCTCTCCAGCGTCTGGATACCCATGTTCCGACAGTCATTCTTTGGAACCACTGACCGTTAAGGTTTAATATAATTCTGCAAGGTACCATGGTATGTGTAGCATATATCGACGATATTTTCAATTGATTTGAAGATGCTGTAATTGGTTTCAGTGCTGTGATACTAGAGATTGCCCAAATTTTAATGTCGGTGTTTGTGCATATTGTCTATTACATTATAGTTGTAGAAGAATTGTCAGAATCAGCTACAGATAAGCTACAGTGACATCCTAAAAATTAAGAACATTACATCCGCCAAAAAACAATTGATTAAATAAAAAATAACCCCTAAAATTTTACAAATAAAATGTAAGTAATTTATGCAAGCACTAAGTAATGAGTCAAAGAAAACAGAAACTTATAATAATAATAATATTTATTCCAAGATTCTTATCAGTTAACTTTCATATTTCACTATGCTTTTGGATTATATTCAAAGAGTTTCTGGCCTTTTTCTGGGTTTGTCCTGCACAGTTGCAGGAACAATATGTCATTTTAAAAACTGATGTCTAATAACCACTGACCGTTCGGATACTAACGACTAACTTGTGCCATTGCAGGAAGGTTAAGCTCTTTTACTTACGTGTTCATGTACCTGAAACACCAATTTTTTCAATAGTCTTCAAATTATTATAATTAACTTTTAAGAACAGAACAGTATCTTTCAGCTCTCCAGGCAAACTTGATGACATCAGAGTGTAATAAGGAAATAACCAAAGATTGGCCAAGTGAAAATTTAGCATTTTTATATTACACACACATCATTATTACTCTGTTTCACGCTGTGATGTTAAATAGGTGTTACTCCAGCTTGTCTTTAACCATAACAAATTATTAAGGCATATATAATGTCATTAATATACATGTTATTTACATTTAAATTTTTTGGGTATAAAATACTATAAAGACAAACTGGTGCACTTGTAATCTTCATTCAATGAACAGGGTCTAGTATTGACTGATCAAGTGGAGGGAGATGCTATTTGTACTGTACAATATCAAAATTTAAATTACTAAAATGTAACGAAAAAGTGCAGGTCAATAAAAAGAAAGGCTTATATACTGATCATACATCTTTCAATAATTAAATCCTTTAACCCTTAAACTGCGCATGGCGTATATATACGCCATGAGTAACATGTCCCACGGTGCGCATGGCGTATATATATGCCATAGGGTACCAGACACGATTCAAATGGCCCGTGGCTACACTGGGTTCACATTAGCTTCCTCAGGGTTCTTGTAAACAGACGCCCTGTTTAAAAAAAATTGTGGGCAATATTCTCCGGTGTGAGTGCCACAGTACTGTGGGAGCAACCAAGGCTGGCGCGCACGCAGCATGAGCTAGCAGCATTGCTGTTCAGCTTGTGACCACAGCATTGCCTAAAAATGTCAAAATAAATATGTAACTGCTATTATTAGCAATGACAGTATTACAGATGACCCCTAACTGTGATAAATATGACCAGGATTGTGATTAGCGCTGTGGGAGGAGTAATGCTGAGGGACAGAGGGGTAGAGCATCGTTTAGTGTGTGGCCACCTGTTATTGTCTGCATTCACCATACCAGCTCAGTGGATTTCTATGGTGAACATAATGTAGATACTTACATATAATGTGTGTATATAGTGTAATAACAATGCAAACAGTATTGTTGGGGGAGAAATTTTGGTGCATGTGACCTTGAATGAGTGAGGGAGGCAGCCACCAGCGTGTGTAGCGACGACTCATAAGGCCTGAACTAACTACATCAGCTTAGTTGTACAGTCGCGTTGAACAAAACATGTAGATACTTATATATAATGTCTGTATATAGTGAATAAAATAAAATACAGGATGGTGGGAGGAGAAAGTGGGCGAGTGAGGTGTTGTTGAGGGAATGGCAACGAGTGGCTGGCTGGTGTGTGGCGGTCACTCCTCGTTGCTTTTCCACTCATAATACCATCTTAGTGGTTCGTTATGGTGAACAAAACATGCAGATACTTTTATATAACCTGTGTATAGAGTGTAATAACAGCAAAACTATTTGTTTATTGTTTTATGAACATAATAGTTGAATCACTAATATGCACACCATACTTTTGAGTATAGCGATGATTCACCCCTTTTATTTTATAAATCTATCACACTATACATTATTGAATAATATTACTGCAAAAAACTATGAAAAAATCAGACACATTGAAATAATTAGGTAATAATATCTTTGTGGCAACTCCCACCTGTCAGCTCAAGTGACGCTGAACACCTCTGACGACCGCTTTGTCAATGCCCACATTTTGCCAGACTTCCTCGACCTATTGCGGCCAAAATACGTCACCTACAATTTTTTTTCTCCCCATGCTCAGGGAAGACAAGTTAACGTTTTTAGAAGACGAAATAATTTTTAATTTTTTTTTTTTGCGCACGGGTGTAAATGTCCTCAGGACCCCTTAGCAGCTTAAGGGTTAATATACCGGGTTTATAAAAATTGGTAATTTTATACATTTAGTAATCAATGTTTAGCTTCAATCACTTATGCTAAGAGTAGTTTAGCTGAATAAGAAAATACTCTTGAGACGTTAAATTTCCATGTAACCTTGACGAGTAAAATGACACCAGTAATAATGTAATCGAGCATACACAAACCTTGAACCATTTGATAAGATCGGGGAACTTGGCGAGAAAGGGGTGGATTAGTTGTACCAGCTCTGAACGAGTAACGATTTCTTCATTGTACAATGTGACACATCTTAAGAAATTGTGGTAAGTTTCTTCGTGGCGTAATGCTTTTCGAACCTTAAAGAGACAAGATTAAATTTAACATGACAAACTAAACACTGTTTTACTTAATCCCATACATTGTATCATTACCTTATTACCACTTTATTCCTATAATAAGCTACTTTAACACTATCGCCCACTATGGACACCGCCCACGTCCACTTTTTTTTCTCTAGAGTCCGAGTGTGCTCGCGTCCAATACAAAAAATATTTGTATAAAATTCATTTTTTATCCGATCGTCTTGGGGATAGTTTCAAAATGAGTGCGTTTAGAGTGCGCACAATTTGATACCAAAATGAAAGATGTAACACGAAACTTTATGTCAGAACACTTGAAAGATTATGAATACGTTTTTGATCAAAATTTAAAAATATTTGTTAAAATTCTATTGTGCTATTATTATGGGACTAGTTTTAAAATGCGCGCCTTTAGATTGCGAACAATTTGATACCAAAATGAAAGATGTAACACGAAAATTTATGCCAGATCACTGGAAAGATATAAATAATTTTGTGATGATGAGCGTCCAAAATCAAATGTTTGTTAAAATTATATTTATTGCTCTATTATTATGAGACTAGTTTTAAAATATGCGAATTTTTATTGCGAACAATTTGATACCAAAATGAAAGACGTAACACGAAAATTGACGTTATCAAACTGAACGAGTATACACATTTGGCTGCGATGTGCAAATTGGTGCTCATTCACGGGGTAACTTTAGGCATTGCTAAAAGGGAGTCATGCTTGGTTTTTGGACAATATATGCATATACAACGTCTGCAGATAATTTTATTGTGAACACAACGATACCAAAACGAGCCACGTAGCACGAGAATTAAGGTGAGAAAACCGAAACGAGTATACACATTTGACTGATTTTGTGCACTCACGGGTAACTTTTGCCGACTTTAGGCTTTGCTGTAGAGAGTCACGCTTGGCTTTTGGACCTTATATGCATATACACCTGTAGGTAATTCTATTGCGAACACAATGATACCAAAACGAACGACATAGCACGAGAATTAAGGTGAGAAAACTGAAACGAGTATACACATTTAGTGTCGCCGAGCGCTCGCCAGCACGTTCACCCGCACCGCCAGGACTACTTTGTGCACACAAGCGGAGCGCACGCCCGGGGCGCGAAAGTGTTAACTTTCATCTCTTAAACAATGTCTGATGGAATGAATGCTTCATTCCATCAGACAATTACTTTTAATCTAATTACGTATACCATAACATTAAGAAAATTATTTCTTCAAAAATTCATGTTCACCTAAACAAAAGTTAAAAATATAATAAAAAGATGTACCTTGTCAAAGAAGGCGTATTCTGCGAGAGTTGCATACTTGCCAGCTTCAGCAGCACTCATATCCTTCAGGTACCCAAGTTTTGGCTTCTTCACAGGTGGCTGGGCATGAGAATGGGTGTGGCCTTGCGTTGGACCCGAGTGTGGACGCTTCAATTGATGGCCAAACATGGGAGAGGTTTTGTTTGGCACATTACCGGGCCCACTCACCATGTTATTACCTGAACCCACCCCACAACTGCTTTTTATATTGGATTTCTTCACCGACGTGTGATCATTGCTTACCGTTTTATTGCCCTGCAGGGGAAAACACATGTGATGAGGTTTGTACACATATACAGAAACATCAACAAATTTAACCGCGGATATGATATGTAAGACCGTATAACCACTTTTCAAGATGTCGAGTTGTTAAACTATATTAATATATACACATTCTAACAAAGTTTCCACAATAACATTTAACTGAAACTGAACGAAAAATCTTGGATTTGGAAATTAAGAGAAATTAAATCTATTCATTTAGAGACTGATTATATCATAACCTACCCCATGATGAGTTCGATATTGGTCCATAAAGTCAGAAACAGCCGCCTGGGCTGCAGAATTATTTGTGGCATCAGGGAGAAACTGACCAAATTCTTGCAATAAATCTTCTTGGTTCTCAAACAACTTTGCAACCTATTGATAGAGAAAAATGGTCTTCATTACAAAGAGCAAATCAGACCTTAAATATAACCTACTCACCTTTTCACCCAAAGTCTGAAACGTTCAAAGCTTGATATGTAATACAGAGGACTATGGCCGAAATATAAGCAAAGCTTTTTTGTTACAGCTGTGTAAACTGATCAATGAAAACATTTCTGCTTTTATTTCTTAATTAACATGAGTAATTAATGATGAATGTTGAAACATTCAGCTATCATGTACTATGCCCAAAATGCTCTGCATATTATTAGCTTCATTTTATCTACTCTGTGGAATTGCTGAGCGGGCCATGAGAAACCCAGAACGTTACAGTCAGGAGTAAAATTGGGTGTTAGTTCAGGGGGATCAAATGTCCCCACAGCCCGGTCTCTAACCAGGATCAGATAATCAAAGTGTTAAAGAAAGCAGGATTTGGTTCATTTGATAAAGACTCCTAGCTATTGGTGTTTATGCAATTATATTTTTGTACAATCTAGTTCACTCTTATATTTGCCTTCCAGTATATGAACCAGATTTATTCCTTTAAAGACAAATTTGCCTATCAATCTGTAGAAAAAAAAGCTCTAAGAGTACTCGAATCTTTTCTTACCTTTTCATACACCTCGGTCTCTGTAAGTGTTCTAGTGGGTATGGATCCTCCATCTTTTAAGTGTCGTTGCTCTTTCTGGTAGGTGTGAAGGATTTCTAGGAACTGTTTGTATATGTCGGGTTGCCCTTGAAACCGTAACTGAAAAATATAGTTCATTAATTTGCATAAAGTTATTAACTCCTTACTTGTTACAAAAATATTTTGACTTGATAAGGGTCCAGAACAGACTGAAATGTAGTCAAATTCTTTATTTTCAGATTTATGGGTTGGGTATCTAAAGACTGACTGCTATGAAAGAATCATTTTGTGAAAGTTAATTACCTTCATCTTTAAGGCAGGTATTATCTTGGAAATTTGTTTTATTAGTTCTTAATACAATTAAACTTTAACGTGACTTTAAAAACACTTACCTTAATCTTATTAACATAATTGATGGCATGGTTGAACTCGACAGGTTGCGCTGGAGGTTGGTGGTGGTGGTGGTGGTGTTGGTGTGGTGGGGGAGGCTGGGGCTCACGACTGGGGTGCTGGGGGGCAGTGTTGGTTGAATGCTGTGTACCACCTGTAGTATTGCTTGTGGCATTTGAGTTGCTGCCAGAATTCGTGCCAGTGGGGGTGTTGCTGCCAACACTAACACTGCTCGCTACCTGAGTGACATTTGTAGTTCCTCCGCCAGTACCAGTACTAGTGTTACCACCGACACCACCACCACCACCCCCAATTACTCCAACTCCCACTCCTACCCCGACCCCAACCCCAATCCCAACCCCTACCCCTCCACCACCACCACCACCACCTCCCCCTGGTGTTCCACCACTGCCTCCTCCACTCCCAGGCCCTGCACTACCTCCGCTTCCAGTGTGGACATTATGAGTGCCAACTAAACTCGGACTTGTATGTTGTGTCACACTAGCAGGTAATGCAGATCTGCAACAGCACACAAGAGATAAAATTATTAGCATTAATTGATAACCAATTTTTAAAAAATCAACTGTTAAATAGAATCTGAAAACGACAAACATTTCTCAATTAGTTCTTTCACTAACCATCGTCATGTTTTTGAATACTGAAAAGTGACAAATTATTCAGTAATTTCTAAAATTCTTCATGCAGGATTGATGCCACCGCCTCTCCCACAAAAAAAAAAAAAGCAAAAGTCTTCATTTGTCTGTAAACTGAATATAAAGCATTATTTGCCATATGAACAGGCACACAACAGTTCGATATGACAGATGGAGAAGAAAGCCCTACGTGTAGGACAAAACAAAATTTAATTTGAGATTAAATAAAAAGAAATGTCTATCAATAATGGAGTTTTTGTGGTAACATTTGAGAGAATTATATATTGATCTGTTTGGTAAGAATGCTCTCCTTAAAATTCATTTAAATCCTCCTCAAATTACATTAAGCAAGGATGAAGAATGAGATAATACCTGCTAAAAATCAGATGCCAGTATTAATATAGGAAAAAGGGCATTAGACTGACTGTCTGACCTCACTAATCACACATGAAAAGTTATAAAGTATTTATTGTTTTTCAACTTTGATTACTGATTTTCTCTGGCTGCACTTCTCCACCTCAGCATTGCCATAAAAAAAAATGATATCCCCCTCCATTTACTTGTACTTTTCTATCTTTATATTCAAATTAATAAATCTGCTGGTAAAAGTAAAATAGAGAGATTACTATACATAAAGATTTGAGACACTTCGAAGACCTAAACAGAACTGAAAATGACCACCTACAGTTCAATTCTGAGAATTACTACCATCATTAATTAAAATTAAATTGCCACAACAATTAAAAGCCTCAGAAAACATAAATATTAAAGTTGTAAAGTATGAATGTGAAAAGAATCTACAAATCAGAAGTAGGGCTCTAAACCCAGGAAAAAACTAACTAGATACAGTACTAAAAAATATATCTCAAAGTGTTAGTAATAAATGAAATTTAAGGTTACCCTTTAACTTTCTTTTCCTTGCAAGATCCCACACTTGGAATATGCAGTACAGTTTAGGCACAACACAATGGAATGAATATAAATTTTCTGGGATATACAGGCAGCCCTCAATTTGCACTGTGGTTATATTCCTGTAACATGCACATAAAGCAACAAAGCATACATCAAACTTTACAGTAAACTGGAAAAATGGCATTTCATTACCAAAACTTGAGACAGTCAAATTTGTCCACTCTTTACTGAATAGAATATCTGAGCCCTTTTTCCAGCCATAAATACAATAAATAATGATTTCCAAAATGCTTGTAATGTGCAATGATACAAGAAAATAAGCCAACAGGTTTCTAAATATAAAAATGTGGCTTGAATGGGAGACCGCTACAGAAAAGAATACGGTACACGCACGGATAATTCGATAATCCATGCTAAACCTCTTCAATGATTAAATTCACCCATTCACTTTGAAACTTGGTATAAAATTGCTTACCCGCGAACCACTGAATCCGCATTCTCCAATACCACGCAAATCGAGGTTTGCCTGTATACAGAGAAGGATGACAAAGTTAAACTCAAGAATTGGGAGCCCTCCATATGAAAAGAAACTACAAAAACTCAATTTACATTTGCAAGAAAGGCATAGAGTAAGAGGAATATGACTGAAGTAAACAAATGAAGTCAAGGATTTAAAAGATTATTATTAGTGCTGAAAGTGTCAACCCAGTTAGACCATGAAACAATGAATTAAAATGAATAGGTTTAGATATAGAAAAGAAGCAGGCAAACACTAGGTTGGAAATACAATTGCAGATCTATGGAGGTTACCATGTAACATCATAGAAGTAAATTAACTAGGAGGATTCAAACAATGGTTCGAGGGCTAACAGGCTGCCTTCAGTGTTATTTTTCCTTGTTTATTTCCTTTGGCTTTCTTAATTCTTTACCTTAATCAGATCTCATGAGCGAGGAAAGTGCTTTTCAAAATAGTTCAAATTTCATTAATAAGAGTAAAATTACGACAGCATGGAACTGACATGGGCACTGTTTATTGAACTAGTTGTAAACACTACTACTTCAAACTACTGCTCACCAATAACTAAATTATAATGCAAACTTTGTTTTTGTCATCAGTAACAAATACCCCAAGTCAGTATCCATGCACACCAAAGCTTTATTCTTGGTTCTAGTTCTCTGAGGTCTAACTCGATGCATGAAAGTGGTGAAGACACTTATGAATCTGGTGATGAATACTATTCAATACTGGTACTGTAATTCAATTTAGCTGCAATAGGGCAAACTTAATTTGCTTACTTAAAACAATTACCATTCTTTTATTAAATTCTTCACTTTTAAAAACCCAAATACAATGTAGAATTTTTCAGAAAGCATCATAGGTGATCATTAAACATTATTTTGTCTATCGAAAGCATATGATTTACTTAGGTAAGATTTAACAAAGGCACTATTCCCCCCCCCTCCCTCCCACTCACCACAAGGATGGAAGTTCCAAGAGGAAACAAAATACCAAAGACAGACAAATAGGCACCTTGAGGTGTAGTGGTTTGCACACTCGTCACGCAAGTGAGATGACCTGGGTTCAAATCCTGGGCAGGGTGGGACGATTGGGCCCCGTTCCTTCACTCCATTTGCCCCTGTGCACCCAGCAGTATTTGGGGACCTGGGTATAAAATGATTGGCAAATCATGTTCTGGAGAAAACATGACACAAACAACCTAACTGTTTCCATTATCTGGCACAAAGACTAAATCCCAACATAAAAAATATAAGATGGAAGAACACTGCATACTTTTGGTAGAATGGTAAATTTTTGTTAAGCTATCAAAATTAATTTTCTAATCACAAACAGGTAATCCAAACTAACAATTTCCTTATATGCAGTACAATCTACTATTTCCCCATTTGGCAAATCTACAATCACGTTTTTTAATAATTTTCGTAGCTGGCCCAAAATACGAGAAAGCGTTGGAAACTTGGGAAACCCATCAAGCATTTTTAAAACAAAATTCAATGGTTTGTTTTCATTTTGAGTTGAGCCAATTGGCCCTAGCACCTTTGAAAATGAGGTTTTGAGGATGGGACAGGTGAAACAACCCAGATGTGGGATGATCTCTTTACAGACAGATTCTCCTGATAGTTTTCCATCATATAATAGGTTCCAATTGAAACATTTTAGTGAAACTACTCTATACAACATGGGAAAAAGTTTGGTCTAGCCCCATTTTAAAATTGGTTTTGTAGATGAAACAGGTACATTTATGCATTTATGTATTAGCAATGCATTTGTGTGTTGAACAAATCTACAGATGCAACATATCAAGGTTGGTCCCAAACACAGTTAACCAAATTGAGGTAGCACTGCATATTATATATAAACAGCATTTTATGTGTAATAAAGACACACATTAAAAAGACAAAAAGGACCCAGAAATAAAATAAAGAATGGAAAATGGCATTTCATAAATGAGCACTGTAGACCACTTTGGTAAAAAAAATAAAGCCCTAAAAGGCACAGAGTAAAAAGGAACATTTTTGAAAGGTACAAATAGATGAGAGAGAAACAAAGAGAATGCAAATAGGGTTCTAAAAATATCAGGCCAAATTAGAACACAAAACAAAGGAACATAACCAAGTAAGTTTTCATTTTGAAAATAAACAAGTAAACACTGATATGTAAATAAGTTTGCAGATCTGTGTAACAAGTCTCTAAGAAACTTAAGAAAACTTGCTAGAAAACTTTCAAGCATCGGTTGATAAATATGCTAGCGAGAGTTAATGTACATAAATATTTGTGACCGTGGACGAGTCAATATAATTGCCAATTCCATATTTATCATCATTTTACATAGAACAATTATTATGTCGTCTAAGAAAATTAAATACATAGAACTGACAAGAAGAAAATTAAACGTAATTGAGTAGACTGAGCCAAAATTAATCCAAATGGTTACATATTACAGATGACTCTCAATCATACAAAGGAATATGTTCAGACATAACTTGTGAAAATGCGACATACAAACTGACCCTAATGAAACAACCCATCGCTTCACAACACTAGGTATACACATGAACTGTCATATACAGTTCAAACATACAATCTCTCTCCCACCCTTTTAACCACTACCACTAGGCCTTATCTATTACAACACCCAACAAGCATTCACACAATGTTTTCTTCCAATCACACTAAGTACATCCTCCCATCTTCCTCCTCCTCCTACCCTTAACTTCCCTTCAACACGCACTTAACGAGTCTGCCACCGTGCATTCATTCAACAGATCCAAACCATCTTGGTATTTGTGTGTGGGCTTCAGTAAAGTTATTACGACACATTGTCTGCATACTTTATTCCCCGACACCATACAAGCTTCTCAAGATTATCTATCCCTACTATTTTTTCCACATCCATACCTACTATCATATTTACAGCACATACATAAGCCATCAATGGCCTACACAAAAAATTTATAATTACAATTAAAAATAAACCTGCAAAGTTCCCAACTACAGCTTCATGAGCCAAAAGACATTAGCACTTGCCAGAAAATGTTTAAACGACAAGAGCCTATAAGCTATCAAGAGGAGTATCCTTAGGGAATCATCTTTCAGGATATGAAAACTAAATTATACAGAATAAAGAAAGTGTGATGCTCAAACTCTAATGAGTATTTGTACAATTAACAATAGTAGTGAGAAACTGACATGCTACATTCTTTAGCCAGACATCTCTATGCATATCTATCAGTGACAACAAGGAGTAACATCCAGATATTTACAATCCAATGCCTAGCTTTTAGTACCTGGTGTGTTTTACAATCTCTAGTTCTGTTGTATTTATGCTTAAAACTGTGAAAAGACAACCTCTGCTTTCTGTATGTGAGGTATTAGCCTATCAAGTTCAGTGTCATTCCAGTTATCCAAGCTTATCTTATTAACCTTTACACAAACCTTTCATCATAAACCTCATACAGTCTACCCCTGCCTTCTATCTCCTGTCGTTGAACTTTATCTATCAAGTTAGACATGGCATCAGTTTACCCCCTATAAAACATGTTGCAGATATATATTTATTGTTTTCAATGACTAGCACATTGCTCACATTTCTTCTGGCCATGTCATTTCCCACCCTGAACTTTCACTCTTGTTCTGTTCTATAAGCCATATAGAACACACGCACACACACTTGTGTAATTTTTCCCTTTTAAACCCTATAAATGGTGCTATTGCTTGTGCAGACAAAACTCCAAGTCTTTTTGGGGTTTTGCACATGTCGAGAGGTAGCTGGGTATACATACAGACAACATTTTAAGTTTTTTTTTACATACTAGCTATTACCTTTTATTTGAATCAAATAAAACTCTCATTAGTCGATTTGAGTTTCAGCGTCATTTATTGAAGATAGGAGGAAACGCTTCATAGCTTGCCCTATGCAGCCTATCATGTAATACTGTAAGTTTCAGTTCATGTGTCATCACAGTTCATTTTTTCTTATCACTCGTACCTGTCCCAAAGCAAATCTACGGACACTTTAATTTCTACTTGTGTTTTACCACGCGAGTTCCTTGCTGGAGCTGCATAATCAACGACTCTGCCAAAGTATGCCATATTATCGCGTATTAAATAGTATAATTCATATTGATGAATTATGTATAGTGAAAACAATGTATCTCATTATACATAATTGTTAGGTAATATCACTCATATCTGGCTACTTATGAAAGTTACTGCCATTCCAAATGCAACAAAAACTACAAATAATATGTTACTGGAAAAATACATTGTATGAATTGAAAAGGGAAATGTTGATCTACCACATGTAATGATGCCAAAAATAATTATGTACATGGAAGGCCTACAGAGATATTAACCACAATACATAGCTACCAATGGCCAGACACTGCCAACTGAGTGATGGCCAACATAAGAGAACACAGGTGAAAATTAAAAAAAAAAAAACATATGCAAGGAAATGATTTGTGTGCAATAGGAGTTGTAATCAAGTGATATGAGGCTAAAGCAGTGGTGGTGGAAGCAACCACATTTACAGCGTGAAGAGAATTGCGACAGTAATAAACGCCCATGTAACAATAACAGACAGGGCTCTACAGCTGATCTCTTCCAGTAAATGCAAGCAGGTAAGCACACTCACTTGCCATATCTGCCCATCATCTTTCTGGCTTTCCTCTCCTCCTTCCCTTAAATTCACTCAAATACCACTTACCAATCTACCATCAACCACTTGTTTAACATGCCCAAACTATCTTGGAATGCTCCCATCAAGCTTGAGACTTACACACACACTTGCATTCTATAATTACACTCATCTATTTGTTCAATCACCCACAACATATCACAAATATATATTTAAATAAATTCATATCAATATAAAATTCTAAGAAATTGTAGTGCCCCCATAAGAAAAATAAACAATTCACTGAACGCAACAACAAAACATTGACTGGCTAAGTCATAAAACCACGATATATATATAAATATATATGCAAGACTCAATATTTTTGACAAAAGATGTTTATAAATTAAAAAAGATTAAAAATGTAGAAAGCAAATTAATTAATTATAGAAGATTCTGCATGGGCTTCATTTCCTGCCATACAACATTCACGAACACTATCCCATAAAAACATAATATTAATTACAAAAATTACCAAATTCCTAAATAAACCCAAGTGATATAACATGAAAAATTCATACTGGCAACAGAGCCTTCTTTGAAAATTACAGAACAACCTCTTATCTGGGACTGTAAGCACTGTTAGCAAACCGGTTTTGTTATTCTTCAGGTTTTCTGAAAGCAAAAACTCTTTAACCAACTGCCATCATGAATATTTACATACCCCCTTATGACACTCTTTGAAGATACTCCTTCCTTTTATCAAGATATTTAAAAGTATTTGCTTTCTGTTAAAAAATTAATAGTTTTACATTATCTTTGGAGTAGAATGGGGCTGGGAGGGGGAGAGAAAAAGGGATGGGAGGGAAATCCTAAATTCTTGCTCCACATTTTAATACACAAAAGGGAAGTATCAACACCCAGGATGCTGTACTTTCAATGCACATAAATTTTTATTTGCGAAACACCCAACGTAAGACTCAATTTGTGCAATAAATTCAGGAATTCCAGTGTGTGCGGGCAACACAAGATTTTTTGGCAGCTTTTTCTATAATTTTTAACATGCTTCAAAGTTGAGACCTCCAGAGACTTCTGGATAACAGAGGATGTAATGCCATACCAATATGTATCATAGAGCAACCACACAAGAGTTAGACACAAGCCTGACCTGGGAGGCGGTGGATGATGCGAGGGCTTGACGGTAACCGTGGGCGGTGGTGGAGGAGGAGGATGGTGTGTTGAGGTGATGTGGTGGTGAACCCCCTGAGGTGTATGAACTACTGTTGTCTGCTGTCCTGGCACACTTACGCTCACCTGAAAACAGAAATGGGACAACTGTAACTACTGCTACGAGAGCCTTAAAGAAACAAAATAAAATCCTCTTTCTGGTTCTCACACAAATTTCTCATCTGTGAAAGGACCAGACTTCAGATATTCTCCTGTGACAAATTATTGTGCGTTACCATCAGCCAATGTACCACATATGACAAGACAAATATAGGACCTACCCTATGAAAGGCAAGTTACCAACACGCTTCGAACCTTCCCTGAGATAAATGAACTCTTCTCACAGAAAAATCCCCAAGATCACTAAGTTGCAATGCCTATACCAACAATTTGAATGACAAGTCATTAGATACGAGGCATATTCAGAAACAAGGTTGAAGCACCAGTAAACATTTAGCATTTAGGAGTCTTAACACTTTCCACTACGGCCTCAGCTCAGCACAATCAAATTTTTCCTTACTAGAAACAAAATCTCTTATAATGTTAAGTTACCCTGCAAATAATTATCGCCAAAAAATGGCTTTGTCAAACCCTGAACTACACATAATAAGTAGTACCAGATACTATAAGTAACAATCACCATCAGCATTAAACCACTTCCCATTTTCATGGGGGGTAACTGTGCCATTAAAGGCAGAAAATTACAGCAAAGAAAATATAATTAGATGATATTTAGTGCCTCCCAATGTTTTACAATATCTTGTGCACACTGCAGCCATCAAGTGAAACTCGGAAAAGCACAATTTAACAAAAATTATACTGCAATATTTCAGAAATTGCAGTCTAATTATAAAGTACCCAAAGTACCACAAAAAACATAACGGCAACAATCCATTACCTCGTAATACACTATCTATTCAGTTATGTTCATTACCACTTCTTATGCACTCCATACATGCATAAACTAGCTATGAAGCAGGGTTCTAGAGCTAGATCTTCCTACCTGTAGACAACTAAGTAAGCACAACATATTTTTAACGCCTTGCATCCTCAAATTCATTATCTTCACCAGCATAACCATCAAATCATTGAGCATGGCCACTGCCCTGTACTACTCTCTCCAAAGCATCAATGTCACAAATGTTCAACCTTCATGTCTTTCCAGATCATTAACGTTCTTTATTCTAAATATGCCAAGACCACACATGCACCTTTGACTGTCTATTTCTGTGACTCGGTCATTTTCACAAGCAGGGTAGAGCAAGTAGAGGAAGGGAAGTGGCTGGTGCACTAAAAGTCCCGAGAGGTAGACAAAGGACTACATTGAAGAATGCAGAAATAAAATCTATGGATATACTAAATCAAACCCACTCCTACACTTCTGAAGTCTAAATCAACACCCTCCTTAACACTACTATCGGTTACAACTTGAATTACTTCAAAAATGGAAAGCTATTCAGAACTAACATAAGCTAAAGGATCACAGCTCAGATATGATTTCCTGGTTATGTAAATAGCAAGCATGCATCATTATTATTATTATTATTATTCAAATCCTTAAAATTCAGTTGAGGCTTCAACAGTAAAACAACTCCCAAGAGCTCCAAGAGTAGTTACATTGTGTGTGCATATACTTCATGCTACAATAGACGCCTAGGGATCTCAAAGTGCTCACAAAAATAGACTTGCTATGTTTTAACCCTTTCTAAGCAGCTGTTTTTCTGATACTGGAGAGGATTAGCTGTATATTAACAAATACAATGAATATTTACAATATTCAAATTACTTATATTTGAACAAATCTACAAGGGCCATGACGAAGATTCGAACCTACGTCCAAGAGCATCCCAGATGCTGCCTTAATTGACTGAGCTACGACATGGTAAAAGAATTGAAACCAAAAGTTCTACTAAACTTACTTGGATCCTGCAGCCTCTCTGAGACACAAACCAGGGTTTTACACAATTCCCCCCCATGCACTCGAGCTATGTCAATAGGCCGTTCTACCTCTTCGCCCTTACTTCATTACACACAGAATAGTAGTAGTAGTAGAACTTCTGGTTTCAATTCTTTTACCATGTTGTAGCTCAGTCAATTAAGGCAGCGCCTGGGATGCTCTCAGACGTAGGTTCGAATCCTCATCACGGCCCTTGTGGATTTGTTCATTTGATGCATCATGCTATTGTGATTTCTGTGTGTAATGTAGTTAGGGCGAAGAGGTAGAACGGCCTATTGACATAGCTTGAGTGAGTGGGGAAATTGTGTAAAACCCTAGTTTGCGTCTCGGAGAGGCTGCAGGATCCAAGTTCAGTAGAACTTCTGGTTTCAATTCTTTTACCATGTTGTAGCTCAGTCAATTAAGGCAGCGCCTGGGATGCTCTCAGACGTAGGTTCGAATCCTCGTCACGGCCCTTGTGGATTTGTTCATATGATGCATCACGCTATTGTGATTTCTGTGTGCTCTTATATTTGACCTTAGTGCTCATTGCTTGTGAAAAATAATACAAATGTTGATTCCGCACTAATATATAAAAAAAGACTACTTCCAAAATTACTACAAGCAATATATTAAAATACATGAGTGCCCAAATCAAAAAGCCTCATGTGTGTTCCCAACTAAACAAAATGTTAGTAAAAACTATTTAGTTTACTATGCTTAAATTCTTTGTAGGCACACACTTGTATAAATCCATAATTTTTTTGAATTACAGGTATTAATGTAACTTTATTCAATACCTACCTCCCTTCTACTTAAGACATGTATACTAAGGTTCAAGTCATCAGTTGGCAAGGAGGAGAGCAATAGAGATCAAAGTTACTCAAAACCACACCCTACCCATTTACCAAAGCTTTCACACTACAGACTGCAGCATCAAGTACAATCCCAACTCCATAACAGCACCCCACCATTTCATACAACCAGATTTACTCTACTTCCCAAAATCTTGTGGGAAATCTTATGTCAAAACATTCACTCTAAAAATATTTTGATCAAGCCATGTTTTCCTTGCACATCTGGTGCACTGTACACACAAATCTCGGCTGCATCTTACACTCACTCAAGATGTTTCCATATTCTTTGCCTTCTTTCTTTCAAATTCAAATGCAATCTCTTCACTATTATTATCCATTTGTTCAGTATGACCAACATATCTTGATATCTATCGTCTTGCACTCTACTTTCCAAGATAATTTAATGCCTTATTCAATCTATCCTTATAATACCACAAATGCATCTCAGGCTTGTCCATTATACTCTGATTTTTCCTGCTCTTGTTACACCAATATCTAAAATCAGAAATATAAGGGTAAGCACTATTACTCCTTTATGCCGCCCACTTATTGCCATACAGTACTTCCGAACTAGGGCCTTCAGTACAACACTTTTCTTTAACTTGGTCTACTCTCAACTTTTGCACAAATTCCTCTTTAGTCAATTACAGAGCTTAAGTATTTAAACGGCTTAACCCACAAAACTACTTTTTATCCACACGGATAATTCCTTCCTTGACACCAATAAATCTTTCTACTAACAAACACATGGCACACACTTCAATTCTGCACCCATTTCTCATATTCATTGAAATATTTCAAGCATTCTGAAATTGTACTGTAATCCAAAAATAAACAGCAAATAGTAAAAAGCCAAATGTCAATCAAAAAATGCACATTTGCTTCATACCCATTAACAGTGAAACCTCTTCAATACTTAAAAAACTAACCCAAAGTGTCGTTAAAATTTTAGGATCACATGCAAGCCATTCTTGCAAATTTATGCAATAAATATATTTCAGATTAAAAACCTTAAACTATATAAAATACTATATTATTAATTTACTCTACTCAAGTGAAAATAGATGAACTAAACATAGCAGTATTTTGTTGCAGCCAAGTGCTTCATAAACTTAGCGAACCAAAGAGATGCTTACACAATCACTGGTATTTTTAGACCCCCCTCCCCCATGTGAATATTTCCACCACACCTCATGCTTTTTAAGAAGTGTTCAGAGTGCACAGAGGAAAGAACCTGATCAGAATAGGCTTTAATCTATGTTGTTATCATACTCTCCCACAATACATGCATACCATGTCCAGTAATTCACAGCCATACTCACACTAATATATGCAATGCTAATTAATGTTTTTCTACAACCTGTACCATCTATCCACCTACTTAATGTTACTTTTGCTCCTATTATAATGTCTCGATGAGTACAGTTTCTGATAGTTACATACCCCCCAAAAGAAATATAGCACATTGGAGTTATCATAGGTTCAGAATTGAAGGGTAAAATAGCCTACAAAGCAGTGACACTCCAAAAAAGGGGCTAATTACATTATGTCAAAATGTGTCATGAATTTAAAGAAACAAGTTGCCCTGTACATTTTCTCATTAAAATCCCCTTCCAGTGCAAAAAAAAAAAAAAAGTATTACCTGATTAGAAATTTAAAGTAGATAATACCAAACACATGACAAAGATAAGAGAAACTGAAACGTATAGATAACTACAAATGTGACTTTTGACATAACTAAAGTTGAATACCAAAAGGGGGGAGAAAAGGAAATGTTACTCCACAGCATTCCAGGACCAAATGATATCTACTCGTGTTAAATACTTATAGCAAAGAGAAGTTTGGCATCGTTTATCTCAATCTGATACAACCAGAAAATTGGGAAGACAAAAAGGATTGAATATTCAGGAGCAAGACTAAATTTAGCTTCAATTAACACTGGCATAAAAAAAAAATAATCTCAGTATAATGTAAAAAAAAAAAAAACACTTGCAATATTTGAATGATCTCATTACTGAGCCAAATACTTGTGATCCAAAACTAAACCATTTCTTTACCAGTCAAAGAGGGAAAAATTAAAATACAGTGCACACCATAAGCTACAGAAAAATTTGACAAGTTAAATATTCTCAAACAAATGTTTCCCTCTACAGATACTGACAGCAGCACAACCCCCCCATTTCTAACATGACGTAATTTGGAATCAAACCACTAAAACACGCCTGATAAATGTAACACTTCTACTGTGGTTCCTAATATTAGTAGATTGGTAACACTACAGTGCAAAGATTGCATTAATCATAAATACACATTTTAAATTTTTCTGCATGCTCAAGGTTTCAACTGATTTGCAAGCAGAATTCTATTGTCTATATAGTTGCTTCCCTTTTTGTGGAGAAATCACGTCACTGAAGTGAGTGGATTGACATTTCTGATAAATAAATAAAAAATTAAAAAAAATCAGCTCATGCTGAATAATTAAGTACTGTATTACTGTTCCATGTATATTGGAAACTCCATCATAATTGAATGCTTTATAATTCTTTGAATACTAAATGTGAGAAAAATATTACAAACTTACCTAATCTCACACAGCAAATAAAGCAATGACAAAACAAAAGGAAAATAATTAAATAAAAAATATATATGCATATATATACATATATATAAATATATGTATATACAATAACACATAATACATAAAAAAAAAGACTAGGTGGAGACAACGAGACAAAACATCTGCGTGCAAACCTTCACCTGCTCATTCCCTTGCACCTCAATTTTGTAGCCGGGCGGAAGAAAGGTGTTGAAGCCGACAATGAGCTCTGGATGACCACGGAAGAGCTGGGACACGCGAGCGATGACTCCAGGGGTATCAATGGACTGTGACTTGAACTCTTTCATAATATCCAGGAAATCATTGTAGACTTGTGGCTGCTTCCCGAACCTCAGCTTTACCTAGGGAAAATAAAGTGAATCATTACAATGACATTCATTAGATATGTTTAAGGGTGAGGAGGAAATGGAGTAGGGAGGTGAGGGAGGTAAAATAAGGAAAAAGGAGGGGGGAGGGCCAGGAGGGGATGGAGGGGGGGGGGGGGAGAGGAGCCACCCAAAAATTTCAGGCCAGGTTCGATAAAGAATTTGAACGTAAAAATATATAAATGTTGTGATGCAACAGGTACAATATGGCTACTAAGCAGGGTATAGAGCTAGACCTCGCTCACCAGTACATGCTATTAGGCAAGCACAAGAGCGATGATCTATATAGTATATTGTTATACTAGACATACTATATATAGGTATACTATACCAATATACAGTAAGTACACTACTGACAATTGGACAGATTAAGGAGATTCTTTTTACATAAAGACAATTTTTTTGTAAATGATTTTGTAAACAAAAATAAAAATTAAATTTTAGGGATGATTTCAAATTTGAAAGTAGTAATATATCAATCTATACAGGTAAGCAAACTTCCCCATACATTTACCTATACCTCAAGGGGCTAAAGAAAGAGAGAGAGAGAGATACAGTAGTGCAATAACTACAACATGATCTGCAATTAAATAGAAAAGTTAAATAATTATATTGTACCTGATCTAAGTAGGAGAGTGCATCTTCAACTTTTAACCTCTGGAACTGGCCCGAGCCTTGAGTCGCCCCAGCTGCTGCTGCTGCTGCTGCCGCTACTGCCGCCGTCTGGTGCACCACACTTGCACTGCCCACCCCCGAGACCTACAGAATTCAAAGTATAAATACAATACAAGTTTGCCTGAGAGTAACTGATGACAGGGCAAATATATTAACCCACAATATATAAAATATTATATGTATGTAGGTCTGTAAGGTGAATATACATGCATATTATACATGCCTGAGTGCACATAAGTGCATGCAAATACACTTGCATGTGCTTACCCATCAGTGTATACAATCTCCTGAGCCTTGCTTCCTAGCCACCTGCTGTTTCTGTTTTATGTATCATGACATTCTAGCACTCTTGAAGCTGCGGAATGAGATGGCACCCACAATTTATTACTCCAGTGCCTCCACTTGCTTACCACCTGTATTACAAGCAAGTTCTTTCCTAAATTTCTCCAATTCATTTGTTTCTAACTTCCATTTGAAAAAAAAAAAGAGATTGACTTCATTTTCTATTCCCTTGAGAAATTTCTAAAGCGAGATCATGTCTCCTCAGGTCATTCTGCTCTCTAAAGTTATCAGAATGAGTTAACCTATTTCGTTTCCAGCAACAGTCTTTTGTTGCATCCTCTAGATTTCTCACTTTTCTTCTCGTGCTTCACAAATGTGAGAATGGCATGCTTACATTTTTAATTACACATGTGAATGGGGGTAGGAAGGTTTACCTTTTGGACCCACCTCTTTACTTTTAAATATCTGCTGCAACATACTGGTACTGAATTCTCAATTTCCTAAAGCCTGAATATGAACTAATGAAACAGAGGACTGAGTTCGTTGCTAACGGGTCATTCCATGCCAAATCATCACAGATCTCAACTCGACAATCTCAGATTTACGTGAAATTGGGCAGGATGTTAGAGTGCGTGAAGTAACATGCATGTGCAAAATTTTTGCCCTCAGTGATGCCTGATATTGGACACAACAGGGTTGCCAATGCGATAAATTAAATTTTTGCTTACAAGTTCAAAGAAATATAACCATAACTTTGCTTTTAATTGAGATAGAACCTTCATGTTGGGTTTATTTTAAAAATAAGGAAACATCTTCTTAATTTAAAATAGTTTTACATTAAGTAATGAACTTTTTCATTTCAAGATCCCATGATGTGACTGACCTTTGATCTTGAATACATAAAGCGAACCTTTAATTGTTTTGGAAAAAATATGTTATGCAGTTTTAATGTATTATCACCTTGCAACAAGTTTCACTCAAGAGTGCTTTTGGAATTTGAGTTATTCACCTTGTTGTGCTTGCGGGGGTTGAGCTCTGCTCTTTCGGCCCACTTCTCAACTGTCAATCAATCAACTGTTACTTTATTTTCCTTCCTCCCCCCCACGCACACGCCATTTCCCCCCTAGGAAGCAGCCCATAACAGTTATCTAACTCCCAGGTACCTACTTACTGATAGGTAACAGGGTCATCAGGGAGAAAGAAACTCTGCATATTTTGTTTCTGCCATCACCAGGGATCGAACCCGGACCCTAGGATTATGAGTCCAGAGCACTGTCCACTAAGCTATCAGCTATGTATGTATGTGTTCAAAACTCTTCATAAAGTTTCACTTGACATCCTTGCTTCTCAGTCTTGCTAAGAGCTTCTGTGGTGTGGGCAAGTGATGCAAGGGACCGATACATTATACCTGCACAGATGAATTTGTAAGTAGTGAGAACTTGATAAGAAGTGTGTGGCAATGGATAAGTACAGACAACCTATTCGATATTAAGGGGCACAGCCGCAACAGAGAACAATTAAGGAAGGTGCTACAATGGAGGATGATAAAAAATTCCAAATGTGAATAATGACCAAATGATGTATAACAACTGGAGGAAAAATTATAAGGGGTTCTGTTAGTGATAAAGGGCCAAGCACATCAGTTGATAAAGAAAATGAACTTTCCATGTATCAACAGGAAATAATGAAGCGTGAATAGGTCTACCAGGAACCAGTGCCAGAACCTGGGCCCTCTCACACAGGCATTGGGAACAGTGACATTTATTTTTGCAATTCCACCAGGTAAGGCAACCAGAAAGTTAGTGTGTCAAAACAAACCCACTGTCAAAATTTATCCCCAGCTATGTAAATAAATGATCAAATTCTCTCACAACTAGCACAAGCTCATTTGCCCCATTCATTTGGGACAAATGATTCACTTTCTCCATTCATTTGGAGGGATGATGGGTGAACCTCGAAGAGCCCAAAGTTCAACAAAAGGGGGTTCAGGGAACTGAACCCATTTTTGGGGTTCAATTCCCTGGCACCTTCCTTTGCCCTTGGCTCTGGATTGGGGGCTTTATGACCAGTGTTTACCAAGCCATCCAAGACTGTAGTTCTCTTCTCCTTTATGAGCTCACAGTACAGTTTGGGAGTTTGCGGCCGCATGGCGTATGCTGCAGAGGGATCGGATTCTTCATGGCTCTGTACTCCTACTCTATTTGGACTGTTTCCCCATGGTTCACTACCTCCACCAGGGAATGTTCACTTTGGTCACTATCTCTTCCGAGGTGGACACTTCATGTAGCTCTTCTGGGTTTTTGAGGTCACTCTCTCCATTCATATCCTAGGAAATGTCCATGTCATCACAGACAGTGTCCCAGTTCCTTCCCATTTTCTGAAAAGGAACTACATATTCAAGATGCTCAATGCCTTCCCCTTCCTGTGACTTTGTAAGAAATTTGTGTGCCCAGACAATTACTGATTGTGAGCCCCTCACTATGGATACCTTTTGGCTGGACTAGACAAGGTGGGGGTTCCTGTACCCCTTCCTCCCCGATCCAGCTATTGCACCAGGTCCTGGCCAGGTTGGAGTCCAACGGGGAAAGGGTGATTCTTCTGGCTCCTTTGTGGCTGCTTCAGCTTTTGTTTCAGGGGCTGCTTGCTTTGTACCCAAACCCTGGCATTCTTTTGTCTATCAGAAGATTGGCCCAGTGATGTACTTCGCTGGTATGACTTTCTAATCCGCTCTTTGTGTATCTCCATCTTTATGACTAGCAGTTGCTTCTTTGATGGTGTCCCATCTGTGTTCCTCTTCTCGGTAATACTATGAGGTTTTGTGGCACTCATTTTGCCATTTCCATTCCCTTCATTGTTGTTATTCAGTTTGAGTATGTAGTGCTCATATTGTGTTGCCTTGTATTGTGTGGCACTGGCAGAGCCCCTGCAACTTGCATTCAAGGTTGATACTGCACTGGCTCCATTTTGCCATCTGACTCGCTCATTGTTACCTTCAGCCTGCTCATATGTCGCCTGAGCCTACTTGGTCTCCTGTCTGTGTTCTTGAGTTTCTTTATTCCTCTCGGTTTAAAGTGTCCCCTTCAGTCTGTGATTGCTTTCTTGTCTTCGATTTTCTTGACTGTGATTGCTTCAGTCTTCCTAAGTCTTTATTTTGTTGGTTTCTCTTATTTCATGCTCCATGCTCATTTGTTGGCGGTGTTTGCAAACACGTCGTGGACTCATATTTGATCACGGGGGTTTTGGAGGCCAAACAAGTTTCTGGTGGCCTGGACTCGGATTCATATAGTAGTTATGCAAGTACTTACAAACATGTACATCTTTCCTCAATCCTTGATGGTTTTGGTTACATTTATTAAACAATTTACAAGCAAGAAAACTTCCCAATCCACTATTGTTATTGTTATAAACAACCTCCTGGTGCTTCGGAGCTCATTAACTGTATAATAGTTGTAAACAAAGCTGCCCGAGATTGAGAAAAGATGTACAGGTTCATAAGGGCTTGCATAATTTCTTTATGAATCCGGGACCTGGAATTCTGTTAATGTTCCTGGCCTCTGCACCCTTGTGTGGCTTTGGATCGCGTATCTCTCGCATCTGGGTATGTCCTGTCATGAATCCTGTGGTGTTTCCTTCTTCCTGGTGAGTTCCCATGTGTTTTCCTTCTCCATTAATAGTTAGCTTCACGGAGCTCCTCCCCCCTGAAAACCAGAGTTAAATACTATAATGTAATGCCAATTTCTTGGCGAGCCCTGGTAGCTTGCTGATCGCTTCTCTCCCTTCCTGATCGACATAGAGGGGAAAAATTGCCTATGTCTGTGCTAGAAGTGAGGGTGGAGATGCCAACTGACAGTAGGCTACCTTCCCTTTTCCACCAAACAAGTGGGGACGGTGGAGCGACGAGCCTGCAATAGTTTCGAGAGAATTCGATAATTTGTTTACAAAGTTGGGCAAGTTCTTTTGGCAGGTTTCAAGGCTTCAGTCTATTGAACCCACCAGTGGTTTGTTTTGACTCACTAGGGAAGGAGCCTCCCGTAGTGAGGTGGCAAAAATATGACATGACTCCCTGCACCTCAGAGGACTAGGTTCTGGTGCTGGTTCCCAGTAGGCCAATAGAACTATGCGGCTAATGCAACCTTTTAACATTTATTGTAAAACTATTTTTAATGAAAATGATTTCCTTTGCTTCAAAACAAGCTCAACATGAAGGTTCTACCTCAATTATAAGTTCTGAATTTATTTTTGTCGAACTAAATTTTGCATATGCATGTTACTTAATGTACTCTACCATCCATATGAATTTCATGAAAATCTGAGGTGTTAAGTTGAAAAGTTCACTTTTTTGTTTGGATTTGGTACGGAATATCCTATACCACATTTTTTCCAGCCTGTTCACTAGCCTACTCTACACTGAAGGAATATTTCCTAACGCCATCATGGCTCATTTGTGTTACGTATCAGTATCCACTTATAACTTCTCATTTAATTGATTCTATTTTGGATCAGCTGTCCTTGCTCGCATCTCCTCTGGACTATTCTCTCTTATCTCATGTGCTTAGCCTCTTAATCTCTACCATCTTAAACATTTTCCTTTCTTAATAGAATATTAGGTTATGGATTTGTAGAGCTTTAATCAGGTGTCTTTATCATGTCAATATTTTAATGGCTCTTATGCCTCAAACTATGAACTTCCAGGCAGAGATGCTAGATTTTTTTCCATTTGTGAAAAGATTCATATATACTGTGTGTGTGTGTATATGCATCCATGCATGCATGCACTGGGAGGGAGGAGAAGAGAGATGAGGAAGAAGACAAAAGACAAAGAAAGAAGAGATAGCGTAGAGGGAGAGGGGGGGGGGGGGGGATTGTGCAAATCGGCCATTAAATATATTAATACCACATGCATAAATGATTCATAATACTTTATCTAGTACTGTACAAGATTCCATGCAAAATCTTTATGCACAAAATTTTCAGAGAAGGATTTGAAATGAAGGAGTCACTTATAATAACCCATAATGTATATGCAAGTGTATTTGATAAATCTAGGACTGACTACAATTGCTATTCGGTAACAAATTTCAGTCCGAAATAAAACTTTTACTATAGCTGTTCCCATTTTTTTTTTAAATATACATCAATAGTTTTTTAATAAAATTTTAATGCACTCTGCTTATTCCTAGGCCGGGCTCAGAGAGTAGAAAAACTTCCGAAACCCCTCTCCAGGAATGCACCGAAAAAGTGCACATGCATCACATACTATAAATATTTGGTGACCAATATGGTCTCTACAATACTAAAACACACAACCTCAACTTGCATGCCTACTAAAATGACTAAAACCTAAACTACATACAACTTAACTAATCGCATACAATATCTTTTACAAATATCAACGAGCTAAAGACCTGAAGCATATCACTACAAAGCCACCAACTGAATCTAGTACAGATAACGGAGAGATGATACAGTCATCATACCTTGTGGCGCACCTGGGAGTGGGCAGTCACGTGCTGGAGGACAGACGGGGGTGGTCCTACTCCACCCGGGGCCACCAGCCCGCCCGCTCCACCTACAGAACGCCCCTCCACCATGCCCGACAGACCATCACCCTACCACAATAACAATGTCACACACACACATGTACACAAACACGCACACATTCTAAGTTATTGCTTTTAAAAATTTATTAGTATATAACGTATTGCTTTTTAATTTTCTAGTTAGAATGAGCTCGTATGGTTTGCTTTGTTGGCATCTGTTTATGAATGAAGGTAAATTAATTAATTTTTACCAAATCTTGTTCTTATTACACACTTTAAGATTACTGTGCCAACACAGCTCCCCCACTTTTTTTAATGTAATTAGCCCCGAGAGCACTTCAACAGTTCACACCACATGTGCTCCTGACGATCATTCGATACTGAAGGCTTCATTTATAAGGTTACGCACTTCAGAAAATAATCTGTCATGGTTAAATATTTAAATTACATAAACCCTATCTTAATGTACTACTGCATCATTCCAAAATACTATATTAAATCTCAGCTTTGTGTGCTTGAATAAGAATGCTTTAGAACAAATACGTACGAACATGAATAAGGGTATTTTCAGAAGGTCTATTAACCCAAGTCGGCACATATTTATATCCAACTAATTGTGTACTGATCTAGCTTATGCTTCAGACTTTTCCATAGGGTTTGCTTGTACAATATTACTTTGAGAATTTTTCCATAGATCTGCAGCCTTATTTCCAAACCAGTGTGGCCCATTTCTTTTCTAATTCTAATCACTTAAATACATTGTTTTAGGTTTAAAGAATTTTTAAAATTGCAAAGACTGAAAGGACGCAATTGACCATAACAGATGCCATAGACACTTCCCATATTTTTTAAATTGCAAAGAATAAAAGGATGCAAATGACCATAACAGATGCCATAGACATTTCCCCATATTAAATAAAAGTCTAGCAGAAAAAGCACTATTCTGAACATGACAGGCAATGTCTCTGCCATGCATATCAAGAAGACAGGTTATAGAGTGAAGGAATAACAAAAGCAGAGAAAGAGAAAATACTCAAGAGGTACAAGGAACAAAACATCAAAACAAAGGAGAATACCGGAGAATAGGAGCAGTTCCACTGTGCCCTCATAATGAGAAATTAAATTCTTTGAGTGTATAATGGTTGGAGTTTGATCTGAAAATTGAGACAGGCGACAAAAATACAAGGAGACTGCAGAAGGCCTATTATCCCCTATGAAAGCAACTGCCTTTTATATCCAATTGCATTTCCAGACGACGAGTCACAATAACGTGGCTTAAGACAAGAAGACCAAGCCACACACCAGAAAATAAGAAGACGATGATGTTTTGGTCGTCCTGGACCATTATCAAGTCATTTTCCAATTGCATTTGTCTAAGGCTACTTTTAGAGCACTACAGCAATGCTGTGCAATGTGTGACCCAGCTACCTGTCCCAAATATCTACAACCTTACTTTCAAACTGTTATTTAGCTTACCAAATTCCTTTCTGCATACAAACTTAATTCAGTTTGAACTTATTGTTTTGTGTCAAAATATCAAAGTAAAGTAGCAATCCATAGAAGAAGTGTGTCACTGAACCTTGGGTAGAGAAGCCCTTGGAAGGTAAGGATAATGGGCGAGAATAGCAGAACTGCCCACAAGACAGCCCATAGAAGAACATGGTCTGCAAAGGGCCCCTAGCATGGACAACACAAAAACTACTGTGTAACTATTAAAGAAGGAGAGATGAGCCTACCACCACCAGGCCAGTTATAATACATGATGTGGAAATGGTGTGCCATAACCTGAAAGCTGTCAGTATCATGCGGATAACTGATTCAACCTGCAAACTTGAGAAAAAGAGGAGAAATCCATTTCCCACACCACCAAAAGCACCCCACACAAATCCAACCCAGAATTCAGGAAGGAAGGGAAATTCCCAATAGGCCTCCGATAGATCCAGGCAAGCAAGCCATAAGATGCTTGAAACCACCTGGGAAACATATAGGATAAAGGCATTCAGAGAGTTCCCCACCACACCAGCACTGGGACATACTATGAAGGAACTGGCAGGATGAACCATGCAGACATCCAACCCAGAGTGAGCTCTGAAAATGGGCATGTGCTGGCACTCCAGAGCACATATTTAAAACCACACTCACTTGGGCAGCCAACACCCCAGAACTCCTACCTCAAGTCTGAAAAATATGGACATCAGACAGCCTATAGCTAAAACCATAGTAGTCAACTACAGCCAAAACCCTTAGCAATGCATGCTACTAGTACCTATGAAATCCTTACCTCCGAGGAGAGGAAAGAACAGAGAAGCAAAACAAAAAGACTGAAACAAAAGATGGAAAGCAACCAAGCAGACAGAGAAACCAAAACAACAAGTTGGCAAGAACGTAGAGCCAAATGGACGGTGGGGGGCAACCATGATCCTTGGGAACAATACAAACACCCTGGGAATGGAAATTGTGACTGCAACAACACAAAACAAGGTAGAAGATGGAAGAAGCCCTGAAAAAAAGAACCAATGCTCTTCCAAAATTGTCTGGAGAAGACACCCTGCAATGACAAAAAGCACCTCTGTCAAGTGGGTGCATGTCCTGAAGACCACCATCCCAAACACCGAGAACAACTGGGGCACGAACAAGCAAGACTCTTGCCGCAACCATGAAGGAAGGTCCAACAAAACAAAATGTGAACAACCAGAATACCCATCTCCAAACCCCTCCCCCCCCCAACCTGAAAAACCCCTTTATTGCACATTTTATAGCCATTCTGCTATGGTCACAGTAATGAAAACTTCTGAGAAGTCTGTGTATATTACAGTCCCATTTTCCTTGTCGTCCATTACCTTGAAAGCCATATTATGGGGTTCAACAATACTGAGTGGCAGGAGAATAATGGTCTCAGCCCATGCTGGCCAGGGTCATTCACAAGTTATGACTTCAATACCCAAGTATACAAAAAATCTGAATAAGTTTTGTTTTTGTTTTTCACCTAACATATACAATAGTCATTGATTTTTATAAAGAACGATATTGTATACCGTTGGGTTAGCCGATATATTTGTTCTAGTACATAATGAATTAAAAATTTTAATTCCCCTTTTTTTATGAATTATAATGGTAGACATTTTAAGTGTTTATAAAATGAACAAGAGCAAGCAGTTTCAAGCACCAAAATTACATCTCTCATGGATGCCAGTCACCTGGGCTTCAGCTCTAGAAGACTTGAACTGCGGACCCCACGCATGTGAGGCCGAAGCTCTATCGACCGAGCTATTGAGAAGTCTTAATAAGGAAAGTTTCCAGATTCAAGCAGCATCCTGCTGCCAAACTGGAATTTTCTATTTTCCCCGACTACTACTAAAGCTCAGAGGAATTAGTGATCCACACCCGTCAGATAAATTTATATGACGAGGGCGTCATATAAACTTAAACAGTTAAACGAACACCATTTATGCCTTAGCCCCCATCCCCAGCTACTTCTTGTGGGGTTCTCTATTTCCATTTCATCTCATGCACTCATTCACAATCTCTGCAAATAGTGTTCTTAGCTAATTTCACACACAGGGGTTATCTTATCTTCACTTTCCACCCACAATACCTTTAAATGGCCCCAATCACATTCTGCAATTACCACCGGTGCTCAAATTGCCAAATGTTATTGTGTTATATGTTTATATTTTTTTTACCGTGCATACCAAGATGAAGGCCTTAAGCCGAGCCATTCAAGGGTTAACCTACTTTACTTTCTCCACATTGACTTTCAGCAATTTCTTGCACACCACCAAATTTTAAACTAATCAACATTATACTTTTACCATTTCCAATTAAAAAAATCATCATCTACATCCATAAAATTGTACTCTCCCTTTTTTGATACTCTTCTCCCTCAAAAACCAACAGGGGTTAATTTAATGTTTTATTGATTTTAGCATTAAAAACTAAATTATTTTTTTATTTATGATGAAAGTGCATTTTGGCAATTTAGTCAAAATAAGTGTTAATAGTACTAGACACATACAAAAGTTACACTATTATCAGCCAACATATTGAAGCCTTAGTGTGTTTTTATTATATACACAATATTGTATAAATCTGCTTTCATATTACAGAATATGATTAAGTTTCCCAAACCACACTCCTATAGATGACATTTTTGACCATTGTAATTAGTACTACATTCTCATTATTACATTATTCTCATTATCATTATCAACCATTATAAATGTTTTCTCCTCACTTGACTTGGATAAACTAAGTCAAGTTTATCTACTTCACTTGAGCCTAGTTTATCAAAACAATACTTGAAGAGTGTCTACAGTAGACTCTTTTTGCTACAAATAGCTTTCCATACAATAGGAAAGCCACCTGTGTACCGAATGCCCATATAATTGAACACACACACACCATTCATATTATATTTATATATATAATTACACACACACATTATATTATATGCACATATATACTGTATATAGTACAGCATAATTATATTATACTGTATATAGTACAGTATAATATAAAAGGGATTAAACATTACATTAGTTCCTCTAAGCAAAATGTAACCTCAATAACCCAAATTTGTCTCAATGAATTCAACATTATTGCTCTTTTCTATATTACTAACTGCACTACAATGTTACAGCACTTGATACAATAGTCACAGCAGCAGCAGCAATAAACATGCTATCCAAACCTAAACTACCATTACAATAGCAAAAGGACGTCTCACCTGAGGTTGGGGTGCAGTAGGTAGGCTGGCAGAGTATGCAGGAAGGGTATGATGAACACCAGTGTGCATTTCCACTTTACCACCAGCATAACCTGTAAGAACTGAACATCTGTTAATCCACTATAAAAAAAAAAATAGTACAGTACTGGAACAAAGTATTTATATTATAATCATAAATGTTTAACCAGTTTATACATTTTTCATGTTTAACAACAATAAAATCCACTGGCCATTCAAACTATGAAATGCTTTTGAAACTCGGACCATGACCACAAGTTTGTCAGCTTAAAATTTCTATTACAGTATGAAGGAAATCTGACCATTAATTAGAAGAATTAAAAACCAAAACGCCAAACAAACTAGAGCACAATTCCCCAAATGACCCTAGAGTAGCACAAACGCATTAATTATCTGGACCCAAATTCATAAAGCAGTTACGCAAGCACTTACGAACCTGTACATCTTTTCTCAATCTTTTCTGGCTTTGTTTACAATTATTACAGTTAATGAGCTCCAAAGCACCAAGAGACTGTTTATAACAATAACAATTGATTGGGAAGGTTTCATGCTTGTAAACTGTTAAATAAATGTAACCAAAGCCATCAAAGATTGAGGAAAGATGTACAAGTTCGTAAGTACGTGCGTAACTGCTTTTTAAATCTGGGTCCTGGTTTGTCTCATTAGTTCAATAAACCAAAATTCCGGCCAGACCGATAATTTCTCAGGAAAATTATTTGAAAAATACATCAATGCCCAGAAAAGCTGACAAAACCAGCTTATACGACCAACACAATTTGAATGAATCTGTCCCCATCTGAAGAAATGTTTACATTAGATGAGAATTATAGAGAAACTTGATCAAGAGTCACCATATCTCAGGATATAGAAAAACTGGTGTAATTTGCAGTGACGTGCTGAGAATGTGGTATTGGTGAGCATGTTAGTAGTGGTGGTGGTGGTTGGAGGTGTTTGTACTGGTGGTAGATGCAGGAGTCAAGCCAATTGGTAATATCTGCATGGCAATTCCAGTGGATGCAGTGGTGGTAATGTTGGTTATATGGTTGTAATCATGGTGGTAAGAGGGGTAAACAGGGATATAAGAGAAAAAAGAGGGAAAGGGGAGAAAAATGGGAAGAGAGTTAGGGGAAGGGGGAAAAAAGAGGGAGGGAAAGGGGAAAAGGAGGAAGGGAAGGGACGGTAAGAGGAAGAGAAGGGAGGGTAAAAGAGGGAGGGAAAAGGGGGAGAAAAGAGGGAGTAATGCTCCAGATTCCTAAAATTATTATACTACTTTATGACATGACTTTGGTTGCAGCAAAAGACAAGTGAAGCAAAATGTTGACACAATATGGACAGAAGCTTCCTGAAAGCCTTTGAAAATAATAATTGTTATATATATAGTACAGTACACATGTACTACTGAGCATGGCCAGCTTCTAAGACACTTTGTAGCCCAATAAAAATTAATTACTACTACTACCTTTATTAGACTATCATTTGCAACCAAGAATACTGGGATTATCCCCTGGCATCAGGATATACATGTAGAAATGGTTACCATTACTTTTAGTATGTATCATATGTGCACAAGCAACACCAGTGATCAACAACACTGAGGTTTAGCTTTAATACCTAGTATTACGTGTAGTTGAATTTCACACAAGATTTGTGTGTCAGCCCGATCAAGGGTACCTGATTAACCTAATGAACGTTTTACACAGTGCCCTGTTCTGAATCCATGTTGTCCAGTGTTAAGTAGATGACGTGATTCCATGTGTTTTGTAATCTTGCTTCTTACCACTCTTTCAAAGAGTTTTATGATGTGTGAAGTTAAGATATATTGGTCTATAATTTCTTGCATCTGCTTTACTACCTCCTTTGTGAAGTGGTGCAATCTCCACAGTTTTAAGTATATCAGGGATGACACCAGTACCTAGGCTCTGTTTCCAAAAGATGTTTAGGGCCTGGTGCAGAGTGCATAGGCATGCTGACAATAGATACTTCAAAGTCCAGTGCGGTTAGGGTGACATCTGATCAATGTTAGTAATTACCTAAGTGTAGTTACAGGATGAGAGCTACTCATATACTTAAGAATTTGAATGGTGCCATATTCATAAAGAATTCATTTGGGTTATTGATCATTTGTTCAGGGTTCACTGAAAACAGAATCGTACTGAAGTCATGGTACTGTATTTCACTCATTTCTTTTTCGTCATCTGTGAAAATTCCATCACCCTTTTTCACAAGGGCCCAATGCTGGATGCAGTTTTTGTTCTAGTTTTTGCATAGGAGAAAAAGTATTTCAGATTCCTCTCTATTTCACTTATGGCCTTTTGCTCTCTTTGCCTTGCGTGGCCTTTATAAATTTCTTGCAGTCAAGCTCGATTATTTTTATTTCCCTACATAGCCTTCCTCGTCGTTGTTGGGATAGAGTGGAGGGTTTGAGATGTTCTGCTATCTGCAGTAGACTATGTTCAAGACTAAAGCATACAATACTGACTAGTCAGTCAGTAAGCCATTATGGTAAACTTAACTCTCCATTCATTGTGTGGGCATTCAACTCTGTATGTGGATGGTTGGTTGGATTTTATTTTAGTTCAAGTTTAGTTTAGTTCAACAAAGTACCAGGTTCGGAAACTTTTAAAAATAAGGGAAATATGCCATATGAGATTAATTCTCTCTCCAAACAGATTCTCCAAGTAGATGTCTAACATAAAATAGATTGAAATTGAAATTTGGTAAGTAAAATTTACCCGTAGAGCATGGGAAAAAATAGGGGACAAATTAAATTAGAGGTACCAATTGGCCAGAATAATTGAATTTGCACTGTAATCAAATGCAATGTTTCAAGCATTCTGTAATCTATACAAGAAACTACACGGATAGTGAAATATGAACTGCAACAAAATTAAATTTATATAGATGTGATAGGGACAATAGGTTAAATGGAGGAGTATTGTATACTGGATTAAAGAATAAATATTTTAACAAAATTTCTAAACTCCACAAACGAAGTGGAGATACAGTACTTGGAATCAAAGTAAAGATCACAATCCTTGTGTAATATGCAAATCTTTAGATGTAGCGATTAAGAAATTCACAGAATAGAAGCAAAACTCAAAATATTTCAACAATTGAGAAAATTCAGTAGAGTACCAGATATCTTCCTGGGACACTTCAACCTATCCAGTTTAAGATGGAGGATAAAATTATAACAAAATCAACATGGAATTGACCAAAAAGGTTACAGAGCTTCTTAAATTTACAATTTTTTCCTCAACCAGCAGATCAGAGAATCGACTAACAACAAAAATCTACTCTTGATCTGATCATGAACAATGAAGAAATAATCAGGCAAGTTACAATCTCAGATACTGTACTGCACTTCATAATCAGATCACAAAGTAGTAGGCAGCCATCGGTCATGGGAGACTATGGAGTTGCGCTCTGGAGTGGCCTCTCCAGGGCACAAAGCCAGGATGGGTGCTTGGAGGAGAAGCTGTCACTCCAAGCAGCAGGTCCCCCTTCTCCATGGCGCCGAAAGTCTCCAATGGAAAGGTAAACGCCAATACAATTAGTTCCAGCGCTGTCGCAGGAACTGTCAGAACGAGGTTGAAGGCAACAACGAACTGCCCTAGGGGCTCCAGCTCCAGAGTTAATCTAGAGGTTGGTGAAAGAAGGCACAGGGACTCAAATCCCGGAGACCGCTGTGGTCGGGGCCGGAGAAGAACCACCTCAGCAAGGGCAAGAACGACACCAGCCTCCTGAAGTAGAGCCTGGGCCGCACGACCCCCAGGAGGTGGACTTCCGAGCCCCCCGAAGGAACAGGTTGCACCTCTTCATTCAATGCATTCTGGTGAAGTAGGACACTGAATAAAGTAGGATGCTGGATACTCAATTTCCTGTCGAACAGAACACAAAGAGTAACAGTCAATCAAATAAAATTGAGTCCAAGCACAGTTAAAAGCTCTGTACCTCAAGGTACATTCCTTGCACCACTGCTTTTCCTTATTCTCATATCAGATATAGTCAAAAATAAAAGTCACAGCTTCATGTCATCCTTTGCAGATGACACAAAAATCAGCATGAAAATTACCTCTGCTGAAGACATTGAAAAACTACAAGCAGATATTAAGTTTTTGATTGGACAACAGAAAATAACATGATGTTTAACAGTGATAAATTCCAAGTACTCAAGTACAGCAAAAATGAGGATCTGAAACATAATACAGGGTACAAAACACAATCGAATCTGCCCATAGTAGGAAAACAGCATGTCAAGGATTTAGGAATAATGATGTCCGATGACCTAACGTTTAGGGAGCATAACCAAGCAAATATTGTGTCAGCCAGAAAAATTATAGGATGGATTACGAGAACTTTCAAATCCAGGGATCCCATCACAATGGTTGTACTTTTCAAATCATTTGTGCTGTTCCGTCCTGAGTACTGCTCGGTACTCACTTCCCCCTTTAGAGCAGGAGAGTGCTGAAATTGAGGGAATACAGAAAACATATACGGCACGCATAGTCGCGATAAAGCACCTCAATTATTGGGATCATCTCAAAGCTCTCCAAATGCACTCACTAGAAAGGAGACGAGAGAGATACAAAATAACATACACGTGGAAGATACTGGAGGGCCAGGTCCCAAATCTGCACAGTAAAATAACAACGTACTGGAGTGTACGATATGGAAAAAAAAAAAAGAATATAACCAGTGAAGAGCAGAGGTGCCATAGGCACAATCAGAGAACACTGTATAAACATCAAAAGGCCGCGGTTGTTCAACATCCTTCCAGCGACTATAAGAAATATTGCTGGAACAACCGTGGACATCTTCAACAGAAAACTAGATTGTTTTCAAAAAAAAAAAAGTGCTGGACCAACCGGGCTGTGGTTGGTATGTGGCCCTGCGGGACGCTCCACGCAACAGCCTGGTGGACCAAGCTCTCACAAGTCAAGCCTGGCCTTGGGCCAGGCTTGGGGAGTAGAAGAACTCCCAGAACCCCATCAAATAGGTTGTGAAGCTTTTAGTGGTCTTGCTTTTCTTCCTATGATATGTTTCCAGAGACTAGAAAAGGGGCACCGATGTTGGAAACTCATTCTTTGGGAATGACTGACTGGTGAAGTCTGAGGTTAATATGAGGTATAGCAAGGTATATTGAGCATGCCATTCACACTTTCAATGAATTTGGAAACACTGGATTTTGACATTGGGCAATGGGATCTTTTTTTTAAACCAGTCTCCAGACCCCCTTTTATTACCACTAAAACACTTTTTCAGAGTCTCATTGATGTTATCTTAAAGGTTAAGGAATATACATCTTCCAAAAAACAAATCAGAATCAATTGAATAAGAATGCCCATTATTTTTTTTCATTAGTCATATTTAACCAATTGTCATAAGAACCAAATACTGAATCACGAAAAATTACTGCAATATTTAAACATGTTTCTATCAGATACCGTTCCTATATCATTTGGCAATCCACCCCATTTTTCTCGGTGTCCACATTTTCTCCATACTGTATTAGCTGTTTTCATTCCTGTCATTCATTGTTATGTCTGCAAATAACTGTACCAAATGCTTCTTTGGGGGTTATCTTAACAATTGAATAGGGTCAGGTTCAGATAAAGCTATGCACATGAAGATCCTTACTCAATAGGCAATAAATGAATCATAGATCAAGGTTGGTTGTGAGAAGAGAAACAAAAACTTAATTAAAAGCATCTTCAATCAAAATATTTAAATTCTGAACTTTTTAAATTATTTAAGCAGTGTAACTCCAAGTTGCAATTCACCTGGCTGAGGTGCTGGATTATGGGGCTGGTGATCAAGAGCCGAAGGTGCACCACTAACTCCTTGACCAGCAGTGGTAGCTGGCACAGGTACCACCCCGGGAACTGGTGCTCCAACCGATGCAGCTGCAACCGCTGCCGCCGTTACCGCAGCTGGAGTTGTAGGTTGACCAGGACGAGCACCCAACTGTGTGATGGTAGGGCCTCGAACGTAGCTCCCTGGACCCACACCAACCCCCCCAGGGCCACTAGTAACCCCCTGCCCCCCCTGGGTGAGTCCCCCAGCAACACCCCCTGCACTCACAATGCCTGACACTGCCTCACCCCGACCAGACAGATCATCAATACGACGTTTCATCACGCACTACATTACACCTGAAAAGAAAGAGAAGTTATACAGTACAGTATTACAGTAAAAAGTGTCATGGAAGATTCATGAAATAAATTATTTCATTTTTTAAAGATTTAAAGAGCCTTACATAGTTATGCCTTATAAACATCTTTATTATCTTTATATATAATATATAATGTAAATACTATAAGTAGATATAAACAAACACAATACAAATGTCATGCAATAAGCAGGGGTGATCTGTACTTTATTTCATTATGCTACATTTAGAAAAGTGACATTTCTTCTCATAGAGCACTTTTATGTATAACTAATGTACTTAGTACATGTGTAAAAGTTAAAAGACATGAGATACACTCTTGGTGTCCCGGCATCTCGATAATTTTTGTCTTGCAAAGTTAGGAAATGATCAATGATGGTGCCATTCACGACCCTTCTATTTTATCCTTCTGCCACTCTTAAGAGAGAGTCTTCCTATTTTTATGACATTTGTTTTCATAATTTGAATCCATAAACTTGTTCTGGATTTTTAGCATCTACAAAATTTACAGGATTTTTTTTTAATTTCAAAGCTTTGTATGCAGTGACTGTTCTTGTGTGTACAATTATATATGCACATGTAATAGAGCAGAGGTTATAGTTATAGCAAAACAAGATAAATAAAAAATATTTGTTCTAATGGGCTGGGGTCAAGGGCTGGGTTAAGAGCAGGGGTTTAGCTGGGTGAAAGGCAGGGAAGTGGGAGGGGGTAAAGAGCTGGCGTGTGGGAGTGGTAAAGAGCTGGGGAGTGTGAGGGGTAAAGAGCTGGGGAGTGGGAGTGGTAAAGAGCTGGCGTGTGGGAGTGGTAAAGAGCTGGGGAGTGGGAGGGGTAAAGAGCTGGGGAGTGGGAGGGGTAAAGAGCTGGGGAGTGGGAGGGGTAAAGAGCTGGGGAGTGGGAGGGGTAAAGAGCTGGGGAGTGGGAGGGGTAAAGAGCTGGGGAGTGGGAGGGGTAAAGAGCTGGGGAGTGGGAGGGGTAAAGAGCTGGGGAGTGGGAGTGGTAAAGAGCTGGCGTGTGGGAGTGGTAAAGAGCTGGGGAGTGGGAGTGGTAAAGAGCTGGGGAGTGGGAGTGGTAAAGAGCTGGGGAGTGGGAGGGGTAAAGAGCTGGGGAGTGGGAGTGGTAAAGAGCTGGGGAGTGGGAGTGGTAAAGAGCTGGGGAGTGGGAGTGGTAAAGAGCTGGGGAGTGGGAGTGGTAAAGAGCTGGCATGTGGAATGGAGGTGGTGCTGGGGTGTGGGATGGGGGGGAAGGCACTGGGATGTGGGATGGAGAGGCACTAAGGTGTGAGATGGGGGGGAGGCTCTGGGGTGTAAGATAGGGGAGGGGCACAGGAGTGTGGGATGGGGGGGGCCCAAGGATGTGGGATGGGGGGGAAAAGGATGTAGGATGGGGGGGCTCAAGGATGTGGGGGCCAAGGATGTGGGATGGGGGGCCCAAGGATGTGGGATGGGGGGCCCAAGGATGTGGGATGGGGGGCCCAAGGATGTGGGATGGGGGGGTAGGCACTGGGGGTGTGGGATGAGGGGGTAGGCACTGGGGGGTAAAGTGGTGTGTGGGTATGTGGGATGGGGGGGGTAGGCACTGGGGGTGTGGGATGGGGGGGTAGGCACTGGGGGTGTGGGATGGGGGGGTAGGCACTGGGGTGTGGGATGGGGGGGTAGGCACTGGGGTGTGTGGGATGGGAGGGTAGGCACTGGGGTGTGTGGGATGGGAGGGTAGGCACTGGGGTGTGTGGGATGGGGGGGTAGGCACTGGGGTGTGTGGGATGGGGGGGGTAGACACTGGGGTGTGTGGGATGGGGGTGTAGGCACTGGGCGTGTGGGGAGACATTGGGGATGGCATAAGGGAAAGCACTGGACAGTGGGATAGAGGGGCGGGTGTTGGGGACTTGGATAAAGAGGAGGCACTGGGGAGTTGGATAAAGAGGAGGCACTGGGGAGTTGGATGGGAGATGCTGGGGATGTGGGATGGGGAGAAGTACTGGGGAGCTGGATAGGGGTGGAGCTGGATAGGGGGGGGAGTTGGATAGGGAGAGGCAATGGGGAGTTGGATAGGGAGAGGCACTGGGGAGTTGGAGGGGGAGGGAAGACACTGGGGAGTTGGATGGGAGGCGCTGGGGTGTGGGATTAGGGAAGGCACTGGGAAAGGTGTTGGGCAGTTGGTTGATAGAATTGTAAGGACAGTGGAATGGATATAAACATAAAACTAAGACAGGCTTCAAGAGATTGTTTCAAATTAAATCGGAATGCCAGAGGCTATTGACGAATGAAGCCATGTGCGTATGTGTAAAGGTGTGTGTGTATCTGTGCGTGCGCGCGCGCACACTGACGTTAGCAAGATCAACTTTTTTCAAGGTAAGTTTATGTGGTGGCATGCACTTGTAAGCGGTGGGTGAGGGAAAAGGGAGACCAGTAATGCGCATGAGTGTGTGTATCGATTCATTCACAAGTGTGGCAGGCTTCAGTCAAAACGGCGGAGGAGCGAGTTATAAACCGAGAGGAGGGTCGGGCGGGGGCCGGTGCCGCCTGGCTAGCGAGAGAGGGGGCGACGCAGGGGGTGTGGGCTAGTCAGCTGGTGCGGCAGGCAGCGAGGGCACGCCCGCCCGCCCGCCTGCAACAACACCCCCTTCCCCACACACACACACACACACAATCACTCATTCCCCTTCAACCTGCCTCCTCACACACACACACACCTACTACCACACTCCCTCCCACCATCACTTTAATTGCCTCAAGCCTAACCTCCCCCCTTCACAATGTTTTTACTACGAGCGCCTATCTCAAAAGAGTGATAAAGAGGTTGTAGTGTGGTGTCAACCCCAAGCCTTACTACAGTGTCCGGGTGCCCTCTACTGCGGCGGACGAGGCGTGAGCAAGCACACTCCTCTACAGCACAGGCGGCGGGTGTTCGCCTGCGGCTCAAGCAGTCATTGCCCACAGGAAAGTCCATCAGCGCTTACCGAGACCATCTTGGTAATCTAATTTTGTCTTAAGAGTTTTAAACGTGGAGGTGTGTGGAGGCTGCGACGGAGAAGCAATGCATGTTAGACGTGAGGCGGATGGCAAGGTCCAGGCAGGTCCTCCCTGCCCGCCTGCGCCGTACATCTGCCGGGGTAGAGGCAGAGGATTCAAGGGCGCTCTTTGCACTCCTGCCTGCAAATACAACAGGCTACTAAGACGTTCGCACAAAGACCTGATCGATTATTTACAATATAGTAATCTTATTTCTCCAACACTCCATTACCCGACCAGAACACCAACATGCTTTGTCAATACCCAGTTTGGTTAAAATTTTAAATGAGGAGAGTCACATGTCTGCAACATGCAGTTTGGTGGCTGCAGATAAAAGTGCATCGCGACGAAACTCAGACGAAGGTTATGGAAAACGTTCGTGGAAGCGATCCGGGCTGTGTCGCCAAGACAGAGGTAGTGGCGCGCTCTCGTCCCCAGCCACTCTCACTACCGATCCTCCGCCATCACAACAATAATGTAGCTCGTCCCAAGCCCTTCTCCGTCCTCACATGCCGCAGCTCTCGTCCCCAGGCGCTCTCCGTCTCTACACGCTCAAGAATGGCACTGATAATTAATAACCTAATATTACCATCCTTATATCCCATTAAGCAATATATGAATATTACCATAGTTTAACAACACTCTAACGAGTCAGTATATACCAATCTTTCAGAAATAGCGAGCGAGGTTGGTAAAATATAAAGATCAACTTTAAAACAAATTGGCATCTGGTCGGGAGTGCACCAGCAAGGCAGCCAGCGGCACAGACACAACCTGCCAGATCAGACTAGGCAGTGGATAGCTAGACTCGCCCAGCTGTTGTGTTCAGCTTGGCGGTAATAGTGTTTACTCTATCTTGAAATGAATAAATTAGTGAATAGTAGCAACCATGTGACGTGCATACTGTACAGAACAATTAAAGTGAGTATGTAAACCAACATATATAGAGAGAGTGGTAGGGGTGCCGTACGACACCTGTGCTGCGAGTAGCGCGAGGTTCGATGAAGCAACGGCACAGCGCTGCCAGACAGATAAAGACGGGAGCGGTCGAGGTGGAGAATCGCCCAACCCCGATAATATGGCTCCTGCAACACCACCCTCGTAGGAAACAGGTGTTCAAAGTCAGCCAGTGCCTTCAGAAACATTTATTCGTAGAAATAAAGAACACACGAGGCTTGTTCCTGTTACCACGACATTCTCTGACTGACTTTAGTAGATTTAATAACTGGGGAGCCAGTCAAAAAGGCTTTGTCCTGTGGCCATGCAACCTACCTCACACACAAACGACCTGCCCTGGTAACATCCATTATTCCTCAGTCTCCCTTTAAAAACATAAATTTACCCTTAACATACTGCAATTTCACTCATCAATGGAATTACTACTACTACGAATTACAAAATTATTGACCCCCTACTATCTTTACACCAACTCCATTAATATCTTGAAAGTTTAATAACTTTTGTACCCAAGATTCGAACTAATAGTTGTGCGTAGACTAACAAAATTCCAACTGGAGGCTTATTTCAAACGGCTATCAATACTTACTCCAGTAGTTCTACTAATGAGCTACACGACGAGACTTAAAAAGATGCATCCCTCACTACCTGTCAGCAACCCAAGGAAGCAATATAGGCGAACTAAGACAACTACTGATCAACTAAGATCTCGACTAACGCAGAGGTCAAGCCTATTTGTGTATTAGTTTATAGTGTTGTGCCCCACCACAACGCAACCTCAAAGCTATATTTGACCTAGTGACACGTACAGTGAGGATGGTGTCCTAGTAGACTAGACCTAGTGACACGTACAGTGAGCACGGGAGACATCTCCCGTCACGCAGGGTGCAGTCGCACCTCCATAGATCTCCAGTATCAGCTCTTGATACTGGTATTGGCTCAAAAGGGCCGCCACTTACGGGCTATTCATGCCCGTGCCACCTTTTAGGTGGCTTAATCTTTATCAATCAATCAGTACAGTGAGGATGGTGTCCTAGTAGACTAGACCTAGTGACACGTACAGTGAGGATGGTGTCCTAGTAGACTAGACCTAGTGACACGTACAGTGAGGACAGTGTCCTGGTAGACTAGACCTAGGTACACGTACAGTGAGGGTACACAATAAACATGCTTGAAATTCCCACTTTAATTTTTTACCCAAATGTTTGTCATTTGAATCAAGTTGCGCAAAGAGGAACAATAAATTCGAACTTGTCAACACAAAATGTCATAGTATCACCTTAGTCGAATAGCAGATGACGACGAGGGGGGGGGGTGGAATTTCATCTGGCATTTCAACAGGGAAACAACCTTTCAGTCGCCAATAACGCTTAACCAAGCCCTTTATACGCACAAGAAGACAAATACCTTCCATTCACAGAGTACAACTGGCACCCACCCATTCACAAACCTAGTACAACTGGCACCCACCCATTCACAAACCTAGTACAACTGGCACCCACCCATTCACAAACCCAGTACAACTGGCACCCACCCATTCACAAACATAATACAACTGGCACCCATTCACAAACATAATACAACTGGCACCCATTCACAAACATAATACAACTGGCACCCATTCACAGACCTAATACAACTGGCACCCATTCACAAACCGAGAACAATTGCCCCCCATTCGCAAACCTAAAATGGCTGTAAGCCATTACCCATAAAACACAGGGCAACAAATCCCATGGATGGAGAGTCGGCTTACACTAACGCGCGCGAGTCCTGCATCTATACACCAATAACGAGCCCAATTAGCCAATAAATTAGCCGATTAATGAAACTTACTATAGCTGCCGTTGATTACGTTATCTTAAAGTTCGAAGAGACTGGGTTTATGGTAATCGGCTTTTACAACGTGCTGGCGTCATGAGAGGAAATGTAGAGTAGCAGGATATGACGGACGGGGTCACTGGGAGCAAAGTCAGGATTATGAAGAATGGAGGTGGTCGAATAAGACTTGGCTACAAGCATCTCTGGCAGTTCGGCTTGTATAGGGATCTAGTTGAAGTAAAGTGTAGTGTGTGGACAAAGACAGGGACACACACTCGAACATTATATCTTGGATTGTAGTAAAATTGAGCCATTTAAAGATAAATCTAAGCTCACGCTATATGATATGGCAATCTATCTTATTACCAAGAATAAAATACTTGAAATCCTTGCACTGTATCCACATTTCGCTCCCAGTAGATAAATGACATATGAGATAAAAAAAAAAATGGAGGGGGTGCGAGAAAAGAGGATCCCCTCTCCTGTGGAGTATTACCTGGAGATGGAGAGTGGTTCCCAAGAGGTCTTCCACCACCAAAGCCCGGCCTGGAGCCAAACCAGGCCGAGTCACCCAGGGAGCCCCTTTTCCCATCCTGTGTGGGGTATTACTGAGTCACCCTGGGGAGGTCCCCTACCTTGTTGTGTAGTATTACAGTCACCCAGAGGATCCCTCTCCCCTGTGGGGACTGACGAGTGGCCCTACAACAGCCGCCCGCCTGTCTCTCCAACCTATGACTTCTTACTACGAGACTGGTTCACAAGCAGCTTGGGGAGGGGGGGGGGATCATACCGAGAGCATAGACGGGTTGGGGAGGGCGGCGTTGTGGGCGGCGCTACCAGTGCTCACGGGAATGGGCGGCGGGAAGTGGAAGTCAAGGCTGAAGGGGAGGGGCGTGTTGCAGGGAGGGGAGTAGGGGCTGAGTAGGGTGGCGCTACTACGCCATACGCAGTAAATATCTCGCTGGCTACACAGGAAGCTGTCACGACTCATTTTTAGAATCAACAGAGCCAATGAGGGTGGCGTTGAATATGGTACGGGGTGCGAGTGTGTATGTGATGCTAGAGGCCATGGTGTGATCTAGCGGGGAGATGGTGTCAACAGCAGGTCGAGGCAACACATAAATGTGCCGCCCGGGGCACCCTAGCTCCTGCTGAGTCCCTCCACCTGCCTCTGTGCCCCACGCCCTCCTCCCCACTCTTACACCACCACTTGCATCCCCCTACCTGCCTCACTCTACCCTCTCCTCCACTACCGCTTGGACCCATTACCTCCGCCAATCCTCCGACTGTCCTTAGTTAAACGTTCTATGCCTCCCAAGCAGGTATCCCTACTCTAGGTGCAAACAAGTGCACCAGTTTTGCCTGTAGATACTTGAAGACGATTTTGATGTGTTTCTTCTATCGCAGCCTCTCCTGTGGACCAGCCTTCATTTATGACTGGTCTATGAGGCTGCCTTAGTAGCCAGCAGGGCATCATAGCCAGGCTGATTCAGTAACTAAAGCAGAATCTTAAATTCTCATTTAAAAACATCTACTGTCGTCCAAGTGATGTTTCTTATATTTGCTGACAGGAGATGGATAGAGTCGAGAACCTCTGATGTTTACAGTGTGTTCTCTAATCATGCCAATGGCACCCAAACATTTTATTGGATATATTTTACACTTCCTGCCATCTCTCTCACTCCTGTGTGTCGTTGTAACATCATAGTACACGTTTGTAAGTTGACCTTTCATGTTCTATTGTGGGAAACAGGGAGACCGTATGATTGCCTAGCAACACAGAAGGCGGCTCCAGCTGATGGTATCCCTACCGCCAATCAGGAAGTGCAGATCCTCAACAACACAACTCCCCCCCCCCCTCCTCTCTGCTCAACCCCACCAATAACATGGCATTTATAACACCTTCACGCAGAGTACTGTTGTGAAAATTGTTGCAATGACCGTGTCTGGCCTACACCTGACAGTTCATAGTGTTCCCATGGTTGTTGTACAATGAATAGCAACGTTAACTACATACAGTATCCAGCATCACTGTGTTGTTGGTGCCAGGGGGAAGGGCAGAGCCTGGAACACTACTTGTACCATCACACTGCACACCAAAATCAGTCGCTACAAAGTGTTCACCGTTTAGAAATTCCTTGAGTAATGCGAGACGAGACGAGTATGTGAAGATGTGGTAAACTGTGCGGAATGTTGAGTGTGTCCAGGTTCGCAGCGCTGCTGCTCCCGGGGGAGATGGCTGCGGAATGATCCCGGCTACCGTTGTTGTTTTAGACTCGGCTACTGGGAACAAAAAGTTCCAAGTAGCAGAGGCTATGGTGAGCCCGTAGTGGACTGACCTGGCACAGGAGCGGGGCTGGAAC